TCGCTATTATTATTTCGTTCGAGTTTTGTGTCGTGCTGAACTTGATACTTTTTCCACCTTGTCACGAGTGTTGTTATCTCATATCTTTACGCTATATAAGTTTTAGTCTTTCCAACTTGAGCCATTCCCTGTATAATCCTTGATGAGAAGGGACCGAAAACGTTCGGATACTTTGACAAGTGCCTTATTTTGACTGGATGTGTGTTTGCGTGGATACTTACGACCCAACACGTACCTTCGTTATTAGAGTATTATCCGCCTCCGACTTCTTGTAAAATTATTATTATTATTATTATTAACTGGTTTGAGGGAAAGAGACAAACGACAAATTATTATTATTATTATTTGTTTTACATGTACATCGGATCGCGGAAGCTCAACAGTGCAGCTGCACAAATATGAAGAGGCCGATGGGACCAAAAAATAAAAGAATAAAGAATGTATATACAAGTACATCAGTGTAAATGTTTAGAAAAAAAGGGGGATGAGTGGTGAACATAAAGAGAAAAGAAGAAAAACGTATACTGAATGAACCTGGGCAATATAATTATACATGTAGCTGGTGAGAGACTAAACGTTGCCAACGTTGTCAAATAAAATTGCACGATATCGTTCAAACCAAACTGGATCATCCAATAAGCGCTTAAAACCACGATCGAACTGAGACGTAAACAAAGAGGATTTCAAGTCATTAGGTAGAGCATTAAAAAACAGAGCAGCACGAAGCACAAAGGATATACTGGCCATTATATGCACGGGTTGCCGTGGTGCTGCCTTCGGGGACGTTCGTCATAGTGCTGCCTTCGAGAACGTTGGTCGTGGTGCTGCCTTCTGGGGCGTTGGTCGTGGTGTTACCTTCGGGGACGTTGATCGCGCTGCTGCCTTCGGTGACGGTGGTCGAAGTGTAGCAGCTGGGAGGCTTTCGTACGCAATCGGCGTCGCAGACGACGCACTACTGCTGGTAACGCACGGTTGACGGTTTCCGTGTCTTCCACTTCAGTGATCGGGGATGCGATGGCTGCCGTGCCAGACATGCCTGTGTGGTGGGAGTTTATGGAGCTGGCCGAGAGGTAGGACTCTTGGCTGCGCTGCGAGAGGTCCAGGCCGCGACTGTTCTGCCGCGATAATCCCCCTGCCCAGCTCGGGGGCGCTGGAGCGATAGTCGGACGAGGACGCGTTGGATCTGCCTTGAGTGTGCACCGTGCTGCCATCGGCCAGCACCACGTCACGGGCACCGCCAGAACTGACTGTTAACGAGCTCGTTGTCGTTGTCAGCTGCCTGGACAAAGGCGCGTCTCTGGGAGGTAGGTTGAGGTCTGACGGACGATCCACACTCTCCTCAGAACCACCACTGTCCTCGTCCAAGTTATTCTGCCGTCTGTAGCGCCAGTCATCGCAGTGGTAGCAGCAACAGCAGCAGCAGTGGCGACAGCGTATGCACAGTACCGCTGCCAGCTCGCCGCGGATCTTTGGAGCCATCAGGACGAATAGGATGAGATTGACAACGCCCTGCGCATTGTCGCCGACAGCCTGGGAAATGAACGCACACATGCACACGCACACACACACACACACACACACATCCACACGTACATGCACACACGCAATCAGATGGAGCATGTATGTACAGTCATTGTATGGACACACAAACAAGAACCGGCGGACTACTAGATACATAGGCAACCATACACACAGCCATGCACACAGCCATGCACACAGCCATGCACACAGCCATGCACACAGCCATGCACACAGCCATGCACACAGCCATGCACACAGCCATGCACACAGCCATGCACACAGCCATGCACACAGCCATGCACACAGCCATGCACACAGCCATGCACACAGCCATGCACACAGCCATGCACACAGCCATGCACACAGCCATGCACACAGCCATGCACACAGCCATGCACACAGCCATGCACACAGCCATGCACACAGCCATGCACACAGCCATGCACACAGCCATGCACACAGCCATGCACACAGCCATGCACACAGCCATGCACACAGCCATGCACACAGCCATGCACACAGCCATGCACACAGCCATGCACACAGCCATGCACACAGCCATGCACACAGCCATGCACACAGCCATGCACACAGCCATGCACACAGCCATGCACACAGCCATGCACACAGCCATGCACACAGCCATGCACACAGCCATGCACACAGCCATGCACACAGCCATGCACACAGCCATGCACACAGCCATGCACACAGCCATGCACACAGCCATGCACACAGCCATGCACGCAGCCATGCACACAGCCATGCACACAGCCATGCACACAGCCATGCACACAGCCATGCACACAGCCATGCACACAGCCATGCACACAGCCATGCACACAGCCATGCACACAGCCATGCACACAGCCATGCACACAGCCATGCACACAGCCATGCACACAGCCATGCACACAGCCATGCACACAGCCATGCACACAGCCATGCACACAGCCATGCACACAGCCATGCACACAGCCATGCACACAGCCATGCACACAGCCATGCACACAGCCATGCACACAGCCATGCACACAGCCATGCACACAGCCATGCACACAGCCATGCACACAGCCATGCACACAGCCATGCACACAGCCATGCACACAGCCATGCACACAGCCATGCACACAGCCATGCACACAGCCATGCACACAGCCATGCACACAGCCATGCACACAGCCATGCACACAGCCATGCACACAGCCATGCACACAGCCATGCACACAGCCATGCACACAGCCATGCACACAGCCATGCAACATGCCAATAATTGACTGTAGGTATATGTACCTGGCGACAAGGTGCCTCTTGGTTGGGGGGGGGGGGGGGTTGATAATGAGGATGTGCATTCCCTGTCGTGCCCCTATGGAGGGTTTCCCTCCATTAGACACAATGGTATTCGGGACGTCACGGCCCGGCTGCTGGACGAGGTGTGCACCAGTGTGTCCATCGAGCCCTTGCTGCAACCGCTGACGGGGGAGCGTCTTCGCTACCGGACCGCAAATGTGGAAGACCGTGCCCGGTTGGATGTCGCTGCCAATGGTTTGTGGGGCAGTCGTTTTGAGCGTACACTTATTGATATACGGGTTTTTAATCCTCACTCACGCTCAAATCGATCTGCACCACATACTATTGTGTATCAGCGACATGAAAAAGAAAAGAGAAGGCACTATGAGGAGCGGGTGAGGCAGGTTGAGCAAGCCTCCTTTGTTCCGGCGGTCATGTCAGCCAGTGGCGGAATGGGTCCAGCATCAACAGCACTGTACAAACGAATTGCTCATCTGTTGGCGGAGAAGAGGGGTGAGCATTACTCTCATGTTATGGCATTTGTTAGATGCAGGATTTCCTTCAGCCTTCTGAAATCCTGTATCATGTGCATTCGCGGTTGTAGGCGTTTAAATTTTGGTTTGAAATTTGCACCCTCCTGCGGAGCCCACGCTGCTTTGGCAGTGGCGGAGGCTCGCTTGCCGACGTAACCGTCGGAGATCATCATGAACAATGGACTGACTAATTATTCACTTGTCCTGTCTTAATAAATAACATGTTAGGCCAAACTAAAGAAGGTGTGTGGTTCGACTAACATGGACATTTTTTTTACGGGCGGGCGGGCGGATTTTTTTTTTAAATATATTTTTTAGTACATGTAAATACACTGTATACGCGTATCGAGTAGACTCTACTACCAGCACAAGGCAGCCAGCAGTCGTACCACTCACTGCACTGCACTGCAGTACAACTACAACTAGTACAAGTCAAGTCCAAAAGGAGCCGCCTGCGTCCGCAGACTCACGCCGCACAGCACGTAGACGTGGACGTGTTCAGTCCACGTACGTCAGTCACACGACAGCCCGCCGAAAAAAAGTTACGGTCGGGCTGAAATTGTACGGTCGGTCGGGTGAGTCGAACCACACACCTTCTTTAGTTTGGCCTTATTGCATATGTTCTTGGTTTAGTTTTTGGCCTTTTTCGTGCTTTGGAGTTGATAACATTTTCCTCACTATCGAAAAAAAAAATAATAATAATAATAATGAGGATGTGTAGAACTGTGGATATGGGAGATTCATGGATACGGGGTGTCTGGATATGGCAGGTCCTGGTCATTGCATGTGCTGGATATGGCAGGTGGTTGGATATGGCAGGTGGCTGGATATGGCAGGTGGCTGGATATGGCAGGTGGCTGGATATGGCAGGTTCTACCGTACCCACATCTAGCTCTGGAAATCCACATTTTTTATTTACTACCAACAGCTAATCTGCATGACATGCAGTGGTGCTCAATGAAAACCACAACGGCTAGTGTCAGAAAACGTGGAAGGCCGCGGAAAAGCAAAGAGACGGGTAGTGGTGATGCCGCGAAGAGGCGAGATGACGGGACATTGGAGGAGACTACACCCAACGGAGCTAAGAATCGCACTTCGTCCATCAAGCAACATCTGTCAGCCCGTACCAATTGTCGTGAGTTGTACAGTGATAATGTGTTCTCAATATTGTCACGTGGTAGATGTGCATTGCATCTGGCTGTGTTAGAAGCTTTGTATATCCGTAAGTTAGATCCTGAACTTTGCGTACAGAAAGAAAATGTGTTGTCGCTACAATTGTTTGGTGTTACTCCTCGTCGAGGTGTTAACAATGTAACTTAATTTGCTCACTATGTTCTTGTCGCTATTATTATTTCCTTCGAGTTTTGTGTCGTGCTGAACTTGATACTTTTTCCACCTTGTCACGAGTGTTGTTATCTCATATCTTTACGTTATATAAGTTTTAGTCTTTCCAACTTGAGCCATTCCCTGTATAATCCTTGATGAGAAGGGACCGAAAACGTTCGGATACTTTGACAAGTGCCTTATTTTGACTGGATGTGTGTTTGCGTGGATGCTTACGACCCAACACGTACCTTCGTTATTAAAGTATTATCCGCCTCCGACTTCTTGTAAAATTATTATTATTATTATTATTATTATTATTAACTGGTTTGAGGGAAAGAGACAAACGACAAATTATTATTATTATTATTTGTTTTACATGTACATCGGAAGCTCAACAGTGCAGCTGCACAAATATGAAGAGGCCGATGGGACCAAAAAATAAAAGAATAAAGAATGTATATACAAGTACATCAGTGTAAATGTTTAGAAAAAAAAGGGGGATGAGTGGTGAACATAAAGAAAAAAGAAGAAAAACGTATGCTGAATGAACCTGGGCAATATATACATGTAGCTGGTGAGAGACTAAACGTTGCCAACGTTGTCAAACAAAATTGCACGATATCGTTCAAACCAAACTGGATCATCCAATAAGCGCTTAAAACCACGATCGAACTGAGACGTAAAAAAAGAGGATTTCAAGTCATTAGGTAGAGCATTAAAAAACAGAGCAGCACGAAGCACAAAGGATATACTGGCCATTATATGCACGGGTTGCCGTGGTGCTGCCTTCGGGGACGTTCGTCATAGTGCTGCCTTCGAGAACGTTGGTCGTGGTGCTGCCTTCTGGGGCGTTGGTCGTGGTGTTGCCTTCGGGGACGTTGATCGCGCTGCTGCCTTCGGTGACGGAGGTCGAAGTGTAGCAGCTGGGAGGCTTTCGTACGCAATCGGCGTCGCGGACGACGCACTACTGCTGGTAACGCACGGTGGACGGTTTCCGTGTCTTCCACTTCAGTGATCGGGGATGCGATGGCTGCCGTGCCAGACATGCCTGTGTGGTGGGAGTTTATGGAGCTGGCCGAGAGGTAGGACTCTTGGCTGCGCTGCGACAGGTCCAGGCCGCGACTGTTCTGCCGCGATAATCTCCCTGCCCAGCTGCATCCCGGGTGGCTCTCGGTCATCTCCAGCTCGGGGGCGCTGGAGCGATAGTCGGACGAGGACGCGTTGGATCTGCGGTGAGTGTGCACCGTGCTGCCATCGGCCAGCACCACGTCACGGGCACCGCCAGAACTGACTGTTAACAAGCTCGTTGTCGTTGTCAGCTGCCTGGACAAAGGCGCGTCTCTGGGAGGTAGGTTGAGGTCTGACGGACGATCCACACTCTCCTCAGAACCACCACTGTCCTCGTCCAAGTTATTCTGCCGTCTGTAGCGCCAGTCATCGCCGTGGTAACAGCAACAGCAGCAGCAGTGGCGACAGCGTATGCACAGTACCGCTGCCAGCTCGCCGCGGATCTTTGGAGCCATCAGGACGAATAGGATGAGATTGACAACGCCCTGCGCATTGTCGCCGACAGCCTGGGAAATGAACGCACACATGCACACGCACACACACACACACACACACACACACACACACACACACATCCACACGTACATGCACACACGCAATCAGATGGAGCATGTATGTACAGTCATTGTATGGACACAGCCATGCACACAGCCATGCACACAGCCATGCACACAGCCATGCACACAGCCATGCACACAGCCATGCACACAGCCATGCACACAGCCATGCACACAGCCATGCACACAGCCATGCACACAGCCATGCACACAGCCATGCACACAGCCATGCACACAGCCATGCACACAGCCATGCACACAGCCATGTACACAGCCATGCACACAGCCATGCACACAGCCATGCACACAGCCATGCACACAGCCATGCACACAGCCATGCACACAGCCATGTACACAGCCATGCACACAGCCATGCACACAGCCATGCACACAGCCATGCACACAGCCATGCACACAGCCATGCACACAGCCATGCACACAGCCATGCACACAGCCATGCACACAGCCATGCACACAGCCATGCACACAGCCATGTACACAGCCATGCACACAGCCATGCACACAGCCATGTACACAGCCATGCACACAGCCATGCACACAGCCATGTACACAGCCATGCACACAGCCATGCACACAGCCATGCACACAGCCATGCACACAGCCATGCACACAGCCATGTACACAGCCATGCACACAGCCATGCACACAGCCATGCACACAGCCATGCACACAGCCATGCACACAGCCATGCACACAGCCATGCACACAGCCATGCACACAGCCATGCACACAGCCATGCACACAGCCATGCACACAGCCATGCACACAGCCATGCACACAGCCATAGACCTTTCTCACAATGTGCACGTGACCTGACGCCCACGGCGCAGCGTAAGGCAAAAGAATTCAAAAGATGCACTGTTTCTGTACTGAAAGCTATTAGAATTTAGTTGTTTGTGGATATTGTATTGTTTCTCTCATCGTTTTGAAGGCCGTGTAGGTGTTTGGAATTATTTCCTCGGTGTTACCAACCATGCCGTCGTCCTGCGCTGCGGACAGCTGTGCAAATCGTGCTTCAGCAGACTGTCCTTACCGCTTTTTTAGATTTCCAAAATCAGATCGAGAACGATGTCAGATGTGGATAGCTTCAGTTTGCCATCGTCGTCCAGTTGGCTGGTGGCCATCCGATGGTATGCGCATTTGCGGGAAGCATTTTTTGACTGAAGAACCCTCCGACTCTCCACATGACGTGGACTACATCCCGACAATTGTGGATAGCAAGCCCAAAACTGAAGAGCGAGCTGTTCAAGCTGATGCCAGAAAAAAGCGACAATTCCGAAGGGAACAGAGGAAGGGAGATCAGCCGGATGAAGCTGCTGCTGCTTTTGCTGCTCAACCAGAGGAATTACCTCAATCTGAACCTGTCAGTGCTGATGAAGGTCCTGTAATTCATGCCCCATTGCCGGAGACCACTGATGGGCTTGCGGCACGTATCCGGCATTTGGAGTTCCGTGTCCACCAATTGGAGACACACGCTTGTGAGGTAACCAGTGAGCTGGACACCTACAGAGCAGCAGCCAGCCGCAAGCAGTCTATCTCGGCACATGACCTTGAAGGCAAGGATAAACTGGTTCGTTTCAACACTGGTTTCCCTTCGTACACCGCCTTCATTTCCTTCTTCCATTACCTGTCTGGGAAAGCTGGGCGCCTCCATATCTGGCGCGGTCAGAAAGAAGAAGCGCTTCGTTCCGCAACAGGTGTGACAGGTCGGCTAACGATGCAGTATGCTAGTAGGCAGCTGGAGTTAGTCGATGAGTTTCTGGCTGTCATGATGCGGCTGAGGCTAGGATTGCTGGTGGAAGATGTTTGCTTCCGGTTCGGCATTTCTGCCACCTACTTCTCGAAGATCTTCACAACGTGGATAGTGTTCTTGTCGAAGGAGTTGGCTTTACTCTTTCCCTGGCCATCTGCTGAGCAGGTTCGCTTCCACACCCCACCACAATTTGCAAAGTATCCTAACACTAGAGTAATAATTGACTGCTTTGAACTATTTATTGAGCGTCCATCTGCTCTCCGTGTGAACTGCCAGATGTTCTCTCACTACAAGAACCACTCGACGTTCAAAGCTCTGATTGGCATCAGCCCTGGTGGCGTTGTCACATATCTATCCAAGTTGTTCACTGGACGTGCGTCAGACAAGTTCATTGTGTCTCACAGTGGCTTTCTTGATCTGATCGAGCATGGTGATAATGTAATGGCGGACAAAGGCTTCGAAATTCGGGATCTTCTCCTGCCTAAACGTGCCACTCTCAACATCCCACCATTCCTGGGCCAACAACGAAGCCAGTTCACTGCCCAGGAAGTGGACGATACACGCAGAATTGCTGCCCTTCGTATTCACGTTGAACGAGCAATTGCCCGTCTTCGGTGTTTCCGGATTTTACGCGGGACACTCCCCATCACACTTGCCCCTATTGCTAATGACATCGTCACAGTCTGCACTCTCGTCACAAATTTTTCTGATCCTCTGGTCGCAGATGAGCACTGAGGTTCGCACCATTGTCAGTCACCAGTGCTTCATTACATTTTCAATTTTGCCAGCAGCGGTACTGCTGAGCACACAGCTCTTTCACATTGTGACACTGCAAGTCGTATTGTTAGTTTGTTTGTTTCTTGGCTTCTTCATTCGTTATTCACACCTGTGTGTGCATGTGTGTGTGTGTGTTTGTGTGTGTGTGTGTGTGCCTGAGTGTGTGAAAGAGGCATCATTCAATGATGTTGTACTTGTACTTTCATCGCGTATGTCGTAAAGCATTTCATTTTGTTTTGTTTGATCCACTTCACCAGTTTTCGACTCCATCCTGATGATGGCTTCTGGCCCAAATTTCATTGAAATTAAACTGGTTTGCAGCGTAGAGACTAACGTTACTTGGCATTTGCGTTTGTGGTGGTGTAGGGTTCTTCATTAATTAACGCTGTGATCCCTTTTCCATTCCCTCCGCCAGTGAATATGTGGTTCATAATTTCCTTTTTCTTAGTATACAGTTGCATGTCATTTATCCGGTGGTCCATCATCCACCATGTCAGTTGTCAACCAACGCAGTGCTGGCTCACACACTGTATAATTATTATGTTCACTGTCCCCATATACTTCAAGAATCAAGACATTGAACATCGTTGACGTCGCATACAAGTGAGTCTATAGTTGAACACGACCAGTGTCTCAGGATAGTAACAGAGCATGCAAAATACAGGCAAAAGACACTCTCTACAGTCCTTTTGATGTGTGAACACAAGATGGCTATGTAGTTTCAGTCATCCAGATTATCAAAGTGTCCATTGTCCAGTCCTGAGCTTGAGGGTGCCGGATAACAGACACTCACCTCTAATTTTATTCTTTCTTTTTTATTAAACCCGGCACGTTCGGGCTCTCTGCCTTCTCCTTGAAACAAAAAGAACTCTAATGACATGAGGAATTGGCATGAACATAGCAGGTTGGCACCGCAGCACAGCATCAGGTGCCGAAACAGTTCAACAGAATTAAAGATTTAAACTACAACAAGAAAAGTGTGTTCTCGTGTGGGAAACAGCAAAACATTAATTGAAAAAGGATAAAAGGCGTGATGCGGGCATCGCAGGTTTCACAAGAGTTCGTACCAATACTGTTCAACCAGTCTAAGATCTTCCTACAGATCATCGGTATCGACAAAGCAATGCATACAGTAGTTCCCCATATCATCAGTTGTGCATATATGATGAAAATAATGTGCGCAGTGGCTGTTACGACATGCCTTTGGTTTAAGCCCAGGGAACGCACACGTTTGAGAGCAACATGCAATACGAGGTGCCAACTTCTGAGACAAAGCAGGTGACCGACCCGCAACAGGCAATGGTGCTGAAGGTGACGACACTGCAGCAAGTGACGACACTGCAGCAAGTGACGGCACTGCAGCAGGTGTTGGCACAGCAGCAGGTGACGACACTGCAGCAGGTGACGGCACTGCAGCAACTGACGACACTGCAGCAGGTGACGGCACAGCGATAGGCATAGCCAGCGAGGGCATTGCAGCAGGCAATGATGCTGCAGCTGTTGACTTCTGATGTTCAGCGAACAGCTTCCTGGAGTGGATCTCTGGTAAGACATGGCTGATGTAGAAAGCTTTCAACTTCGGTAGCAAAGTATCATTCCACAGTACACTGTCACGAAATATCCTCTCAATGTGAAGATTGGTGGGATAAGGCGCGTCGGTCCACATGACGAAGTCTGCCCACTCCTTGTCCATCACGGCCAATTCTCCCTGCACCTGCGTGTAGAACTTGTGAGTTCTTCGCAATAGCAACTTGCCTCCGTCGCTTCTAGTCAAGCAAAACTTATGCCCAAACTGGTTGCAGATGGCCGCGGGAGACATCTTGTTAATGGACACGCCATCAATTGAAAAGGGACATTTCACCTCAATTAGGCCATGCGGATCAGACGAAGCAGGATCATACAGCAGTCCATCGGAAGAAGCACCGATGAAGGAGTACTCTTGATAGAGAGTAACACCTGATAGCGTGTGACGTACGGCAATATCTGACTCAAAACCAAAATTCACAAGTCGCAAGTAGTCCTCCACGGCCTTCGCTTCATGCATAATACCCCATTGCATAGCCGTTGTCTTCGGCATGTTGGAGTAACCCATGATCGTCTTCACCAAGCTGTCTGGTGATGTAGTCTCCCTACGGTTTACGATGACATGAAAAATAGAGGAAGTGATGCGGCCTACCCGAATGTCACGCCAAAGTGGCGATCTTGACTGCTTCTTCGTGACACTCTCGATATAGGAGGCCAGGCTGCTGTCAATGGAGCTATCATTAGCAAGATCAGTGCACATCGCCACAACAACATCCTCATCCAGGTCATCACTGAACTGATCTGTCCTAGGGTGTCGTGAAATAACCAACTGCTTAGCCTGCTTGTCCAAAGTGTGCATAGCATCCTTCTTGGCCAAAGATGGGTGGTTCCAGAATTGGAACAAGCCAGATGTTGGCAGCTTTGATGCAAATGTATCCAGTAATTCCTGGACACAATGGTCGTCCACAGCAAGGTCTTGAGCAGCTCTCGGTTCAAAGGTGGACAGAGAACCTCCACAGACCTTGCGGGATTCCTTGCCATAGGCAGTGGCCTCAAACACAGCGTCCGCCAACGGGACAGCAGGTACCGATAGCTGGGGTGGAGGACGATGCCACGACATCAAGCGTCCAGTGCATGTTGCGTCTGCCTGTATTGTTGTGGCGTCTTTCTCCTTACAGTCCAGGAGGTAGAACAGGAGCGCGGCGACATGACTGCAGCTCTCACCCAGTCCAGCAGCACACTTGCACCTGGCACTATACACAGCCCCTTGAGGCGACATAGTAATAAAAACTGGGTAGGCCGATTTCTCCCGTGACGGATAAGACTGGTGCACATGCCCTCTAGCATAGATGTACTGGGGCTTCACGGGATCAGGGCAGCACATCCACACATTGGAAACCCACCCACTGGTGAAATAGCTATAGCCTTTCAGTGACTTGAAGTTGCTGCGCTGACGGTCAGACGAGGATTTGTCCCTCACTTCCACGAGGTACGTGTATATGTCCCCGTAAATAAAATTATCAATAAGGAAATCGTGTACCCAACACGAGACAGAATCATACGTTGGCAAGGCTTCCAATTCTGCCGTGATCTCCACTGTTTTCGCGGACGCTTCTGGCGCAACATGTGGCGGCGCTGAGGCTGCAGAAGACGTCTCAGCAAGTCCAACAAGGGTCTCCACCAACTCAGTTTTCCTCTTATTGCTGTGGACAATTTTGAAATGTCTGCACAGCTCCTTCAGCACAGGCACGTTTGCTGACTCCAAGCGTTTCCTCAACTTGTCGACATCACCCTGTTGAGACTGCACTGCCTCGACAAGCTCCTTGAGGGATGCCATGTCGGGGAGAGAAAGGAAATGTCAACGATAGCAATTGTTCTCAATACAAAATGATGTGCAAACAGCACAAAAACCCGAGTCTTTTGCCTTACGCTGCGCCGTGGGCGTCAGGTCACGTGCACTTTGTGAAAGTGGTCTATGCACACAGCCATGCACACAGCCATGCACACAGCCATGCACACAGCCATGCACACAGCCATGCACACAGCCATGCACACAGCCATGCACACAGCCATGCACACAGCCATGCACACAGCCATGCACACAGCCATGCACGCAGCCATGCACGCAGCCATGCACGCAGCCATGCACGCAGCCATGCACGCAGCCATGCACGCAGCCATGCACGCAGCCATGCACGCAGCCATGCACGCAGCCATGCACGCAGCCATGCACGCAGCCATGCACGCAGCCATGCACGCAGCCATGCACGCAGCCATGCACGCAGCCATGCACGCAGCCATGCACGCAGCCATGCACGCAGCCATGCACGCAGCCATGCACGCAGCCATGCACGCAGCCATGCACGCAGCCATGCACGCAGCCATGCACGCAGCCATGCACGCAGCCATGCACGCAGCCATGCACGCAGCCATGCACGCAGCCATGCACGCAGCCATGCACGCAGCCATGCACGCAGCCATGCACGCAGCCATGCACGCAGCCATGCACGCAGCCATGCACGCAGCCATGCACACAGCCATGCACACAGCCATGCACACAGCCATGCACACAGCCATGCACACAGCCATGCACACAGCCATGCACACAGCCATGCACACAGCCATGCACACAGCCATGCACACAGCCATGCACACAGCCATGCACACAGCCATGCACACAGCCATGCACACAGCCATGCACACAGCCATGCACACAGCCATGCACACAGCCATGCACACAGCCATGCACACAGCCATGCACACAGCCATGCACACAGCCATGCACACAGCCATGCACACAGCCATGCACACAGCCATGCACACAGCCATGCACACAGCCATGCACACAGCCATGCACACAGCCATGCACACAGCCATGCACACAGCCATGCACACAGCCATGCACACAGCCATGCACACAGCCATGCACACAGCCATGCACACAGCCATGCACACAGCCATGCACACAGCCATGCACACAGCCATGCACACAGCCATGCACACAGCCATGCACACAGCCATGCACACAGCCATGCACACAGCCATGCACACAGCCATGCACACAGCCATGCACACAGCCATGCACACAGCCATGCACACAGCCATGCACACAGCCATGCACACAGCCATGCACACAGCCATGCACACAGCCATGCACACAGCCATGCACACAGCCATGCACACAGCCATGCACACAGCCATGCACACAGCCATGCACACAGCCATGCACACAGCCATGCACACAGCCATGCACACAGCCATGCACACAGCCATGCACACAGCCATGCACACAGCCATGCACACAGCCATGCACACAGCCATGCACACAGCCATGCACACAGCCATGCACACAGCCATGCACACAGCCATGCACACAGCCATGCACACAGCCATGCACACAGCCATGCACACAGCCATGCACACAGCCATGCACACAGCCATGCACACAGCCATGCACACAGCCATGCACACAGCCATGCACACAGCCATGCACACAGCCATGCACACAGCCATGCACACAGCCATGCACACAGCCATGCACACAGCCATGCACACAGCCATGCACACAGCCATGCACACAGCCATGCACACAGCCATGCACACAGCCATGCACACAGCCATGCACACAGCCATGCACACAGCCATGCACACAGCCATGCACACAGCCATGCACACAGCCATGCACACAGCCATGCACACAGCCATGCACACAGCCATGCACACAGCCATGCACACAGCCATGCACACAGCCATGCACACAGCCATGCACACAGCCATGCACACAGCCATGCACACAGCCATGCACACAGCCATGTACACAGCCATGCACACAGCCATGCACACAGCCATGCACACAGCCATGCACACAGCCATGCACACAGCCATGCACACAGCCATGCACACAGCCATGTACACAGCCATGCACACAGCCATGCACACAGCCATGTACACAGCCATGCACACAGCCATGCACACAGCCATGCACACAGCCATGTACACAGCCATGCACACAGCGATGCACACAGCCATGCACACAGCCATGTACACAGCCATGCACACAGCCATGCACACAGCCATGCACACAGCCATGCACACAGCCATGCACACAGCCATGCACACAGCCATGCACACAGCCATGCACACAGCCATGCACACAGCCATGCACACAGCCATGCACACAGCCATGCACACAGCCATGCACACAGCCATGCACACAGCCATGCACACAGCCATGCACACAGCCATGCACACAGCCATGCACACAGCGATGCACACAGCCATGCACACAGCCATGTACACAGCCATGCACACAGCCATGCACACAGCCATGCACACAGCCATGCACACAGCCATGCACACAGCCATGCACACAGCCATGCACACAGCCATGCACACAGCCATGCACACAGCCATGCACACAGCCATGCACACAGCCATGCACACAGCCATGCACACAGCCATGCACACAGCCATGCACACAGCCATGCACACAGCCATGCACACAGCCATGCACACAGCCATGCACACAGCCATGCACACAGCCATGCACACAGCCATGCACACAGCCATGCACACAGCCATGCACACAGCCATGCACACAGCCATGCACACAGCCATGCACACAGCCATGTACACAGCCATGCACACAGCCATGCACACAGCCATGCACACAGCCATGCACACAGCCATGCACACAGCCATGCACACAGCCATGCACACAGCCATGCAACATGGCAGTAATTGACTGTAGGTATATGTACCTGGCGACAAGGTGCCTCTTGGTTGGGGGGGGGGGGGGGGGGGAGTTGATAATGAGGATGTGTAGAGCTGTGGATATGGGAGATTCATGGATACGGGGATGTCTGGATATGGCAGGTCCTGGACATTGCAGGTGCTAGATATGGCAGGTGCTGGATATGGGCGGTTCTACCGTACCCACATCCAGCCCTGGAAATCGACGGTTTATTTTGATTTACTATCAACAGCTAGTCTGCATGGCAGATGCAGTGCTGCTGCTCAATGAAATCCCATTACACTGTACTTGTGCCTATGTAACATCAGGCGCCGTGTAGCCCCCCCCCCCCCCCCCCCCCCCCGGGCCAGTGAACACTGGCCTTGTGCACAGGTGCAAGGACAGACTTGACCCATACAATCAGATTGCATTGAGCAGCATTGTACACAGCGCAGTGATTATTCAATTGCCACATCATGTGGGACGAGCATTTGGGTGAAGTGGCTCACAAGCTACGGGTGTACATCCATAGACGCATCCCGCTCTCCATGTGTATGCTAGATTCTTCTGTACTTCGAAGAACTCCCTTCCCGGACGCATGCCAGCACAGCATGCGCACTGTTTCTCTGCTGTCGGAATCTCTTCCTGAGTTCTCGTTTTGTTCTCCTTGTGTTTACATCTTGTGTTACTTGACAAAGTGTGTTGAAACCCAACAGCCACCCACTCAAATATCAATACAAAACGAATACTGCTTTCCGCTGCTTGCCAGGTAATGAACTTCGTACAAAACAGACATGCACTTTGAAGTACGACTAAAATTGCGATGATCTCATGCGCATTGTAACCTCTACACACAGCCACACATCTCACCTGGAAATAGACGAAGACCAGGTTGACGGTGGGATGCTTGTTGTAGTACTCGCCGTAGTCAAACAGCACGCGTATCGTGCCCCAGACGCGCAGGAAGATGAAGGTGACGACCAGTGCGCACGCCTTGCCACTGATCGTTTTCATTGCGCCCTTGATCAGCAAGCCATTGGGATGCGAATACAGCTGTGACAGTGGGGAGTTCTGTAGCGAAAAAAGAAAAGAAAAAAACCCACAGCAAAGTGCTAGTGAGAAGAAACACAATGCTCAAACTGGCCCTAAACACAACTGAATGATTAGGCCCTCCTCAGACTATGTACATGTACATAGAAAATCCTGTACAAAATCACATAAAAAATAAAGGGCAACATTTGTCCGAGCCTACATTCAGACTACATTTTACATGCGGCATACAGCTAACCTTTGACCCCGCAATGGGATGTGTGAAGGCAGGGAGTCATACAAAGTTTGTGCGCTTGTACGACTGCCTGGTGAAAGTAGGAAACATGCAGGAAAGTTGCCTTGCACAAGGGTTCGCACCCTGCCTGAAAGGATTGGGGAGCTTGTTAGGCTTCCCGCCAGATTCTTGTAGTTGTCTTAGAAACTTCTATGTAACTTTGACTTATACGCTGTTTTGTACCTACCGTAGTGGCCCATGCGCTTATGAGTGAGTTTTTGCGTTACTTGCTATTTTTTGCGGGTCGTTTTGTCTCACATATAGGCGGATGCGCTTGAGTTGCTAGTGTACCGGTACCATGCATAATTGTGCACATACTAGTAGTGCAATACCGCAAACCATAAGGATGATATTGAAGCAGTTATTCAGTCCCGTTTGTCTGAGCAACCTGTAAAAATATGGGCTTGCCCGAAAAATCGTATCTAGCGGAAGCCCTGCTGGACGCAAATAGCCCATGTAAGGGACCAAACGCCAACATGACAAGATCACAGTCAAGTCAATCCACATTGAAACAGCTAAGGTTTTCACTCTGCGGGAAAAAAAGGTTGCCTGATGATCGTAGTAATACGTGAAACTCGGAGTTAAGACACAGCTTCCAATCTCTCTTGTGATGATAAACACACGCGTATGCTCGCATGCATGCATACACACATGCATACATGCACACACATGCGCATACACACATATACACACGCACACACACGGTCTTCTTACCAGGGTAGTGACGTATCGGCGGATCAGGAAGACCAGCACCCCCATCACGACGTAGGCGAGCACCTCCCACCCTCTGCCCGCTACCAGCATCCACAGCAGGCGCGCCTGGTCACAACGCAGACCATTGGGCTGAGCCGGTTGTTCCGCTATCCAACACCAACCGACGGTTGCTCGCGAGTATTGATTGATCACGACACTGCTCGGAAGGCTAATATCACTCGTATTCCGCGGCGCAGAGGGCACCGCATCCATAAAGTACACGGTCAGTGCGAGGGCGACGGGGAATCCCCAGGAGATGCAGTGGAACACCAATCGGTACTTGATGGCTGACTTGATCTTGTCGCGTGGGATCATGATGTAGAGGAAGACGACGAACGACAGGACCCACAGGACGAACGCCATGTTCAGCATGATGCCCAGCATCGCCTGCCACCGACACACGAGATACGCCGTGCGCACTCCCGGTTGACCGTACGTCAGTGATCCCAGGCTGTTCAGTACGCACACGCCTACGTTGCACACGGATATAAACACCACAAACAGACGTGACTGTGCCTGCATGCCCTGGCCTGAAACGGATAGAAAGCGCAGAAGAACGTGCACGGCGATGATACAGATGCTGCACAGACATGATGCTATGGCAACCGTGGTTCCTAGGTAAAGGGCCGCGTTAGGCACTCTGTACGAGAGCACGTTTGAACTGACGCTTGCGTTTATGCACATTGCGTTGCCACACGTGTGTGTGTGTACGTGTGTTGTGTGTGCGTGCGTGCGTGCGTGTGCTACAGCAGGTCTGACACAGATTTAACTGCTGAAGAGCTCCCTTTCACCACTTTGTTAGCCACGCTCGACGAGAGGAGGTAGATCCGAAGAAGGTGCGTGGCTGGGGCCTGCGCTCATGTCCGAGTCCCGCCGCTGTCTTCACTCCACCCTAGCCACTGCTGCTTCTCCTAAGTCGCCAGGAAAAGACCAACGGTGTGCAAAGCCAGCTCTGACCTCTTTGTTAGGTGTGTCGCAATGCCTGATGAACTTCCTTGATATGAATGAATTACACAACACCATCCGACACTGTACAGCTCCAGACTCTCCTCTCGGCTGCTGGCAGATATACATGTACCAGGCCAATTAGGAACGAGAGTGCTTTGCGGCTGGCTCGTTCCGGAGCGGGCCAAGGGCAAGGTGATACTGGTCGCGTATTGGACCCTATTGGTTGTAGCTCACGCAAGCGAAGAGGACAAGCCCGACGTTATCAATGGCTGTTGCCGAGTTGCGGGATGTGCTCTGTTTCTGGCAAGCGGCCTGAGCCAGGGCCGTGGCTGAGAACAAGCCCTGGCAAAATAGCATCAACTTGGACAGTAGCGCACAGCACGCGGCTCATCCGCATCAAACCTGCTCTTCGAAATCAACAGCAATCCAAATCGAATCATCGGTCCCACAAATTTATTTCCTGGCGATACCGTACCGCACAGTTCTTCCAAACTACGCTTGAGACTTCCCCGAACACATAGCAATAAAAACTGCTTTTATGGCAGCTTTCTAAAAAAGGTTATTGTGTTTTAGAATCAACTCGTAAAAACTCCAAGTCAATCTCCCATTGACACAAACCTCGTTTATTCAACATAATCATCCTATCCAATAAAAACAGTTCATAAAAACAGCTTTTTAGGATTGGACCCAGTCCGCATAACCAAGACGGCAAGAGAGCTAGCTCCCTTGGCTGCTGTTGGAATATGCAAGAAAGTATCAGTTTAGTTTAGTTTAAATATCTCTTATTATTATTTTTTTTCTCACCCCACACCCCTCTACCCTGTTATCGGCCCTCTTAAGAGTTGTGTTCATCACTGTTGAGGCTTCCGATGGAAAATAAAAGAATACTACTACTACTACTACTAATGGGCCTCCCAGATAAGGTCTAACAAGGAGAAGTGTTGTGATCTCGAACTCGTCAGTCACTGAACTGATTTTATTAGAGAGGTTGTGCATAACGAAAATTCGTAACTTAGACGTAGTCTGGGCACGAGTAACGAAAAAGGAAAGGAACTTTCGCGAGGCTGATCGCGAAACTAATACTTGAAGATCTTACGTTTTGAACTTTCGCTTCTTTCTCGCAAGCTTCTGCATACATGTACATGTATATGTAGCTGTGTTGATGCACGTGGTGTCAAGATTTTTTTCGCCATGGCCTTTTCAAGTCGTTCTGCGAGTTCTTCCTACTCGGCATCCTGTGGAGCTGATGGATCTCTTTCCCGCTCTCTCAGCGATCCTCTGTCACCTGGACAGCGCTCGGCTAGTTCTGTCAGTGCTCGCTACGCCCTGCTGTGACAAATTATTCTGCTGAATCCCCGCAGCAGAATTCTGCCACCTCGGCGTCTTCGTCTTCCCCTGCGACGTCTCAGCGAAGGACATTTGATCTCGCGATGGACCTGGCCCTTCTCAGGCAGCTTCGTTCTCACGACCAACCGTTTCGACGAGGGTCTCCAGCCATGGCAGGGCCGGAGGAAGGAGTTTGTGAGTGGTCCGGCCAACTGTTGAGGGGGGGGGGGAGGGGGTGCGGGGGACCTCCCCCGGGAGAAATATTTAAAATTTACGTGAAATAGAGCGATTTTGGGCATCTTTTAAGGCTCCAGAAAATGCAGAAAATTATGGTAAAAGAACACAAACACAACTTTTTTTATCCATATCATTAAAGCCATACAGTGCCGGTCACGGAGTCCTGAGCTACTTAGAAGCACATCACACGTCGGCAGTACAGTCGAGTCATGTACCTCTGGATTTTTTTACACCGGTTTTGCACGAATCACATGGGCCATCCAGCTGGGAAAGTGGTCCGGCCATGGCCGGACCAGCCTGACCGGTTCCGCCGGCCCTGCATGGAGATCGTTGCCTGTGAGCTGGAAAACTTGAGCCCAACTCAGTTCGGTGGTGTGCCTACACGTGGGCCATGGGCCGGAGTACACACTTGATTCAAAAAAATTGTTCACCAAGCGCGCAAACAGCGGAAAAAGTACTCGAAAGGGTCACCACTGGTCACCATGGTCACACTACGTTTTTCGTTGAGCACAACAGATTTTCTTTATGCACAACCTCTCTATTGTAAAGAAGACACGAACTTATAGAGTGTGAAGAAGAGTATAGCGAGATAGAGAGCGGTGGAAGGAGAGCCACTGGACAGCTGGATAGTGTATCAATAAGCGTAGATCGAGGGGAAGGCTAGACAGTATGTCTCTAGACATCAATAGGTATTGTACGAAAGGCCAGTCAATAGCACTAAGGAGTGAAGTCAACCGCAACACAGACAATAGCTTCAGACAATCATGACAGGCATGATACGGATGATATAACAGCTATAGTTATGAAATGAACACCGGTAACCATGGAGACAGACCACACTCTCATTATAGATACTGGTTATAAATAGACCGAATACGGAAAATGATCTGATAGATGATCTTTCCAAACTGCCTTGGACTCGTCTAAAAAGTAAGAAATTAACAAAATGTGATTGCCGAAAATAAAAATTCCACACAAAACCTCACAATAGGGCTTGAAAGTGATGACGTCAAAACGGCCAGGGAGTAGTAAGTTGACATCAGATTTCTACTTTTGGATCCACTAAGGTGTGACTTTGCTATTGCCTAAGTATGTGGGTGCATAGCAACCCACTCATGTCGCATGCAGGTGTGACTTTTATTTCGCCACCAGTTGTAACCCCGCCCCCAGTAGCCAAATCAGTCAGTTTCACTGGCTACATCACCATGCTGTGGGTAAGACCGCTTGAAATGTGCTTGGATCCATACAAAAACTGGATCCAAGTGGATCCAATTTTTGAAATTGTTGCTATGCTGTGACGTAGCACTTTCAAGCCCTATAATCACAACACTTGAAATACTGCTTTCTTTTAGAAGAATGGAGAGCTATGGAGGAGACATGCGGGGAAAGGAAACATCAAACAGACGAAGAACAGTTTCTCGTTGTGCCATAAGCTCTGGCGATAGCATCTCTAGCGATACGGAAGTAGACACTGGTGCATTGAAATTTGGACCAGGATGAAGGAGCGGCTATAATCAGAAAGAGCTCGCTCCAAAAGAACTGCATTTGCCGAGTCCAGCTCAGGAGACTCGAAAAGAACTAGAAGTTACATGGACTTAGTACGGAGTTGATTGGAGCGCTCAGCAGCGCTGTTTCCTGATGAAGCACGTACAGTTAGTTGTGGGCGGTTGTAATGCCAGGCCTACTGGTATCACCGCTGCAGTAGTATGACTATGAGTGGCAATGCAGTAAAGAAAACACTAAGGAGAGAAACTAGATGGACTCCAGGCACACCACTCAGTGGAAGAAAAAGCTATATATATATTTTTTTAAAGCTCTCTTTGGTTTAAAGCTGTCTCTTTGGTTTACTGAGATATCCTGTAACCACAGGAACTTCTCCTTCCATTTAATTTTTTTAAAGGGGAAGTATACCCTAAAATCAAATTTTCACCAGTTGTAGTCTTCGGGGTGCTGAGTCGAATGGTCTTGGTCCGAGGAAGCTGCGACGCTCCCTTCCTACTTGAATCCCAATCGAACTCGCGCACTTCCACCGAAACTGGGTGACTGCGCCCTACTAGATGGGGATTTGTATGCAAAATGTCACTAAAAGCGCCATTTCGTTCTTATAAAAGCACGGATGACCGCGAGTGGCCCATATGTTGTAGTCTTTTGGACGCTGAGTCGACTGGTCTTGGTCCGAAAAGGCTGCGATGCAGCGTTCCTCCTTTATTCCCAATCGAACATGGTTGAAGAAGCGGTCACGTGGTCTTGGTTGCCCAAATCACCTGGTCACCGCGCCAGCAGGCGACAACTTTCACACCAAGGTTCAACTCGAGTGACAGGACTGCACCCAAAAAAGGTCAAACAGGCTAGTAAGTTGTACCCTGCAGGCACGGTGACCAGGTGACTGGTGTACGCAGGAGCACGTGACCGCTTGTTCAACCATGTTCGATTGGGAATAAAGGAGGAACGCTGCATCGCAGCCTTTTCGGACCAAAACCAGTCGACTCAGCGTCCAAAAGACTACAACATATGGGCCAATCGCGGTCATCCGTGCTTTTATAAGAACGAAATGGCGCTTTTAGTGACATTTTGCATACAAATCCCCATCTAGTAGGGCGCAGTCACCCAGTTTCGGTGGAAGTGCGCGAGTTCGATTGGGATTCAAGTAGGAAGGGAGCGTCTCAGCTTCCTCGGACCAAGACCATTCGACTCAGCACCCCGAAGACTACAACTGGTGAAAATTTGATTTTAGGGTATACTTCCCCTTTAAAGCAAGATCAAGTTTACAGCTCTAAGGGGTACTCAATCTGTGGACAGATCTGTTTCGCCCTTTCTGGACTCACCAGCTCAGCACAGAGGAAATGAGGCCGAGCCTGGTAGCAATGAGAAATGAATTTAATTTTCCAAAGCCAGATTTAAACCAGGCCCGAACGTACCGGACGGAGCTATAAGGGGGTACAAAGGATGGCGACATCAGCAGTGGTGATGGGTCCAGTCACCATACATCCGGCTGTAGGGTAACAACGTACAGATTACTTCTTTTGCCACACTGCCACTGGTCCACGCATCATTCCTTGTAACTAATACCAGTACAGTCAACTTCGCGAATAACGACAGAATTTCCATGCCCAGAGCAAAGTCCTATCTAGTGAAACCTGTCTAAGACGACCGCTCCAGGGACCTTCAAAATGTGGTCGCTGTTACCAGGTGGTCTCCATATCCAGGGTCATTTGACTGGAAATAGCATCCCTTGGTCCTGGTTATGGTGGTCTTCTGGGACAGGTGGTCGCCTTATCTGAGTGGTCGCCTTGACAGGTTTTACTCTATACATTATAATGAGACTTCGGGTATAACGACACTTCGCGAATAAGGACGCTTTTCTGACGCCCCGCAGAGTGTCGTTACACACAAAGCTGACTGTAGTTTCATGTCCATAAGAAATCATCCGACAGCTACATGTGATAGCTCTATTCGAATGAATATTGAGCACTCTACCCAGGCGGAGGACTCTCATTTGTACTGCCATACTGGTCCTAAGGGCACGGCGCCATGTCAGATTGTGAGTGACAACGGTTAATGCTATTATGTGTATGTGTTCACAACACCAAGTAAAGCGGGTAACACAGCCTACAAACAGCGAGGCCGCATCAAAAGAGGAATGGCAATAGGCACGCACACAGAAACGAGAGAAAGAGAAACGGTGAGAGGGATGGTCACTGGTATGCAAGAAAAAAGAGAGTTGAGAAGTAGCTGGGCCCAGACTGATAAATTATAATGTTCACGTCCAATCAAAACGAATGGACATTAACTTCATGCACAGTTCTATACTTACTAGCCACCCCTTCATAACTGTGATATCAAGCAACCAAAATTGGTCGGACAGGTAAGTTGGAAATGGCGAAATTTTGACGACATTACGGAACACAAGCGGTAGAGAAAACCACAAAAAAATAATTGTAGGATCTGATGATAAAATCTTTGTGAATGTATTCGGTGACAGAGTCTCCTGGTTACGCGTATGTTATCTATAAAACAGAGAGGTTCCAGGCTGTCCAACAGTGCTCCATACCGAAAGGCAGAGCTGGTTCAAATAAACAAAAAGATGATGAAAAAGTGTCTTACTCCGAGTCTTATGCACAAGGCGATCATCAGAAAATATGTTATCTATTGTATTGAGGCCCAGTTGTAACGGAAATGCATTGGTCATAATTCGAAGCAGTTTAAAATAATGATTAGCCACTGAAACACGCTACAAATGACAGTTGACCCTCTACTAGTGTAAGTTAATATTGAGTTGTCTGAATGGTGGGTACGTACTCGTGGGTACTTGACTTCAGCATTTTTATAAGAGTCCATTGCACTTTAGTGAAGCCAAGTGCGAGCAAGCCAGTGCGGATGTGTGAGAAAAAGATAAGGAGTTGGACTAAAGCAGAGAAGGAAGGAGGAGGAGGAGAATGCAGGCTTTTATCTTTCTTTTTTAAATAAACAAGCCTGCATTCTTCTGCTCCTCCTTCAAAGTACTGCTTATCAGATGACAAACGACCATAGTCAGTTCATCAATGATATCCTTTTAATCTACTTGCTGGTATGGGAACTCAAAGTATTCACATCGGGGAATTGTTATGTACCCGATGTCCCTCACACTGGATCATGCCGTTGCCACCAAATACTCATGATGACAACTTAACTATCATAGGTCGGACGAGAAGCTATCCTCGTCGTTGTCATGGTTGCTATCCTGCTCGTCTCCCTCTCCAAAGTAAAACGATTCATCCTGGAATGCGTCGTCAACGTCCACCTCTTCCTCCTCCTCCTCCTCCAGCTCCTGCTTCAGTGACTTCACGCTGCCCAACATGGTAGACATTTGCTGTGCGAGAAGCTGATTCGTCTCGTGGATTTCTTGCTGCACAGCGAGGAAAGGGAAGACAGATAAAGCATCTAGAATTGTTATCACAAAAATGCATCTAATTATATGGTGAAGACCAAAGGTTTAGAAGTTATCTGTACGTGTGCTTGTCCAACACTAATACAAGTATAGGCATTATCGGTGAGTCAAAACATGCAACACTTTCTCCAGGGTGTCTACAGTGAAGTCTGCACACCTAACCCTGATGAAAGTGTTTTGCTTGTTTTCGTCCTGAGCTAGCTCACCTCCCCCCCCCCCCCCTCTGGAAATATCAACTTAGAACCATCCGCGTTGGAAGGCTGGTGGTTTGGGAATCCGAGACATGATAGAGGTCAATGTCATGTGGTTGAATATCAGTACCGCATCAGTCATAAGTTATGACTCGTTACCTTGCTAACTGTGGTCACTTTGTTGCTGTCTGATGATCTCCCTTTGGCGTGAATGTCGGAGGCACCGGTGCTTGTACAACAGAATGATACCTCTTTACTTGCAACAGGAATAGAACCAAGCCTCTTGTACGCGCAAAATACACACAAGCGCAACCTCAACAGGAAGAAAATGAGCTAAAATGGCTGTGAACACAGTCTAATACGGAGGGAGCTAAAATGGCTGTGAAAACAAATACCTCTTTCCATTCTGTACAAAGTGCGTTCAGTACATTGGAATGTCTATTAGTGAGTGTCGTAATGTTACGTAGCCCCTGCCACTAATTTCCCCTACTCTCTTCTGTCTCTTTCCCCTTCGCAATAGTAATTCACAGGTTGGGTTGGGTTTGACTTACAAAAACAATTTTTAAGATCGACTACACATACATGTGTACACCTGAAGAAGAGGAAAGCCCCTGGACTTGATGGGATCGTGGCGGAACTGATTCAGCATGCATCCTCAGTTTGTGTTCTATTCCTACATAAACTTTGTTTGGAGATTTGGAAAACAGGGAGATGGCCAAAAGCATGGAAACGTCAAGAAATCGTCATGCTACCCAAAGCTGGATCAGCTAAGGAGTGTTCCAACTATCGGACCATTGCTTTGATGTCACATGCAAGCAAGATCCTTCTGACAATAATCTTGAATCGTATGAAAAAGAAGATAGAGGCTGAGTTACCAGATGAGCAGGCTGCTTTTCGAGCTGGTCGCAGTACTGTAGATATGCTCTGTGTTCTGCAAATCATTATCGAAAAATCTCTTGAATGTTTTTATCGATTATCGTAAAGCCTTTGACACAGTTAACCACTCACATCTTTTCGGTTGCCTTTTGGATTTTGGTTTCCCTCGCCACATAGTTTGTTTGCTTCAGAATCTTTACACAGGGATGAGCGGAGTTATCAGATGGAATGGCTCGCATTCGCCGGAGTTCGCCATCAAGAAGGGTGTTCGGCAGGGCTATATTTTGTCCCCACATCTATTATTTTAGCCTGTACACTGAGAGTGTTATGCGTGTTGCTGATATGGACAGTATCGGTGTGAGAATCGGAGGACGCCGGCTGTCGAACCTACGATATGCAGATGACACGGGATTGTGTGCACATCCATCAGAAGTGTCTAGCCTCACCAATGCTGTTAATGACGCTGGAAGAGAGAAAGGCCTGTCACTGAATCTGTCCAAAACCAAGATCATGCATATCGGAACCTGTACTGCTGGTGCAAACGATACTGCTCCAACGCGCCTTGTGGTCGACGGAGAACGAATTGCAGAGGTGAGCAGTTTCAGGTATCTGGGATCCTGGAAGACAACAAACGGTGATTGCAGCCTCGATATTCGGTCAAGAATTGCCATGGCGAAAGAGCGTATGCTGCAGTTAATTGACATCTGGAAAGACCACATCTCCAGACAGCTGAAAATCCGGATAATGCATGCCTTAGTGTGGTCTGTCCTGCTGTATGGAGCTGAGAGTTGGACTCTGCGGAAGACAGATGAACGACGAATACAGGCAGCAGAAATGTGGTTCTACCGACGTCTGCTCAGAGTATCCTGGATGGAGAAGCGCACAAATGACAGTATCCTGGTGGAGCTGGGAGTACAGAGACAGCTGCTAGCCAGGGTCAAGATACGCAAACTGACCTATTTCGGGCACACATGCCGCCCATCTGGCTGCGAGCTTGTACGTGACGTGATGTTTGGTGTCGTGGATGGTAAGAGAAAGCGTGGTCGTCCGAAGATTTCCTTTGCTGACAACATCGTTTTGTGGACTGGTATGTCTCTGCATGAGAATTGCCTGTTGGCATCTGACAGAGATGCCTGGCAGTCGCACTGTGCATCTACTGCTTGCACAGCTGCATAATGCCGTTTATTATTATTTTTTAAATTTTACTTTTATTATTTTTCGGCAACGCAGATGATGATGATGATGATGATGATGACACATACATGTAGATGTAGACACAAGAGTACGTAAGCTTGGCGTTTACATGTAGGTACTCCGAGTAGAAGTAACATGTAGTTGAGTAACATTTGGAATTTTGGATGGAAACTGTACTGTACTGTAGCTCCCAGGACCAGCACGAGTACAATTATTAATAATGTCTGGTCTGCCTGGTCTGCATTCTGTCTTTACCGGTATTTGCCACAAGCCCGGTAATCAATACCAGATCCTACTTCCTCAATTACCTCAAGTCACTCTCCTATCCTCCGGAGTGTCCGGTATTTACTTCTGGTGATCTGATTGCGAACACCGAGTCACCACAGTTCTGCATGCGATTTTCTCTTCCAGCTTGTGTGTAATCATAATGAAAGCTCTCTGCCTGTGCCCAGCATCATCCATTGTGAAATGCAATGAAAGACGACATAAGTAGCGCTGGACAATACGGACAATACAGTCCGGTGTAATTGTCAGTGTGCAGGCGAAGATTGCCTCGTGTCCTGTTCATTGTCTCTACACTGGACGAGCTGCTGGGACCAAGGAACTCAGACATGAATCAAATCGTTTGCACGATTGCACAGCACAGCATAATTACAGCAACGATCACCGGTATGTCAACTAAGATAATCACAAGTAGTGGAGTACATGATTGTACTGCACAATTATTACAGTGCAGGACTGGTGACTACTTTGTAGGCTGTCTTAGCTGATGGGATGATCGTTGTTCTGGCAACACAAACCAAGCCATGAGAGAATCGATTGTTATCTCTACAGCTAGTAATATATAATATATATATATATATATAGCTAGTTGCTGGATGTATCCATTCCTTGTATTGTCCGTTCGCCACGTTCTTCACCTTTCTATCTTTTGGCCACTACACTGACAAGAACGCTGAAGTGATGCATAGCCCGAGGACGATAGATCAACAGGGCATTGAATTTGCACAACAAGGAAAACTCACCAGGACACTGGCAGCTAACAAAATCAGAACCGAGTGAGTAGTGACACGAGATGCGCTGGATTATAGAATGCAGGTTTGCTGAGATGCTGAGAACCGCAATCAAATCATGGACAGTTCTACTGAATATTATTATATTTATTTCTACTGACAGTTACTGAGTAGTGATACAATGGCTGCTTGCATGCGTCAGAGCCCAGAGCCCAGATCCGGAGAAGAAGCAGGATGCTTTTGTCTGTTCGCAGAGTGATGGTAGCCTGGATACAGACTCATGTCCCTGCATGCCAGTCGTGGTCTAGCTAAATGTACATGTACATGTACATGTACCTGCAGATGCTGACCCATACATCAACTTCATCACCCTCTTCACTTGATACTCATCGGCCGCTTGCTGACACCATGGACACCGGTTGATGAAAACCATGTGCTTCAAAAGACATGCACGATGCAATCGTTTTGTTGTTTACAGTCAACTTCGCTAATAACGACTGCGGATATAACGACAATTCGCGAATAACGACAGAATTTCCATGCCCAGAGCAAAGTCCCATCCCACTGTAATACATATAATGGGACTTCGGGTATAACGACACTTTGCGAATAAGGACACCGTTTTGATGCTCCGCCGAGTGTCGTTATAAGCGAAGTTGACTGTACATCAACAGGACTTGTACTTCATGAGCATTGTAGTTTTCAGCGGTGCACAGCAACAACTTTACTTACATGTATTTTGAAAAGTAAAGTTCTTACACCCGCGTAATCATCGCCTATACAATTGTGTACAGTCATGCCACGGTGACTTTACCTACATGGATTGCACTTCGAAGTACATGTATTACCGAGAGTACATAACCCTATTCTATTTTTTAATTGTTGCTCACAATCTCCTGCACCCATTCAGTTGCTGCGTGGTTTCCGTCGGAATTCTTGGAACTGGCTCCTTTCTCATGGCTCCTTTCTCACGGCTCGTGGTTCCTTTCTCATGGCTTTTTCCGACAATGGAGAATTTAGACATTGACTGTTGAACTTGTAAGGCTAGTGACGTACCGGTAGATGTAATACATAGCATACATGGCATGCATGTACAGGAAGTGACCCCAGATGGACCGGTCCTGCTGTTTCACATCACACAGAACCGGATAAAACGTTCAGGAGACTTTATTTTTTTATTTTTTTACAGGATAACCACAAACCATCATGGTGCAAACGCCGGCAAAAACGCACAGAGATGCACATAGGGATGGCAGCCGAAGCAGTGGAGGCGGGGCAAGAGCAGCTAAACCGATCGGGAGTTCTCGGTTTCAGCACTGCTCATGCGCCACTGTGTTCAACTAGTGCATATGCGTTTCCCCACAAGAGTGTCACAATCTGACTGCAGTAGTGCAGAGGCGACACAACCAGGGTCCTAAAACCTCAATGCATTGTACAAAGGACGATTTATAGTTCTTACCATTTGCTCTCGAACCCAGCTCATGGCTTTCGTTACGTTCTGGCGACGTTCCAGATCCAGCGAGAGACGGTGCTGCGACTGTGACTGTGTCAGACGCGATGTAGCGTAGTTCCGGCGACTGACACGTACTGACACGTTGCTGGACGTGTCTGGATCGTTTTCACGCGTTTGATCTGCCGAAGTCGCCCTCACGTGACATGGTGGTTCCATCACCATTCCACTGTCGTTGTCTTTGAGGTTGTTGAAACTGGTACAGCGGACAAGGCACTCCTCCGAAGCACTGCGCGCGGAGCTGAGCGACCAGAAACTGGAGAACCTAGCCTTTCGTCCCAATGGCGTCCAAGACACGTTACTACGCGTATCCTCCGGCTGCCGCTGTTGGACCAGTGGGGGCTTCTCCGACAACGGAGAGGTCAGACATTGAGTCGAGGCAAACCGCTCTCGCGGCTTTCGGCATTCGACGGTGCTTGCGGCGGGCCAATCCAAACTATCCCGTCCATCGTCTATGGACATTGGTGATACTGCAATGGAGGTGTGTAGGTCTCTCGTACTCTCAACGTGCCATGATGATCGCCTATCATCAACAGAACAGCTGCTGGCTAGTCTTCGTGGTATTACTCCCACTGCTGGCGCTGGTTGAGTTGTTGGTGATGTTGCAACTATGCTAGTTGTTCGCTCTTGGGTCACTTGGGCTAGGCGTCGGTCGTGGAGGCGACGCACCGCACGGCTGTAGCGGATCAGGGAGTCCTTATCCTGTGGCACGCAGGAACCTCGGCAGTTACTTCGGCCATTGCCGGCAAGGCTGGACTGACGCTGCAGTGGCAATGAACCTGAAACGGACATTATGTTTGCTGCTAGCAAGAACTGTCAGAGGTACTGCTAGTTGTCTGGGGGTTCTTGTGAGATTCAGCTTGTGGTTGGAATAATCGGGGCAGCAGCGAGAGAAATACCCAGACTATCCTTGCTTGTTTCCTCACTAGCGCTCACGAAACACTAATCAATTCACGTCCTAAATTGCAGTTTATCTCTCACTTGCTCGTTGCTGCTACGAACTGCTGCGGCGAGTACCCTGGATTGCATGCCCCAAGCACCAGCAGCAGAATAAACACGCACTCCCCGCAGAATTGAGTCTCTTCTCCCACGTCACCCGTGGCCGTTGCGTCCTTCTCGGAGATTTTAGCACCCACCGGATTGCACAGCTGACGGGCGCTAGTTCGGGCACACAGATCGATCTGCTACTTCGGGAACGCGCTGCAGTTTACTAACTGCGAGCCCACGACACATTCACGTTATTGCTTTGTGTCCAGGGCGAATGTGCTCGTGGCGCATTCCCTGTTTGCAACTTCGGCAATGCGAACTGCTACAGAAGTGTACTCTGCACCCGTGGCTGCCACACGTACTTGACGCGACTGCCTACAGCTAGCCAAGCCAATATCAACTAACAAGCGAGCATTCATGCCGTTCTTGTCGGAAGTAGCGGACACTTCGACGTACTGATCTCTGCTTGCAACGGTCCTCAACGGGTTCTGGTCGCGAACACCAACAACTGTGCATTAAAGATCAATCAATACATTCCGATTGACTTGGAATCTATTGTTCGGAGTTGGGAACGCCGTAGATCTACGTGCCTGAGAGACTACACGATAATAGTGCACGGGTAGGAAGGCTAGGAACTGGTCGAATGCAATACTAGTGCGCTAATCTATTTTCGGGTCAACCTGCAGGTGCAGGGGAACACTAAACGTTTCCGAGGCTGGATGGCATTGGCGTGTGTGTTTTCCAGCACGCTCATGCTCTCTAACCCCTACTGGAACTCTTCTTCCTGTGCGTGCATCCTTGAACTAGGAAATTATCAAGTCGCAATCGGTATTAATAAGAGGCGGAAAGCTGAACTGCAGCCACATCCTTCAGGGATTGGGACTTTTCACGTAGTGGCAGAACAAATCAGACCTCCTGGTACTAGTTTAGTGACAACACCCTCCTCTCCGAGTCTCCTGACCACGTCTGTGCATAACCTGCTTGCAGGTGAGAATCCCTCTGATGAGCGATGCCCTGATCTTGTAGCCTGTACTGCACACTGTGCTTGGGGGACGACAGCAGACTGATGTCCAATGTACATCACAAAATGCATACACGATCATGCTGCGAGATAACTGAATTTACTACGACTGTCAAGTGCAATGTCGGTAATACCACTTCGGTATAAAGTTTCCCTGAGCTGAAGACGACGTGCAGCGAACGGTGCGCCTGCCTTCGATCAGTGCATGATTGAAGTGGGTTTAAGAGCGCGCAGATTTCGGCACGACTCCGACTCGCACTGGTTGATGTAAAGAGCTTCGTCACCATTACGTCATTATAGTGCATCCATTCCGCGGCCATGCATTGCCCTTTATGCAGTGAACCACGGCCTAGCCATAGTACCCAGGTAATCTGGTGGGTCGTCCAACCTTGTGCCTTGCGCTGTGGAATACAATTATTCGTAGTGGAAAAAGGTGCTAGAAGTAAGACGACACTCGCTCTGTCTCTGTCTCTCTCTCTCTCTCTCTCTCTCTCTCTCTCTCTCTCTCTCTCTCTCTCTCTCTCTCTCTCTCTCTCTCTCTCTCTCTCTCTCTCTCTCTCTCTCTCTCTCTCTCTCTCTCTCTCTCTCTCTCTCTCTCCATTGCACATCGCGCATACACAATGTACATGTACATGTAGGCGCACTCGAGCAGTGTCGGACTGGGGCACGCGCATAGCACACCGAGAAACAAATGGTGGCAGTTTTGCAAGAGATCGTCCACTACTGCTACAACTTACAAGTCCAAGTGACTGACACGGTGGAAGGGGCTCTCAGAGTTGAGCTCATTTACGTTTGACCACCTGTTCTAACATATGCCACGCAAGGTTACCTGTCACACAGCCATGGCCTGAGCGCGGGACAAATCACCCTGGGAGAAAGAACAACAGTTACCTTCATTAGTCTTTACTTATGCCGAACCAGGGGGTCCTGTTGTACTGAGTCTTTAACTCCCTGTACCGAACCCTAGTCTAGCTCGTACACATAACGTTGCACACAGGAAAACATATACGCACACGCGCACACGCACACACACACACACACACATACACACACATACACTCACACACACACGGGTCTATGACTGGTATCTCTCAAGAATACTTTCGGTATCTGCCATGTTTGACCTGAGAAAAACATGGCAAGAGATAGAGAAACAGGAATGTTAAGCGCGTGTCCAAGTGCAGACACTAGCGATGCAGTGTTCGGCAAATCCTCAGCCATTGTCGAATAGTAAACGCTCGTGGACCGTGCATGCCCCATGCTAGGAAACTAATTTGCAGAACTGAAATGTTTGCTCCGTTAGACAATTTCACACTGACGTTCCGATCGACGCACACAATCACAGCTCGAATCGCCTTCATGCGGGTTATGATAATGCCCGACGTTCTCTATGGTTATAACATGGAAACATGTGGGCACAAGTTATGCGATCGAGTCCATCAACTAAACCAGACGTTGAACAGTCAAACGTGCACGATCTAGCACACAACTGACAAGGAGTACTGAGACAAAATCAAATCTAGTTTAGTTGGTGGACTCGATCGCAGAACTTGTGCCCATTTCTTTCAATGTTTCAATTTTTTTCCTTGGCTCACCATCTGAGTTCTCTATGGTTCGATCAGCTTATCTCCTCACTGACTGCCTAGCAAAATGAACGCCAACAGAAGCTGCCAAACCGCGCTGCCCGAGTGGCCGTGCGGTACGCGGTGTTTGGCCAACCACCTAGTGCTTCCGCTCAGCCACACCTGCTCCGGATATGGACCTGTTCCGGATTGAGTTGCATCACCAGAACGCCCTCACACCCAGGGTGTGGGGAGTTGCACCTATGGAACTAACGTGTTACTTTGGAAGGGCAGGCCCACCATTGTGTGCCCTAGTATCTCCCTCAAGCCAAAGTCGATCACAACCCGCTGGCACAGCGCCAGATCAACGTTGGCCTCATCCTATGTTCCGTTGCATCCACAATATTTGCAGTTCACTCCTCTCTGACATGTTCTCCCTTCGCCCTGACTGCACTCACACAGATAGTCACCCGCGGCCAAGTCAATAATTCCCTTTCTTTACCCATTGTGCAAACTCAAGCTGGATACAAATCTAATTTATTCCTTGGTGCTGACCGCTGCGCTTCCCGAATCCCTTCGCACAAATCACATCCCCAATTCATTTCGCCAGGAACTTAACCCATTCATTCGTATTGGGCACCCTGTAAGAAGACCCTAGGGTCTGTTGAGAATGCTCAAGTAAAATAATAAAATACAAAAATAATACAATACAATAGAAATCCCTCGCGCAAGGAGTCGTTTGGCTCGGCAAACCGGCCAGAAAGGACCACTCACTCCCCGCTGGCTACACCGCGTTTCAGGGAATTCAACCCTCATCAGTCGAGCTTGAGTAGGCTGAGCTGAGGAAGGTTGTGCCAGGTTGTGCCTGAAGAGCACCACTTACATGTACAGGTGCATGACTGTATTGTAGTGGTCCGTCCAAGTCCAAACATTACCACTCAGGGATACAAACTTACAGAGACGCTCCGTTTCCAGCGTGATAAATACTAGCACCTCATGAACATCAGATTGCAGCGTGAGTCAGTGTCGCTAATGCCGGAAAGGTAGAACAGGCGTTGAGGACCCTTGGCCTTGGTGATTCCCAACGCTGTCGCCTCCAAACCTAGTCCGTAGAGAGGTTCTGCAAAACGAAAATGCGTAGGAACTTTCGCTCTACGTCACGAAGTGAGAAACTTCGCACGAACTTTCGCAACTTTGGACGCGAAACTTGCAGGGAACGCGAAATGAACTTTCGTAGGAAGTTTCGTGAGATTGGGTCATGTCGTACGTGCACTTGGCGCGTGCAAACTACGAAAATGTGCAGAACACAAAGTTCGTGCGAAAATTCGTACACATTTTCGCAAGGCCTGTCGCGAAACTTCGTTCGAATTTTCGTTGTGCAGAACCTCTCTCGTATTGCCTGGAATTCGATACCCATATTTCAATGGGCGCACAAGTCAAGTTCCTTAATCGTTTCAGAATTTGTAGCATGTTCAATACTGCTAGCAATTGAATGTGAGAGTTCGCTAAGCGTTTCTATCTCTCCAACTCTTCCCATACTTATCGAAAAATGACAAAATTGTTGCCCTCGTAGCGAATGAAAATGAAACATGGCTTCAACATCAAATCGCAACTATGATAACACAAGTTAGCGTCGCTCTCAGTCTAGATTTCCTTTCCTTCTCTCTCTGTCTCCCTCTCTGTCTCTGTCTTTAAGTCGGTCGGTCGGTCTGTCTTTCTGTTTGTCTGTCTGTCTGTTTGTCTGTCTGTCCGTTTGTCTGTCCGTCTGTCTCCCTCTCTAACTCGCTCTCTCACACTCTCTCTGTCTCACTATCTCTGATTCTCTGATTCTCTCTCTCTTTATTTCTCATTTTTCTCCATCTATCTATCTTCCTCGCCCTCTTCCTCTGATACCCTTGATTAGCCTTTGGGGGGGGGGGGGGGTTCACATCTTCCAGTTTCAACTACTCCGTGCTCATCAGTTCACACTGTTCCGTGCGTGAAGGTTTTCATCCCGACCATACACGATACTGAGTAGCCAGGGTGGGCTGATCCACTTCCCATGTACTACCGATACCGGTGGAAAGCAATCAACTTAACTCATTACCTGTGTTCCAGTACTCTCTCCAGTCAAGTCCTGGATTGAGACGCCGAGCAGATGGGCATGCCTGTCCCTTGCTCATACCAAGGCTCAGCCAGTGCCACAACCACCACACCCCGGTAGACGCCCTGACCCGAGACTCGCGAACACAACAAGTGCAGACTGACTACTAATGCTATCAGCATGGAGTGCAGAGTACCTTGCCCGGAGCTCCCTACTCTGCATGCATATTGTCAAGAGAGCAAATCCACTTCTTTTGGTAATATTGTGACTTCATCCTGCAATTCACTCAAGAGTGCGACGTTTCTAAACACTTGGTATCTAAACCTACGCGCACTCCTGCTCTTGTCATGTCAAGGTCTTCTAACTCCATTATAATTGTAAGACTTGACTTGTCACATATCGATCATGACAATGTCATACCATCTCCAATCACGTGGTGGCATTGTGAAGGAGAATGTGGACGCCAAGAGATCCTCGAGACCCTAGCACAAAAACCTCCTGAAATAATTTCTCAGACATCTGATACCAGGGTCCAGCACGCAGGATACCGGTACGCGGTAATACTGCGTTTACCATGAAAGGCAGGCTTTCGCTGGGCTCTACTCGTCCTCACACGCAGCGGCTGTCACTGCATTCGGACAGCGTTTTCGTCAGTCGGTAGATCCACGTGCGGGATGCGACAGCCTTATCACTATATCAGGTCAGAGGTGGGCCTCCGAAGTAGACCTACCATTGTCTACACAACTTCACAAGTCAGCTGTGTGAATGTGATTTATGCATCATGAGTGTGCCTACATCAGTACATGTCGACGAAAGAGCATTGTAAGTCTCAACAGTAGTTTGGAAGAGCTGTGCGGTATCGCCAGGAAATAAATTTGTGGGACCCGGTGATTCGAAGCGTGCTGTTGATTTCGAAGAGTTAGTTAGTTTGCTGCGGATGAGCCGCGTGCTGTGCGCTACTGTCCCAGTTGATGCTATCCCGCCAGCTCTTGTTCTCAACCACGGTCCTGGCACAGGCTGCTCCCTGATCCCTGTGTACTAGAAACAGAGCACATCCCGCAACTCGGCAACAACCATTGATGGCACCAGGCTTGTCCTTTTCGCTTGCGTGAGCTACAACCAAGACGCGACCAGAATCACGGTGGCCCGCTCCGGAACGAGCTAGCCGCAAAGCACTCTTCCTGATTGGCCAGGTGTATCTGCCAGCAGCCGAGAGGAGAGTCTGGAGCGGTACAGTGTCGGACGGTCCAATGCGATTCATTCATATCCAAGGACTCTGAATCACAACGCCTTACGAGACACCCAACGAAGAGTTCTGAGCAGGCTTTGCACACCGTTCGTCTAGTCCTGGCGGCTTAGCAGCAGAGGCGACCAGTGTGCAGTGAGGACAGCGGATGGAATTGGTCTTGGATATGAGTGCAGGCCCTAGCACCGCACCCTCTCCGGCTCTACAACCTCTGGTCGAGCGTGGTTAACAGAGTGCTGAAAGGGAGCTCATCACCAGCAGTTGTATCTCCTGCTTATAGACCTGCTGCAGCAAATACACACACGCACACGCACTCCACCCCCCCCCCCCCCACACACACACACACGCGCAGACACGTACACGAACACACGTGTGGCAGCAACACAATGTGCATAAACGCAAGCGTCGGTTCGAACGTGCTCTCGTACAGAGTGCCTGATGCGGCGCTGTACCTAGGAACGGCGGTTGCCATAGCGTCATGCCTCTGCAGCATCAGCATCATCGCCGTGCACGTTCTTCTCCGCTTTCTATCCAAGTCGGGTCCAGGCATGCAGGCGCACTCACGTATGTTTGTCGTTTTCATATCCGTATGCGACGTAGGCACGTGCGTGCTGAACAGCCTGGGATCGCTGACGTACGGCCAGCCGGGAACGCGCACGGCGTATCTCGTGTGCCAGTGGCAGGCGACGCTGGGCATCATGCTGAACATGGCATTCGTCCTGTGGGTCCTGTCTTTCGTCGTCTTCCTCTATATCATGATCCCACGCGACAAGATCAAGTCAGCCATCAAGTACCGATTGGTGTTCCACTGCATCTCCTGGGGAATCCCCATCGCCCTCGCACTGATCGTGTACTTTGTGGATGCGGTGCCGTCGGCGCCGCGGAATACGAGTGACGTTAGCCTTCAGAGCAGTGACGTGATCAATCAATACTCGCGAGCAACCGTCGGTTGGTGTTGGATAGCAGAACAACCGGCTCAGCCTAGTGGTCTGCGCTGTGACCAGGCGCGCCTGCTGTGGATGCTGGTGGCGGGCAGAGGGTGGGAGGTACTCGCCTACGTCGTCATGGGTGTGCTCGTCTTCCTGATCCGTCGCTACGTCACCACTCTGGTAAGAAGACCGTGTGTGTGCGTGTGTGTGTGTGTGTGTGTGTGTGTGTGTGTGTGTGTTTGTGTGTGTGTGTGCATGCGAGTGTGTGCACATGTGTGTATCAGCATGTATTTATCCCGCAGAGTATAAACTCCGCCGTTTCGATCTGGATCGGGGGAATTTCGGTACTGTGCCTTTTGTCATGTTGGCGTTTTCTTTGTGAGAACGTTGTGCAGCAGGGCTTCCACTTGTTCCGATTTTTGGAAGCGCCCAGATTGTTACCGGTCATCACGACAAACCAACGAAAAGGTTGCTTCACAATCTTACTTTTAAAAGGTTGTTCGTGAAAATGCCTTGGTCAGTTGTTTCCCGCTCTTCAAATCCTAGAAATGCTTGACTAGCACACCAAAATGCCCTGCAGTGACTAGCACACCAAAGTGCCCTGCACTACATGTACTGCCGGGTGCTGAAGAACGGAGTGCCGAAGAACGGAGTGCCGAAGAACGGAGTGCCGAAGAACGGAGTGCCGAAGAACGGAGTGCCGAAGAACGGAGTGCCGAAGAACGGAGTGCCGAAGAACGGAGTGCCGAAGAACGGAGTGCCGAAGAAGAAACAGGCTGGGATTTCACCAAGCACAGCATAACAATGTACACACGGTGACTCAACTGTACATAGACTGTAGAACATGTACATGAAAATAGGAACGGCCGAGGCTAGGAGGCTGCCCCCCCCCCCCCCCCACGCCGTTCTTCAGCACCCGAGAGTACTGTTGTCATGCTGTTCTTTTTGGGGTCAGTTTGGACGCTGTGTTTCTGCTCATTAGTATTGTGTTGTGGGGTTTTTTCTTCTCATTCTTTCCCCGTTCTATCTCATGTTACAGAACTCACCACTGTCCCAGCTGTATTCGCATCCCAACGGTTTGCTGATCAAGGGGACGATGAAAACGATCAGCGGCAAGGCGTACGCGCTGGTCGTCACCTTCATCTTCCTGCGCGTCTGGGGCACGATACGCGTGCTGTTCGACTACGGCGATTACTACAACGAGCATCCCACCGTCAACCTGGTCTTTGTCTATTTCCAGGTGAGATGTGTGGCTGTGCGTGGAGGTTATAATGCCGGTGCATGAGATCATCGCAATTTTAGTCGTACTTCAAAGTGCATGACTGTGTGCTTTGTATGAAGTTCATTGCATGGCAAGCAGTACTCGTTTTGTATTGATATGTGTGCGGGTAGCCAGGGCTTGTTGGCCACTTCATCCAAATGCTCATCTCAAATGATGTGGGAATTGAATAACCACTGCACTATGTACAATCCTGCTCACTGGAATCCTATTGTGTGGGTCAAGTCTGCCCCTGCACCAATGCACAAGCCCAGTGTCCACTGGCCTGCGGCCGGGCGCACAGCGCCTGATGTTGTTATACAGTCAGAACTTGCTTTTAAAATTCACCGCACACACCCGTTTTCCACAAAAATATCTGGATATTCGAGGGAGCAGGAAAACCTAGCACATATACCGTATGTATGCATGGCATATGCTGTAAATCGGTAACCAACGATTTTCTTTCGGCTGGCGAGGGATCCGGATAAAAGAGGACCGGATAAGCAAGGTCTGACTATACTTGACTCCAATAATGGGATTTCATTGAGCAGCACTGCATCTGTCATGCAGACTAGCTGATTGAGCAGCACTGCATCTGTCATGCAGACTACAATTGTAGCTGTTGATAGTGAATCAAAATGAACTGTTGATTACTAGATTGTTGATTTGTGGATGTGGGTGTAGTAGACCCTCCCATATCCAGCTACCTGCCATATCCAGCCACCTGCCATATGTGGCACCTGAAATGTCCAGGACCTGCCATATCCAGGCATCCCCGTATCCATGAACCAAGAGGTACCTTGCTGCCAGGTACGTGTACCTTCAGTCTATTATAGCCATGTTGTGTCGCTTTGTCTGTGTATCTATCCATCCGCCAGTTCTTGTTTGTGTATTCATACAATGACTGTCCATACGTGCTCCTTCTGATTGTGTGTGTGTGTGTGTGCATGCATGTACATGTACATGTACGTGTGTGTGTGTGTGTGTGTGTGTGTGTGTGTGTGTGTGTGTGTGTGTGTGTGTGTGTGTGTGTGTGTTCATTTCCCAGGCTGTCGGTGACAATGCGCAGGGCGTTGTCAATCTCATCCTCTTCGTCCTGATGGCTCCAAAGATCCGTGGCGAGCTGGCAGCGGTACTGTGCATACGCTGTCGCCACTGCTGCTGCTGTTGCTGCTACCACTGCGATGACTGGCGCTACAGACGGCAGAAGAACGTGAGCGAGGACAGCGGCGGGCTGGAGGAGAGCGCCGAGCGTCCGGCAGTCCTCAACGTAACGGTAGCGCCGAGAGACGCGTCTTTGTCAAGTCAGCTGACGACGACGCCACCGACCTCTCTAACGGTGAGTTCCGGCGGCGACCCGGACACGGCGGTGGCCAATGGCATCGCGGTGCACACACGCGTGCGCCGCCCTCACGGCCGATCCAACGCGTCCTCGTCCGACTATCGCTCCAGCGCCACCGAGCTGGAGATGACCGAGAGTCACTCGCCGCGCAGCTGGGCAGGGAAGTTGTCGCGGCCGCACAGCCGCGGCCTGGACCTGTCCCAGCGCAGCCAGGAGTCCTACCTCTCGGCCAGCTCCATAAACTCCTACCACACGGGCAGATCGAGTGTTGTGCCCGTCTCCTCCCCGATCACTGAAGACACGGAAACCGTCAGCCTGTACGTTCCCAGCAGCAGTGCATCGTCGGCGACACCGATGGCGTACGAAAGCCTCCCCGCCGCCACACTCCGGCCAACGTCACCGAAGGCGGCAGCACAACGGCCAAAGTCCCCGAAGCCGGCACCACGACCAAAGTCCCCGAAGCCAGCAGCAGCACGACCACCAATGCATGTAATGGCCAGTACAAAGACGCCGCTTCTCTCCGACACAGACGACTACCTCCCGTAGATGAATATTCGTTGCACACAGACGACCACCTCCCGTAGATGAATACTTATTTAACACAGACGACCGTGTACATGGTGAATGCTCGTTGAACACAGAAGGTTCGTTGGTGGGTTTATATTTTACTTCGCACGTTCAAACGGAGAGGACCGTGTACAGGGCGAATACTCGTTGTATAGATCAGGTTTGACACCGTATACATGAAGACCGCAATGATAATCTAAAAAAATTGCTTACTTCGTACAACACTGTTTTGCGGGGACTCTGCATTTTGGGTATTGCCGTTCAGGTCGTTTCGGTTGATGAAATATCCCTAAAAGTTTCTTTCCGATTTGTTGCTTCATGTATTTCACAGTTACACACATGATTCGGACTTTGCTTCATCCCGGATTGCATGGGTATAAGTTTCAAAGCACAGTTACTAGCCATCTTTAGAGGAAACAATCGATACCGACTGATGCTAGAAACCGTCACTATTATTTTTACAAGATAACGGATACGCTACGTAAACTAATGAATAGCCGGTAAAACAGCAATACTAGTAGTTCCAGTTGATCCTGTCTGCCTGCAGTGGATTGCAGGTGCTGGACTCTAACAGAATCTGATAACTTCTAGCACAATCATTCTGTGTACGGTATGATTAATCCTATTTTCCCTGTCCCCCTTTTTTTTTTATCAATAGAGACCCTGCCATCACATACCTGTACTTGAAGTCGTAAGATAATTATTATAGTTGTATTGTAATGTGCGTTCATGTGCATGCCCTGCTACGTTGTGGTTCTAGTGATTCAGTCTACAATCCGATTTTGCTTTTTGACGTAGAGATATAGCCGATTGCATTGCCATCAGCATATTCTAGAGGCTACTATTCTAAATTCAATAACTAGCTGTTTTTTTTATTATAGAGAAATGCATATTGACTGTGAAGAAGGGTAATCGGTAAAACATCAATACCTTGCTGGTCTGGTGAGCAAGGTAGGTCGGTCTGAGAGAGTGCACGGCACGCGTTGGGGAATTGGTAGTCGTACTACTATTACTCCCCATAACAACACAAACAACAGTGTTGATGCACATGCTTTTCAAGACCCCACCTCTCTCCCCTGTCTTTCTTGAAAAGCAGCCAGCGCTCCTGCAAACACCACCCGCATGTCTTGTTGGGAGCATGACTACCGACACCCTACAACAGTGACCAGCTCAGGACACCGAGACCAGAGTGACTGCACTGGGACCTCCAACACACCCACATACACACGCACACGCACACACACACACACACACACACACATACACACACACATACACACCGCTGTAACTCCAAGTAAAACGTTCCTCTAAACCTCTTGCATGATACAGTCTAATAAGAAAACACATGAGTGACAACATCCACTAACAAAGGAAAAGAAAAAATAATACTAATATATACATGACTGTACACAGGAGTTTTAGCACGGACGGTGTCCAAGCAGTAGTTACAAATACACAGGTCCAGCCTGCGACAACTATACTTGATTAGAACATGTGTGCAATCACTCTATTACACGAGTGAGGAAACATGTGAGAGCCTGGACCCAATGGCCGGCATCGGAAAGGAAAAAAAAAGATACGCTAGTAAAAGCTGGCTGCAGTGGAGCTTCCGGGTATTGAAGATAGTAAAAGCAAGTAGCGCAATCTCTCCCGGTTGTGAAGACAGGGCACGACGAAAGGGCACCTGCTGGCACTATCTGGGTTTCACGATTGAAAGTTGAAACCCATACGGAATTACAGGATCGGCCTAGTCAGAACTGAACAAGTTTTGCTGATGAGCACGGCATCGGAAGGGGAAGAACATACGGGAGCGTACACCCTCTCTCGCTCACTCTTCTCAGCTCAATGCATCCAACTGGCCCTGAATCGTTTCGAGCTGCACAGCGAACACAACGAAACAAACGCATAAAGCACGGCAAGGGGGGATCAGGGTTCGAGGTATGGGGGAACAGAAACCGAGGGACACGTTCTGTCCACCAACAAAGGAGGTACACTCATACCTGGTTTATCCGGGCAGTCCGGGACCGGGCCCTACGGGTAACTTTGAAACATCCGTAACTACGAATCACATACATTTCCATGGGGAAAGGCCACAGCATTATGGCATATTAAGCCACCATTTCCACAAAAAGTGACAAAAGAGTTGCAATAGTTCCACTGAAACGTGCCCAAAGGGTGCCCCCGGTAGACCAAACTGCCCATAACCTCGGTGTCCGGATAACCGAGGCATGAGTGTGCCACAGCTCAGAACGGCAACACAGTGCAGACTGAGAGATGCGGACAAACAGACAACTGTCACTATCTAACAGTGGTGTACTCACTTCCCAGCTTCAAACATAATACAGGTTTCTGCAGCTCCCGCAGTTTTTCTCATCTTAATTTCTAAGCGATTGGATAACAAACGCCCAATTTCAGAAATTTTACGCACGTGATCACAGATTTTATGCGGTATAGATTCTGGCGTAACGGTTTTGTTTGGAACCAGAGGTCTGGACTCTTGAAACACACCATAGCAACCAGTCCGCCACAGCCACATGAGCAGCCACAGCGACAGCAGTAGCCACAGCAGCAGCCACAGCAGCAGCAACAGCACGGAAAGACAAGCCAAGCAAGTCAACTCACCTGTTTGTAAAAGTCGTACAGCTCTTCGTGTGTGAACTCAGCTTGTACTTTGTCAACAGTCTACAAAGAAACAAACGCAAGCAACAGCAGCAGAACAAGCAAAGACAAGAATAAGAGCAGATACACAGCAAAAGATAACGTTAGATAGATAGAAAGAGGTGTGTGTGTGTGTATGTGTGTGTGTGTGTCAGACATGAAACTGTGCCAAATTGATGAATGGTTTACTCTGGCCCAGGATCGTCAGCAATGGAGAGATGCGTACCGCACTCGTGTGCAGCGTCCTGCCCCGGTACCGCTCTCTTGCCTGGTGTGTAAACGGACATTCAAGAGTAAATCTGGACTCGGACGACACAAATGTTCTGCTGATCGCCAGCTACCTGTAGCGGAACAGCCGGGCGCACGTCAATGCCATGCCTGCCTTCGGTGGTTCCGAAGTGCCGGTGGACTTGCTGTGCACAAGTGCACAACACCCGCCCCGGTATCACCGCCCACACCCCAGCGCATACCAATCACCAGCCATCCGTGTTGCAACCAGCACTGCGCTACCTGTGATCGCTGTTTTAAATCTGCTCCTGGCTTTCGGCGACACAATTGCAATCGTGGCCGGCGTCGTGGCGGAGCGGCTTCCTAGTGGCAGTGCTGACTTCTCTCGAACTCTCTCTTCTACTCTCCCCTGTCTCGGGGGCGGCGTGGCCAAGCATTTGGCAGCTGTACACCAGGCCAGGTGTGTGTGTGTGTGTGTGTGTGTGTGCACGTGTGTGAGATAGACTATAATTATCGTAGCAAACGCCACTTGTCAGCACTAGGATGGCAAACTAACTATTCCACAGGCAACAATGGCAAGCAGTTTACCTTGGAACCGCTGGAGATATCAAACTCAAAGATCGCATTGGGCTGCTTCATGCGAGATTTGCTTGCCTGGGACATCTGCAAGTTCAGTCTCCAGTTAACATCATCCAGCTAAAGCATCAGATACACATATGCACACACACAAACACACACACACACACACACACACACACACACACACACACACACGCACGCACGCATGCAACACACGCACGCACGGAGGAAATACGTCTTCATCGGTCAAGTCGAATACAGCACTTTATATTGATAAGCAAGACAGTGCCTGTATCGTACGTACAATACGAGAGAAGAAAAAAACACGCACGCACACACACTCACGCACATACACGCGCACACACACACACACACACACACACACACACACACACACACACACACACACAGCATGTGCACAAGACAAACCTGTTTCGGATAGAAGCTTGTCTCGCGCAGGCGCTCTACAACGGTTTGCGCTGAGCTCTGCCATGCCTTTGCAATTACAGCGGTCTGCAAACAGGGAAAAAGAAACACCAACACCAACAGTACAATTATACCACAAAAATTACAGAGTAGAGAACGATTAGTTCTTTTAACCGTAAGGCTGATGCTGAGCTGCACTATTGTGGTATACCACAAAATATACTTTTAGCACATCACACAATTTGTACGGCAAATCCTCAACTCGAATCGATGTTAACATGGCTGTGTTCCTTTCATGGGAAACACCCACCACTTGCACGATGGCGTGTACACGTACATCTTGGATAATGCAGCTTTGAAGGCTGTGCCAGATCCAGCTATAGAGGCTGCGTGATTACATCACCAAGTGAGATGCCGTGCCAAAGCCGCCACACACAGAGATGCAGTAGCTCAAGCGAAACCACCGGCTCACGCTGTATACTTAGGTCCTATAAGCGAATCCGCTAGTTCACCACTAAGACGTCATTTGCGTAACCTCAACATGGATGGAGTGAATGGGATTTTCGGTCTTTGACCACTTGCTGGCGAGCTGATCTACTCACCTCCGACCGCTTTTGAAGCTGCGTCTGCGCCTTGATCCTTGAAGGGTGATGGCATTCCTACGGATGCGGAAAACTCGGCCTCTAGCCGAGTCTGACGCGAACCGTGAATTTTTTTGGTATACCCCCAGCAGACCCCCAATCCCAGAGTGGACACAGGCACGCATGTTGCTTACCTTCTCCTCGGATAGGTTGACATTCTGCAGCTGTTGACTTAGCACGGATGGCTTACAGAGATGGTACGCAGCCTGAACACAACGACGACACAACGGCACGACACAGTGGGGTAGGTGTCATCAAGAGTACAGTAAAACCTGTCAAGGTGACCACTCGGATAAAGCGACCACCTGTCCTAGAAGACCACTGGAACCAGAACCAAGGAATGCTACTAGTACATCCAGTAAAAATGACCCTGGATAAGGAGACCACCTGGTAACAGAGACCACCTGGTAACAGAGACCACCTGGTAACAGAGACCACCTGGTAACAGAGACCACGTTTCGAAGGCCCCTTGAGAGGTCGTGTTAGACAGGTTTCACTGACTGTATACAATTGCATGAATGCGTTGCATGGAGTAGTGTCATAGTGCTTTGCCATCACTACTAGTGAATTACAAAGCACAGGTGATGATGTCACCGCAATTACGCGACGACCTCATCCACACAAATGCTGCGCAAGAGAGGTAGTGAGTGTTGCATCCGGCGATGCGGCACACATGGCGTGAAAGTGAGACAATATCGCCAAAGGCACACAACAATGTCTTTCACGGTCGGCACGGGAGACACAGTGAGGGATTTGAAGAGAAAGCACAAGTAGCCGCTAACTGACCTGCTGCAGAAAGAAAGTGATTGTTTCCAGAACAAGTTTCAGATCGCGTCCCTCCACTTGAAACACATCTTGCAGCTTCTCCTCTTCCTCCTCGGTGAAGCTACGCTCATTCTGAGAAAACACACACACACACACACACACGCGCGCGCGCACGCGCACACACACACACAGGTAGGGAGAAACAAGGCGAGATTTTATTTCAGGTCCGGCATATGAGTGTGTGTGTGTGTGTGTATACGTGTGTGTGTGTGTGTGTGTGTGTGTGTGTGTGTGTGTGTGTGTGTGTGTATACGTGTGTGTGTGTGTATACGTGTGTGTGTATACGTCTGTGTGTATACGTGTGTGTATGTGTGTGCGTGTGAGTGTGTGTGCGCACACGCGCATGAGTGTGCATAATCATGGACATGTGGGTTGGTGTGCACGTACACATTGCAGTGCACGTGCATACTCTCGACACACCAACACGGAGCATGTACAGGCCCGCCGGAACCGGTCCGGTTGGTCAGGTTATTACCGGACAAACTTCTTGGCCACCAACATGTGTTCAGTACTGTGGAGGGCATACTAGTATGCATCCAACATGTCGATACCCAAAGCATGAAAGACCACAACAGTACAGTACTGGACCAATCAAAAACAGCTTCCGGCGGTCCTGATCTAGAAAATCTTCGATCACCAAACTAGACACCCAATGGCCACAGAAGTTGCACATCGCGTGGACAGCAAGGCATGACATATACATCACCGATGAACGAGCTACCAAATACATAAACTAAATATCGCAGATCTGCGCACCGAGCAGATCACGGACCACCTTTCCTGCTCACAAGCTACCAGGTCTGTGAAATAAATTTTCGGCGGCCGGGATACGTAAAATTGTATACCAAATCTTTGAAATGAAACTCTGGTGCCTTTCATGATTTTTTCCTGCTGTTCTGGTCAAACCTGCAAAATTCAAAAAAAGAGCATTGTAACTATTTTCTTGTGAAAACCATTCCGGGAACACGACCAAGGAATGCCGACTGATCGGGCGTAGGTCTACTACCAGTGCATATCAGAGATAACTCTTCTGATCACATTCGTATTGTAAATTTAATGCTTCTCAGTGGCACCCTGGTGAGCAAAATTTAAAAAAAAAAGGATTTTCAAAAGTGTTTTCAGGTCACGAAGGAAGCGGTTCCACTCAGCTATCAGGAATGCTAAATGACATCCATACGCAGTGAGCTGCAAGTGGTGACCAGCAGACGAGTAGCCCTGCTGCGTGCAAGAACTTACCGACAAATGCAACTTCTGCAGAACACGTTGAATTAGAAGAGGAAATTTGGCAGGGGCAAGATTGTTGATGAGAGCCACGGCCCGTTTCAGGCTTCAAGCAGAAAACAATAAGAACGAAAAGCGCCGCGTCAACTCCAATACTCAAACTAGGCAGGTCCATGGAGGCTTAGTCACCAACCTCGGGGTCTCCACAAACATCAAAGCCATATTCCCAGGTCAGCTCAAAGTCAAAGTCGAACAACTGTTTCATGTATCATCGAACAATGTCAAGGGTGTCGCAGTTTTCCGAACACTGCTCCACAGCTTGATCACCACTTCACCAGTGATCACTGCATGCACTGTAGTTTTGAATTATGACGTCACCTACATACTCACTGGTACTTTTGCAAAAAGCATGCCCCCGCCCCCCCCCCCCCCCCCCCCCCCCCCTGCTGGCCTGATCGGAGATCTGACTGGACTCTGACTCTGAGATCGGAGAGCTGAGCTGACCGTCGACCCTGGCCTGGCTGACTGGCTGGCTCTCCTCCCACGTCCCACGCGTAGACTGATCCAGTCGCTTCGACCGAGGGAAACCGATCCGGGATGAATCGCTTCTGAATCGCCTTCATAATGTCACATGTGGCTTCATTTTTAGTGACTTCAGAGTTTTGTGACCTTGGCTAGTATAGGGCTTGGTGACTTGTCTTTCACCAATAAAAGTCACTTGAGTCCGTAAATCTACTCCAGAAGACAGTCGACAGCAGCATTGAAGGGTGCTTGCAAAATTTGTGTTTGAGATTTTGAAATAGGATATCAGCAACAAGTGTGGTTGTTTCGCATTGTGAGAAGAGAAGTAGCGTTCGCCTGTCACGCAACGCTTTCGTAGCGGTAGCTATGTCGCTGGAAACGTTGACGATCGGCCTCGATGCCGTCCCTCACCCGACGGAGATGGCGAGATCTGGGCTGCCCGCTCGCTACACCGACTGCCGTCCGAGCTTTCTCAATCTGAGCTCGAGCCAGTTGAAGCACTCCAAGGACCACGAAGCACGGCCCGTCGTTCTGTTGACCGAGCAGGATCGACTGCCGTGGTATGCTGGCTATGCGGAGACGATCAACGGAGGAAAGAGCGCATTCGTCAATGAGGTACGTACACCGAGCCGTCCGAACTATCTGACGTGTTTCAAATTTTTCCGCATAGACGTGCATTCCACACTTGCTGACTTTAGAATTCCCGATCCACGCTGGTTTATTTACCGCGTAGGGCAATTTAGCCCAGAGAACAGGAGGAATTTGAGCGAATAGGACAGCAGCAGTAGTAAATCAGTCAATGATGATGCTGTCCGAGTCTGCAAGATTGGTGACGATCGTTCATTATTTGCCTCAAATCCGAAAAAACGTTCCACAAATTTTGTGGAACGTTTTTTCGGATTTGAGGCAACTCTGGCCATTCCTGCAGAGGTTACCGGGTATGCGATTGCATCATCATTTGGCATGATTTGTATGGAGTAGCAGAGGCCAAAGCCTAGGGGAGCGCTAGTGCTGGCTTGCAACAATGTACTCTATGCAGACATTTCCATTCAATTCTCAATACAAGAATGCACTGTTTGACACGACTCAATACAAGACTAGCACTGCATGGTTTTCACTTCATGCTCTCCTCCTCCACACATGCCATTATGCGAAGACTCGTGCACTTACTCATGCACTCCTCCATGCATGCCATAATATGCGATGACTCATGTAACATTACTCATTAGAGCATACATGTACATGCATGCGGTGATGACCTCATTATAATAAGAATGAGGTCCTCACCCCATGGTGATGTGCGCGGTGATGACCTCATTATAAGAATGAGGTCATCACCGCATACATTTACACATTTACATTTACACTAGTGATGACCACTGCGCATCATGTATCTACAATACAGTACACGATTTCATCAGCATTTGGGATGTTGTGTATGGATTGGCATCACAACCAATTGCTTTGACACCCCATACAAAAAAATATTTGGTCATACTAGTAACCCGTTTACATGTACGCTGATGTCTGACATATACATTTTCTCTTTTGGCGGTCCCACTGAATACTCTCATGTGCACTGCTTATCGATTACCGTGCAGGATCATGCAGCGTATGACTACGAGCGCCTGGAGGTGTTCGTCACGGACCCGGTGAGCGGTGAGGAGAAACTACACTTCATCGAGCTGTGGTACTTTGGTGTGTTTGATGGCCATGCCGGTGCTGGGGCGAGTATCTTCTCCGGCAAGAACCTGCACAAACACGTCATCGGAGCGATGAAAAACATCGGGCCGCTACTAGTGGAGGACAATGATCCAGGTATGATGTGTGTATGCGCGTGTGTGTGTGTGGGGGGGGGGGGGGGGGCATGTGTACGCGCACACTTATGCATGGTGGATAACATGATTATACATACGTGTGCTGCCACCGTGCTACTGTGCACACTGAGTCATTGCTTGTCTACAGTGGACGTTGCCTTCCAGTATTTCAACATATCCATCATGATAATCATACTTTCTGATGCTAGACGTCTGTTGCACTGGGGTACATGATGTGACCATGGTGACCCGGCCAGTCTGCATCACTGCCCGCATAATATACACACCTGGATGCATGCATGCCCCCCCCCCCCCCCTACATGATCCTGTCCTGAACATTGCCGTAAAACGGCCACGTGTCCACATACACACACACGCTTGCACCCACGCTTGCACGCACGCATGCTCACGTACACACACACACACACACACACACACACACACACACACATACACATACACGTGACTATAATCTACATCACAGAGGCAGTATTCTTTGGTTCTGCGAAAATGCTCAGTACCTGGTTCAGGCAGAGCGGCGTACACAAAGGCACACAATGAAAACAATGGAAATTGCCCACGGCCCAAGTTTCATTGTGTGCCTTTGTATAATCTACATCAATACTATTACCCGTCGCATGATGATATACATAGTGCGTGTCCTTGTTCGCTGTTTGCAGTGTACGTGGAGAAGGCCACCGGTCCTCTAGGACCTCCATCACCACCGGTTACCAAGGACTGTCTTATCAAGGGTGCTCTGGAGCAGGCATTCATTGACATGGACGCGCAGATCAAGCGAGAACGCGCTACGTACAACATCCCGGGCGGATGCACGGCCATTGCGTGTGTATTCATCCTGGGCAAGCTGTACGTGGCCAACGCCGGGGATAGTCGCTCTCTCATCAGCAGACAGAAACACGTGAGCATCTCCATTCACACACTTTGAAAGAAGGGAACAAAGCGCTTCTGCTGCAACTCTGACTGGCACGGTTTTACCGATTAGCGGACAGCAACTATTTCACTTCATGCACAGTAAAACCTGCCCTAACCGAACGCCCTTGGTGGAGCGAAAACTCTCCTGATATGACAGGATCCCGCTTGATCCAGGGATGCATGTTCGATCCACAGCACTTTGGTGCATGGGAATTTGTCCAGTCAATACAGGATTCCGCTTGCTACAGGGCCCGGCAAACACAGGCTTTACTGTATATCGTAGTCTAGAAACGCATAGTACATGTACGGCGGTGGGGCAAAGCTACAGTGCTGCTCAATGAAACCCGGTCGTGTGAGTCTTCGTCTCTTTTTGCGAGAGCTTGGACAATCCACTTGTCCAGGCAAGAAGGCAGCAATGCCTGTTCATTCTGGCGAAGTAAAATAAAATATACCAACCAACCAAGTGCAAGTACGCACTCGGCGCTGTGCAGCGCTAGACCTGCGAGCATTTGCAATGTTCACAGGTGCAGGGCGCAACGGTGATTCACTCGATCGGATTTCATTGAGCAGCACTATACTAGTGTTCCAGCAACTCTGAGTTCAGCGCTGCTTTGAATCGCGGGTCGGATTCTTCGTCCTCGGCTGTATCTGTGCTGTAAGTTAATAACCCAAGGCATGTGCGGTACTCCTCCCCTATGTCCACTCTAAGTCGTGTGCCGTGGATATTCTATTCCTCTACAGCCGTCGTGCATCAGCTGCTTGCTATCGCCGAGCAAGGACAAGCAGTGCGACCTGGAGGACACGCCGCAGCTCTCGCAGGAGGTCGTCGAGGTGTCGCACGACTTCACGCCGGAGACTGACCGCAGTCGCCTGCAGTACCTGGCCATGCTTCAGCCCAAGCTGCTGCGCGGTCTGTTCGGACGGCTGCAGTGGCAGCGACGACTGCGCAAGCGCGACATGGACAAGCGTGTGATGTGCCGCGACGCGCACATGGAGGGCTGGGTGTATCGTACGGTCACCGAAGAAGACCTCAGCCTTGCACCCATGCTGACAGGAGAAGGTAAGCACTCTCTGTGTATGACTGCATGAGCGGTGGTAAAGGCTGACCTGTGTGTCTTCTTTGATCGAGGATGACGGGTTTATCTATACAAAATGATGTCTAATCCTGTTGCCATGTTTGACGTGTGTACATGTAGGTGGAACATTCCTTCTGGAAAGGAACTGTGTACTGTTCTCTGTCCACCCTGCACTCCACTCGTTGAACACACATCCGCACCCTCACTCGTACGTTTACACCACAATTATACACGTCAACATTGCCAGTGGGGGCCCACCACAGCACATAGACAAAAGAGTACTTCTCTGCCAATTCTTATACTGTGATGTGAACCGCAGAGAAGTGACATGTCTGTTGTGTGTTTGGGAATGCTTGCCACTGAGTATCTAACCGTAGCTAGCTCCACTACCCAATTGAGATCCTGGATGACCCATGGTCTGCTTGCTTAGTGTGGTACCCTTTAAAACCTAGGTAATGTAATGGTCGAGTCTGCTGGAACTCCGCTGTCTAACACATTCAACCCATTGCACGGTGGTATGTTGTGTGTTGCGCAGGCAAGCGGTCAAGACTTCTAGGCACCATCGGCACGTCGCGGGGCTTTGGAGATCACGACCTGGTCGGTCCCGGTGATATACAAATCAAACCATTTCTTACCCCAGCGCCGCAGGTAAGCAAACACTGGCAGGAAGAGAGAGAGAGAGACCGAGAGAGCCTCGGAGAGAGAGAGAGAGAGAGAGAGAGAGAGAGAGAGAGAGAGAGAGAGAGAGAGAGAGTCTCTCTCTCTCTCTCTCTCTCTCTCTCTCTCTCTCTCCGAGGCTCTCTCTCTCTCTCTCTCTCTCTCTCTCTCTCTCTCTGTATTTGTGGCTGCTATACTCTTGTTCGTTCTCTCTATGAACGGTTTGGTGTATGCCGTGAAGCTGTTGTCTGATCGGCTTACGTCAGTGCCTGTCGGAGCTGGAAGTGTGGGACGTGTTGCCTATGGGTATTTGGAAGTGTGGTACATGCTGTCCATGGGAAGTTGGAAGTGTCGGGTGTGCTGTTTCTGACCAAAACTGCATGGTGTTCTCCTGTGTCCTGGTGATCTCTGTCTTTAAATAGCTGGATGTGTAGGATGTGTTCGTGTCTGACCAAGCTACATGCCTCTCTCCTGTATGTGTACAATGTCAAAACGGAGAGGTTGTCGGATGATCGCCTTGTGCATGAAACTCGGTGTAACTACGCATTCTTCATCCTCTCCTTCCTGTTGTATGTACAATGTCAAATCCGTGTCTGTTCCCTGTGTTCAGGTGATTGTGTATGACATCTCATTTGTATATGGTCTTGTCTGTTTCCTTGTGTTCAGGTGATTGTGTATGATGTGTCCAGCCATCACCACTCACCCAATGATGTTCTGATCATGGCCACGGACGGACTGTGGGAACGACTCAACAATGAAGAGGCGAATACTGTAAGCCTACTATAATCAACGGCCCTCCCAGTGGGGCGTACGCAGAAGATCGGAACTTTATCGCCGAGGGCATGGCTGTGCTGCTGAATACGAAACAAATATGTAACAGTCACATCCATGCATGCATTGTCTCTTGTTTGGGCCTGGCCCGAATACCCGAATAGTGTACATGCAACCTTGAGAATAATGATACTATCTTCAGACTTAGTGCCCATTTGCCTGGTCACGTTCAACCCCACGAATAACAACCCTTTTCTCATTCGCAGTCAAGGGTCGTTATTTGCAAGGTTGCCTCTTTTCTTAAAATCCCTTAGAGCCCTTGCCCAGAGACTTTTTTTTGAAATGTGAGATGAGGTATAATTGAGAGTATACAATACCCCAAGAGTGTGCAACTCCAGTCTATGGGGTCTGCGACTGCAGAATGTCACATTACGTGACCAACATGGGAGTTAAGTCCATTGCGCATTGGCATAATAATGAATGTGTGGGGTGTTGCTGGTACGAACTGTGTCATTGCGAAATGAGCTTATAGCTTCAGAGCTGTATGCACATCAGTGAACTGTCTGCATTGCAACTCTGCTCTTGTGTGTCTTTCAGGTGGTCGAGCAGTGCCTCTCCAAGCAGCCGCTGACAGCCACCGGACGCTACATAACGTTGGCACAGCAGCTCGTCCTTGCCGCTCGTGGCAACCTCACTGCCAAGGGTTGGCGAACAGCGTCCGATGAACCGGTACGCTAAGCTGTGTATTAGTACAGTACTGCCAGGTGTCGAAGAACGGCCAGGCTAGAATTTCACCTATTTTTAAGAACGGTCTAGGCTGGATTTGTTTGCAGATAAGAACGGAAACCGTAACGCACACTCACTGACGTATAACTCTGCAAAAGTGTACATGTAAGACTGTACCATTGAATAAGGCCGAAACTGCTGTGTTCGCTAAGAATAAGAACGGGCTAGGCTAGAACCCTGACCCCCAGTTCCTCAGCGTCCGACGGTACTGTACACGGGAGTTATGCACGGACGCGTTCAAACAACAAATTACACGCAGCATGATGTCACTATGCGTCTTTGCCGCAGCATGGAATGGAACTCTGTATTGTACATGTGCAGTACTAGGGATTGGCGGATTCTGCTCGAATAGGTGGCAGATTCTGCTCGAAAAGCAGTGAAATTGGCAGAACCATACAAACCTTATGGCGGGAAATTCCTCGAATTCTGCTCCATTTCTTTATCCACATACCAAGCATGCATGAAACTAATTATTTACCAGAAAAAGTACCGAATTCTGCAAATTTTTCTGCCGGCAGAATCCGCCGGACCCTAGACAGTACCTCACTGTGTACATGTACTTTCCTGTGTGTCGCCGCATGCTATGTTAATGCCAGGGGTACTTCATACACTGCGGATATAACGACAATTCGCGAATAATGACAGAATTTCCATGCCCAGAGCAAAGTCCATACTACCTGTATACATGTAATGATACTTCGGGTATAACGACACTTCGCGAATAAGGACACTTTTCTGATGCCCCGCCGAGTGTCGTTATAAGCGAAGTTGACTGTACTCGAAGATAATGCCTGCGGTAGACCCAGATGCTACATGTGTGCAGGTTCCGCTGAAAGAACTGCAGCCTGACATCACAGTGACGCCATTCTCTTTCCTCCTTTCCTTCTCCTTTCCTTGCCTCTGTGCTGCAGGGCAGCTATGATGACATCAGCGTATTCGTCGTTCCGCTGAGCAGGTGCCCGTTCAACCCGCTACCGCCGAGTGTTATGTCGAAGGCTGCCAGCTCCATCCAGGCCATATCAACATCAAGTGCAGCAACAGCAGCCACGGAGGAACCTGCGGCCGATACAGCAGCCGAAGGTGACGGTAGCGCGGAGCAGGCACCAGCCGATGAGAGTGCGTCCCTGGAAGCGTCGACGGTCGACACTAAGGGTGAATCAACGGACACGGTGGTCGGTGTGGCTGCAGCCATTGCAGCATCAAACACGTCAGATGCAGAGGCAGCAGCAGCGGCCACGGACGACCAAGAGCCCGCTCTTTCCACGTCGCTATCACCGCGCCAGCTTCAGGAGTCGAGCATCAGCCCGAACCTGTCCATTGATTCCGATATGGTGCTGCTGGACTCGCTCTCTGCACGTAATATGCCGTCGGTGAAGGAAGGCAAAGGTGTGAGCGAAACCGTAGTGGGCGCTACCGCCGAGGTTGAGCAGGTCTAGGACTGGGCGTGCGCGGCGCACTGCAGTGCAATACACAAACGCTGCTCGGTTCAGTGCACTCCTGCCACTCGTGTGCCGTTGTCAGTTCGGCGGGCGATGGCCGGACATCGAAAACTTGAATTTGTCTACTAAGCATTGAATTACTGTAGTCCATGTCCTCTTCTTGAATGCCCGTGTGTCGGAGGTCAATATTTTCCCAATCATCCTCAATTACTGTAGCCTTCGTCATAACTTACAGTCACGTTAATTTGACTTGAGTAAGTTTTGTTTTCTGACTAGCAAGGAAATTTGTTCTATTTTTTCTATTACTGAACCTGTTTCCTATTTTTTTTCTTTTCCGAAGAATATCAACTCACGCAGGGGTGAAAAATTTACGTGGTCTTTTTTTCTTCTTCTCCATATTACACTAGTTTTACGATTTTGCAGATGCCTACTCGAAGTAAAACAATACAAGTGGGCACTAGGCTGGGGCAGTCAGGACAGTGGCTGTTCATTGATTTGCTGTTCTCCATCGCTGATGCGTAACATTGCATGTTATGAGGGTGAGGATGGTACACTACTGCTTGATGGAATGTCACATGCATGTTTCTGTGCTACAGTACACTGCGCATGGGCAAAACGAGGCAAGTGATACTTGGAGTTGCAACAAAAAAATAACTGTTTTCCATTTTGTCCACAATGTGTGAACCGTGTGCATGCATGCAAGCGCGTGTGGGTGCACTGTATCAAGTTTAGAGAGAAATCTGATCCAAGCATGCAGCTGTGCACATGGTTTGTCAAACCCCATGGCCAACACTATAATGCTGATGAGCATTTATAGGTTAAAGGCCCGCTAGTGTACAAAGCATGCAGGCTGCTACATAACTGTTTCGAGACTCCTCGCTAGAATATTCAGAAACACACGAGGCAGCCATCGCATCCGCAGGCCACCACCACTATCCATGTTCACCAAAGTGGCGAATGCAGGCCTTACGAGCGCTTGTTTGCCGCTCCATTACAGCATTCACACATGTATAGCTGCACGTGCAAGTCTGAGGCACTAGCAACGCAGGCACGAACCACAGGCAAGACATTTGTACAGGATAGAACACGAAACTGTACCAAATAGGGACCACATTATACACATAAGATATTATGAGACTCCCATACAAATCCACTCTATAACAAATTTAAAAACCTAGAGTAGGTTCAAAATGTCCAAAGTTAGGGGGTTCAAATATGACTTTTTCTGAGAGTATAGTTCAGTATATGTACCTGGCGACGATCGATCATGATGTGCAGATAGTCGCCAAGGTAACTGCTAATGGCCAGCCAATCATGACGGGTCGCAGTGTAGCAAAGTGTTACAACAAAATTTACAAGCCACAAACCTAGAATGAGTGAACACTAAGCTCAGGCGGCAAGGGTGAGAGCAGCACGCAATACCATACTTTCCAAATTTCTAAAAAAAAAAGGTTCAAGTCTCGGATAAATAAAAAGCAGAAAAAACTCTTGAGGAGGCGGACGCATACCGCTTCATAGCGGCGTTCTCTGGAGAAACACTCGAAATCACCGCAGCCAGGCCAGCCAGCAAGCCATCGAGTCTGATAGCATCGAGATCGGAGATTACTAAAGTGAGTGGCTGGTGCTGTGGCCAGAGCGTTCCTAGGGTAAAGCGACACTGGCTAAACAGCATTGAGACTAGCTGGTTCGTCACCGTCAGCACAGGCAGATGTGAGAGCATGCAGCAGAGCATTAGAACATGGGTGCTACACGCCACGAACTGCCAACGATCAAGAAGAGCACGCACGCAGAGAAGCCGCACTCTGACAGTAAGACGGACAGGAGTTGTCCAGCAAGGCTGTGCAACTATACACGGTGCTAGCACACAGCGGCAAGTCAAGCTTGAGTGACGTGCAACTGCAAAACACACACAACGCGATAACTAAGTAAGCGACATGCTGCAAGCGCGGCAAATCTTGCAAGGCTGGCGGCTGCTAGCACTTCAAATTTCGAAGGGCAGTCGCAAAAGTCGAGTAACCTGTATGTGTGTGAGCACGGTGACGATACAGTGCGATATTGCGGATGACACACACACACACACACACACACACGTGTGTCACGGGACACACACAGTGCAATGCAGAGCACACACAAGTGACAACCGACACAGCATGGCCGGAATGATGCCAGACGACACGGCGAGGTCAGGCAGATACCGGAGCACTTGGCTATAGCGCAATGAGGTGTGCACACACAGTTAGCACATGAGCAACACACTGCTTGGACATCAAGTCCTGCAAGGCTGTGACAAAAGTCCAGTAGCCTGTATGTGTGTGGGTGCATAGGTGCGACGACGACGGTACAGCGTGGCATTTCGGATGGCACTCACACTTCTACTTCTTCACCCTCTTGCGCACGATGGGCTTGGGCCGGATCTTGAAGATGACCTTCTTGCGAATGACAGCGCTGATCACGTACTCGGTGGACGTGGCTGGGGCCGAGCTACCAGTACTGCTACTCTGGTCATCCAGATCACCAGCACCGCCTTCGGTCAGCGATGTCGACGCTGCTGCTGATGGACTGTCCTCATCGACCATTGTCACCTCCTCGCCGTCGGCACCTGTTCTCTTCACAATCTTGTCCATGATGGCGTAGGGTCTCTCCAGCTTGACCACCTTGCCAGAGAGCAGGTGGTGGCCGATAACGAGCAATGGCGTGCCCTGGACAGGGGATACCGGTAACCATAGCATGCATGCAACCATGTGTGCACGCACACACAGACACATGCACACACACACACACACACACACACACACACACACACACACACACACACACACACACACCTCAGACCTGCCCATCGCGGAAGCGATGATAGCGAAACAGCTATGTTAGACATAGCAACTTGTGCTGGGATTACACCATTCAACAGCTTGCAAGGCTGATGAATTGACCGCCACTAATTATAGCCTCACACACACACGCACGCACACACACACACACACACACACACACACACACACACACACACACACACACACACACACACACACGGGTACACCACAGTAGGGAGGTTGTCCCAATCATGACCATGATTGGCCATGACGGCATGGAACAAACTGCTCAGGTACACATAAACATACATTCCCTCACACGAGGATAACCATTCTAGTTGAACCTTCACCAGCAGATGACAATTCCACTTCAACCGTTTCAAAATGACATACCCGCTCATCAAAGTGCAGGTCGCCAATGTTCATTCCTTCAAACTCGTCTTCATCCTTGGTTTCCAGCTTGCCCTGCAGCTCCACCAAGCCCCATTCGACAGGGTCATCCGCTCTGCTTGGTCACACACATACACACACGCACACACACAGACACGCACACACATACGCACACACACACACACACACAGACACACACACGCACACAGACACACACGCACACAGACACACACACGCACACACATACACACACACACATACACTATTACAGCAATTTACTACTACTACTACTATGTACAGCTACCCTATCGGGCCACGCCGCTCCCAGAAGCGGGAGACAACGACAAGAAGATAGAAGAGAAGAGAGAGAAATCGCAAAGTCAACAGTATTTGGCATGGCGTTGCAAGTCCTGTGGCCTTGAGAACCGTCTATATAACTGAATACAACGTACAGTAGAGTCACGCTCACTGAAATCCAACCGGAAGTACAAAACTGACGCCCTGGACCAGTTTCCGATTACATCACTGTACTGGTATATGCGGACGTCGAGCTGCACCCGTACCACTTCTGAAATTTCACTGCAGTCCAAGCGCAGCATGATCACGATTGCAAACTGAGCTCATCTCCGTGTGCAGCGAGACAAGCAGGTGCTAGTATGTCGTATTTTGCGGCACTATAAGCAGCACTAATTCATCAGCACCGTCCACCTCTCCACACTGCGCTCTTGGCCCGCATTTTTGGCCCACATTCAAATGGCCGGGTTTGTCGCTAATTCCGAGTTACCACTGATCAAACTAAAAAAGTCAACAGCGCGGCTTGAATATACTACGATGGCCAAAAGAACAGTGATAAGCAGGGTAGATGTCTATGTTTCGTCACAAAAATCTGGGTGCGGCGTATACTAGTACTCCGGAACAATGCGATATGTATTGTTAGATGTGGAGTGAACACAAAATAAAGTACCATAGCTTCAATTACTAGTGACCTGGATATAACACACCCTCACCAGCACAGGCTTGCTCTGCAGCCCCTACTCTCCCTGCCGTTTTGTTATTGTATATTCTGTTGTCTTCTCCCCTTCTGACCCGTAGCTTGAGTACTTAGTAAAAAATAAAAAATGATTTTTCCAACCCCTCAAATTAAGGGGCGTCTGAAAGTATTCCACATTGGTGCGGCCATGAAGAGGCAGAGGCTACGGTGCCTCGAGCAGTTCTCTTACATTCGCAGGACGATTTGCACCATTTTTGTTGAAGCAGTGCAGGTAGTAGTGCTCACGAATCAGGCCAGTTCTAGCTGTAGTTCCTCGTCAGTGAAGTGCTGAACAAGACCAAACAGGCTGTTCCCGGTGTACATCCAGCAAGCACTGAAACTTGTTATATTCACGCTCCCGTTAGGAAGACCTTTTGGAGCTACTCTACTCGTACTGTCTGAAAGCTACAATGGACGAATTCAAAACAATCCTTCACTCGAACGACTGGAAGCTCGAAGTCAAAGTGAAAATCAAAAAAATCACATGTGAATCTTATATCTTGAATCTTGATTTTGCCGCCATTTCGTTCGCTTGCATCCACGTGCGAATGACATCATTCATGTCACGGACGTCGACACACGTGATGATGGCAGACAGACTCCAGCTCCGAGCCTCCGACTCGCACGATCGTGATGTGTCGACGCGACGGTCACAGTGCATGCTCGGCAGACGTAGACAAGATGTTTGAACTTTGAACTCGGGTTTGGGGGGTCAGGCAGGTCGCCTTGGCTAAAGTCGGGTCAGGCTAAAATTAATAGTAAAAAAAAGGCTCGCGTTCGCTATCGCCCATAGACCCACGGCCAAGATCAAGACCGCTGTGAACCATGCCTGCACGAGGAAAATAAATGCAGAATTGGAAAGCGCCACACACCTAACAGATCAAGACTTTCAAAGCCTTACAATGCCTCACTTTGGGAAACATCAACGAGCATCTGCTGAAGTTAGTTGCATTTTTCCTTGTATCAATGACACATCAAAGCAAAAGAGGAACATGCTTACCTGCTGCAACTTTTGTATTCACATCATAAATCCCATGTCCACGGGATACACCTTTCCGCCTGTGCTTCGTGGAGGTGGCTACCACGGTCGCGTACAATGTAGCTGCACCGCCGACACATCAGCTCAAACCGGCTGGCCGAAGCCCATGTTTGACTTCATCTACACGGTTGTGCAGATGAAGGTGGCGGCCACACATTGCACACGCATTCCGGAGCTGACGGGTCAAGTACCGGACATCAATATTATTATTCTTCGAATTTACCACGTGGAATTCGTCACTAGGTGACCCGCTGTTCAGCTCAACGAAAGCCTTCTCTTTATTATTCCTGGTTGTAGGAGTAGCGGGAGCTGCCGAACGCATATATGCGCGCATCATGGTTGCTTTGTTGACATACGAATCCACAACACCTTGAATAACAGGCGGCAGTGCCAACTCTGCTTGACACTTGGCGACAAATGGGGAGATAACAGCAAGGTTAACATATCGTTCCAGTGCAGTCTGACTATCCTCCTGCTCAAGTAGGTAGCAGACCGGAAGAGACAAACCATTGTGCCAGATCAGTGGGATCCCAGAGCACGAGCTGTCACCCAGGAAGGATGGGTGCAAAGCCTGCCATTCCTGTAGCACACAAATAATTCATCCTTCGAGCATGCATTATAGTCAAGCATCAAAGGCAGGTACACTCCGGGAAAGTGATTTCGTTGTACTGGTTCAGTGGTTGGCCATCCACATCCAGCACAAACTCACCACCATAGTCCATGTCTTGGCCCACACAGTCCATGTCGATTCCGAGACCGAAATGGTCGGAGGAGTGCACTGTGCCTGACCAGCACAGCTCTTGTAGCACCTACTACTCCTCTGTTGTCTTTGTCTTTTGTCTTTGTCTCTTTTATTACCCCTATTACTTTGTAGGGATGTGCACATACTATATAAAAAATAAATAAATAAAAAACACCACAATTGGTCTTCGTAGGATGTGAGCCATCAGGAAGACATGCACAGTCTCCAGAGATGGGCATTGTGTGTGTTTTTTCCATTCTGGACAGGTGTCAGTTGCAGAATGTCAGCCCACATTTCTTGGTGTAGTAGTAGTAGTAGTAGTAGTAGTATTCTTTTATTTTCCATCGGAAGCCTCAACAGTGATGAACACAACTCTATTAAGAGGGCCGATAACAGAGTAGAGGGGTGTGGGGTGAGAAAAAATAATAATAAAAGATATTAAATTTTGAACTAAACTAAACTGATACTTGGAACAATAAAGCAGCAGTAAGCAGTAAGCAGTAAACACAGGTATACAATAAAAGCGATGCAGAGCAATGAGGCCGTTTGCTGAAAAGAAGATCAAAATACTTCTGAAAAGACGCCTCGTCTTTAAGCATGGTCATAATGGGATAAGGCAAGATTTAAAGAGATGTTTTTAAAAACGAATTTAAACTAGGAACGCAGTAAACACAGTTATACAATACAGGCAATGCAGATCAATGAGGGCGTTTGCTGAAAAGAAGATCAAAATACTTCTGAAAAGACGCTGCGTCCTTTAGCATGGTCTGAAGGTGCTTAGCAAATGTGTAATTCGTCTTCAAAACATGTAGGTCTATTCCCTGGTTTCGATGAGGGAGCGGTATATCGGTACTCCGAGTAAAAGTGCTTTTGTTGTGTTATAATGTCATTCAACCAAACAGGTAAGGTGCCGGCCATATCACAAAAAAAGAGACAAGGAGAGGAGAGAAACAAAGCCAAAGGGTGGCTTGTACACGAATTTGTACTTGGAATACCGGTTGAAACGCACAACGGTTGTACACATCGACATCGGGTACCGCGTACTAGTACCGGATCGACTCGAGCTATGATCTCTATCGTGCCATTTTTTATTTATTTTTTTTTTTTTTTATTGGGAACACAGCCCTACAAAGAGACATGTGGAGACAAACACAAGACAAGACACAGGGGATGTAGGGACGACGTGCCGATGTACAGGGAGCAACTCGACCGACCAGGGGTCTCGGCGTTAGCGTTGCAACCTGGCATCGAAAAAGGGGGGGGGGGGTGCATGGTCAGGTAGCAAAAATAATAATTTGGTGCGAGAAAGGGGCGCTAGTATTGCACCAAATAATATAAATTAATACGTGTAATGACTAAACCAGAAGGGAAAATGAAGAAAGAGGACAGTAATCATAACAAGCAAGTAGTAGTAGAGAGGTAAATACTAAATGGGTCTCAAATCTCAATATCATCGTCACAGGTACTGTGTGGACCACAGCCATCTCTTTCGGATTAGATCCTTACATACGTTGACCTTGAAGGTTTGGAGGCGTCTTGAATGAGGCTCGTGAAGCAGGAGGTCCGCAGGCAGGTTGTTCCAGGGTGTGATGGCGAAGAAGGGGAAGGATCGCAGGAGGTAGTCAGGGGCTGTGCGAGGGGGTGTCCACTTCAGCTGAAAGGCATGGTGCGTCTGACGTGTTTGCCGTGTGCACATGCTAGCTACGGCAGGGGGCTTGGTTGGTGGCAGCATGGCCTTTACCTGGGGAGGCCCTGGAATGTAGTGCAGCTTGAACAAGTATGACAGGGCTGCCACCATCCGACGAAGCTGAAGACTTTGGAGGATGGTTCCAGGTCCCAGGAAATGCAGGGCACGTTGCTGAACCTTGTCCAGCTGGGCCATGTTAGTTGCGGCTGCGCTCGACCAGGCCAGTGGGGCATATTCAAGTAGGGGTCGCACGAATCCCTTGTAGACCGTCACTCGACCATGGTCGTCCAGGATAGGTGCTGCCTTTCGTAGGAAACCCAGCCTTTGGGAGGCGCGCAGTGCAACACTGCGAGTGTGCGCTCTGTAGGAGAGAGTGGGGTCGAGCATGACTCCCAGCAGCTTCAGGGTATCTGTCTCCTGGAGTGCTTCACCTCCAAAGGTGACTGGTGGAGTGCAGGGGGGAACGTGCTTGCGATGTAGAGTCATGCGCTGTGTCTTGGCTGGCTCAAAACAGATACGCCACTTGCGGCCCCACTCCTCAAGACTGTTGAGGGACCCTTGGAGGGAGGCGGTGGACTGTTGGAGATCGTCAGTTGGCTGTACTAAGCTGTAGAGTGTGGTGTCGTCTGCAAAGCTGCTCAGCTGCGTTCCTGGAGTTAAACATTGTTCAATGTCACAGGTATATAGAAGGAAGAGGCTGGGTCCTAGGATGCTGCCTTGGGGGACACCAGCCTGGATGGGTTGAGCATCTGACGTCTGGCCTCCAACCACAACGCGGATGTTTCGGTTGGTGAGGTAGTCCTGTAGCCAAACAAGCAGGCGTCCGTCGACGCCGGCCTGCTTTGCTTTGTACAGCACTCCTGTGTGCGATACCCGGTCAAACGCACCGGCAATATCCACGGCGAGGACCTGGACACACCCGCCAGTACTTATGGTGTGGACCCATTCATGTTGGAGAGCCGTTACCATTGCAAAAACATCTATCTCCCTGGCTGTCCTCATGGTCATAGATCCTACAACGACGTAGTAGATCTACATAGTCAGTAGGCCTACGAGTGAAGAAAACTCGCAGATGCTGCGACCAGGGAGTGCTCGTAGATCTACACGCCGTGACGGCGATGTACGAGTAGCGATTTTTTGTACAGCGATCGACCATCGTACTCGCTGGCTACGACTGGAACCTGGATACCAAGCGTAGTGCACTGTACATAGCAACAGACCCAGCACTAGTCGCGACGCTGGTCTACATAGTCATTGCCTCTCGATGATTGTAGACTTGGATCAAGCCTTCAGTGAAAGAGTTCTTGTTTGTTGTTTGTTTAGGTCGTTGTTTGTTGTTTGTTTAGCCAACGCCAAACCACTACGGGCACCCGGTTTCTACTCGCACTGGCTGCAGTAGGTGCTTGGAGTGGATATCCGGATCGCGCGGTTGATAGATTCCGTATCTGGCAATGGCACTTCCGATCTGTACGAGTCGTAGAATCTACTGGTTGATGCGCACTGATCTGCTGATCTGTGGCTTGTCAAACTCAGTTCTGCGAAGTGTGATGATCGCTTTCCTACTTGTAGATCGTGTGCTGCCCAGGGAGCCCTACACATACGTATGTGTAGGGCTCCCTGGTGCTGCCTGTAGATCTACACCAGGGGGTTCGGGGGTTTACTACGAAACGCACAACATCATGCTATAATTATTTATAATATTATTGCAGTATTGGGGATAGCCCGTTTTGAGATTCATACATGATGTTACTATTATTGTTGCATTCCCAGCCCATCCCCACTACTACCGACTACTACACATAGCACTATGCACAATAATAGAATGCATAGCTCTGCTTTTCGGCATTGCGCACTCAATCGGACAGCATGGAACCGGCTCCCTGTTTACATGGTTTATGCCCAATAATAATGTTCATGGAGTCGGTATTTTGACGACTCCCTGATAATGTTGCGAGTCAGTGAGTACACCGGTAGACGTCTACGCTCGATTGTATCATAAAAAAGTGACCAAATTTACCCTCGAATCTTGAATCTTGATACAATCTACGCCCACACGTGTGTAGTACAGTACTACTCCCGTTCAAACGCTTCCATTCGACGACGGGACTGTATCACATGTACCTTATATGGTTACGTACTCTTGGTACCACACAGAAAATGCAACGCCAATTTTGCTTTGAACATACTTTCATACTTTCACCTTTAAAGTATATCAGTGTGGCAGGCCATTCGCGTGTTTTCGCTTTTGTTGTCGTTCATTCAATACCTAGTAGTACCTAGGTCCAATGATGAGCTCCGAAGGAGCAGGACAGCTGGCCAGCAGCAGCCGTTGTTGCGAGGGGGAGCCGCGCAAAGGCAGCAAATGCAAGGATCCCGAGGAAGAACGAGCAAAGTTGCAGTTTGGAACTCGAGCTGTGTCCAGACATAATCCTCCACCGGACCAAGCGCCGCTGGTCGCTCCCATCTATGCTTCGTCCGTGTTCTGCCCAAGAAACTTTGAAGATGCGCTACTCGTCCAGACTGGGGTATGGTTTACTCTCGATTTCACGCCAACTCCTGGCTGAGTTTGCTGTCAGGTGGTTGCCTTTGTAGGTTTTACTGTATGACGTGAAAGGTATGGCATGAGTCTCAGATATAATGATTTCTGCAACCTTGCCGTTCCCCTTCCCGTATGTGCTTGCCCGCTTACAGGCTGGCTATGTATACAGTCGATGTGAGAACCCCACCACCAACCTGGTGGCCGACGCCATTGCTGAGCTGGAAGGTGCCGACGGTGGTTGTCTGATGTATGCGTCCGGTATGTCTGCCATCTCCTCCGCACTGCTCACGTTTCTACGCAAAGGAGATCACGTGGTAAGCTGATAGGCTGGAAGTTCTAGCTTGGTGTTTGTGTGTCTGTGTGGGAGAGGGGGGTAAACCTTTTTTTCATAGTTGAATCATTAAAATACGTAAAGGTCACATGTACAGTTGTGGCAAGTGAAATCCGACACTTGCCATAGGGGACAGCGCCTCAAATGGACATCAATGATGTAATGCACTGCACCTAATTTGTACTATAGAGCCGCATGCATCCCAAACAGGTCGAAAGGTCACAGCTTAGATACACACAGTTCACAAACACGGTACACATAAGGAGTATTGGTATCCAATTCCCAGTCATTTTTGCTAGCACCTTTTGAACCTTGACTGTGATGAGTACGAATTTTGTCATCAGACAGATAAAGTTGTATGCAACACATGTACTGTACGTATGCAGGGCTGCAGAGGCTGCAGGATGCACGGTGCAGTCCCTTATGCCAAGTGTCGGATTTCACTTGCCACAACTGTACTAGCTAGTTCTCTGTCAGAAAAGATTTTCGTTTGAAATGCCTTCAGGGCCCATTTCTTAGTGGAAATAGCTGTAGAGCACAATAGGGTCCTGCACATTCAACACCCATTAGGTTCTACGGGATTCTACGGGATTTCGTGCATCTGTACAACGCGCAAACGGCTTATAACGACTGCGGATATAACAACAATTCGCGAATAACAACAGAATTTCCATGGCCAGAGCAAAGTCCCATCTAACTGTAATACGTATAATAGGGATATCACCGTATTTTTTTCTTTCGTAGTAAACCAGGAAAACTGTTTGTTTTCGGGAAGAACTACAGTACAGGATATAGCACAGAAAATTTGGATGAAAAATCTTGAAGGATACCAGAGATATGAGGCGTCAAAGTCCTCCGCCAACCTTCATCATGATGTATGCGGACTGCCATACTGCTGTGGCACCAACAGGGTTTTCCGGAAAGCCTAGCAAACGCTTAGCAACATTGTCAGAATGCTATGAAATCTGGCTTGTAGGTGCAATATAGGTGCAATACAGGTTGCTTAGTCCTAATGTTGACCAAAATACAATATTTCGGCAAGCGATCACCAATGAGAACGAGCGCGGCGCCCGTAGCAACCACCATAGCAACAATGCTAAATCCATTGAACACGAGTTCCCTTACTATGAAATTGAAGTGAGCACTGATGGCTATGGTTGTATATACATGTGCAAAATAATAAATACAGCAGTTTGGTCTTCAGATGCCCAACTTGACTGCGGCAGCCACACAGTTGATCAATCATGTACATGTACATGTACATTTTACATGTAAAATGCACAATAGTGAAATACGCGTACAATCCAATCACTGGCGCAATCCATGTCAGAGCACCACTCCATAGCAAATTCTTTCTGGTTTCAAGGCGACGAGTCGAATACAAAATCATAGCTCATTTTGTCGCAATAGCGAAAGTCTCCGTCAGGTGCAATCTTTCACTAGGGCCAACAAATCATCTGAAACACTCCTAGCGCTTGAACATATTGGGTCAAGAAATTCATTCATTTTGGACGATCAGGAGGTGAAAGTCTTGAAAGCGCGATGAAGAGCGATCCCCCAGCTCGAGAAGAAAGCACTATTCTACATAATTCGAGGTCGCTGAACACGATGGTGGGCGTTTCCTGGCCGTGTACTCCTTCCAAACAGATGAAAAATCCAATTGAAAACTACACTCCTCACAACAAAAAGCTCAAACTACAGTTGCCCAAGCAAGTGCGGCACCAAAACGAGCAGGAAGACCTCAGCTATCAAACGCACCAACTTTCAACTTTGAAAAAGAAAGCAGGACAAAGCAGTTCGAAAAAAACTGCAGCGAAGTCCATGGTGCCACCGCTACCATGCTAATGTACGTGACCCGAGTGAAGGCTGTTTTCAGCTGATTTGTCACGTGACTGAACTCCCTACGTATAATGAGACTTTGCGAACAAGGACACTTTTCTGATACCCCGCCGAGTGTCGTCATACGCAAAGTTGAAGATATTTGTTTGTTTGTGCGTTTTGCTTGTTTGTTGTCAGGTTGCTCCAGACCTGTGCTATGCAGCGTGTATGTCGTATTTCACCGAGATGTGTCCCCGTATTGGTGTGGAGGTCACACTCGTCAAGCCATGCTGTATTGACGAGTATCGCAAGGCTATCAAACCAAACACGGTGGTAAGCTCCTTATTCTGACTTTCTACAACACTGTGGGTGTGCGTGTGTGTGGGGAGGGGGGGGGGGGGTATTCAGCACCTCACCCTGGCATTCACTGCTGTTATCATAGACCTGATCCTGGCCACAGTGTCCTGGGTACGAGCGTACGCACTCTCCCTGGAAATTTGAATTTTTGATTTTCACAGAAACAATTTTTCGCTGACACGGGTCACATTCTTGCGTTTCTAGGACTGTTCTACGCATGAAAGAAGAACAAGAACCACATACAGTGAGTGACTACAACATGATAGACCACACCAGAAAATTTGAAGACGATCGGTGAAAGTTGAGCTGAGTTCTGACACGATCTGTTGAAACAACTTCATGTCGCTCGTCATCACGATTGAGTAGCATCTCCGTTCTTGATAGACCCTTCCCTTCGTGTTCCAGAAGTTATTTTTCATGTTTGGTGAGTTTCTCGTCGGACCTCAGGTCTTTCTCGATCGATTGCCACCTCACTCGATCCGAACGAAACCTAAACTACCGAAACGAAGCCTGCGCTTTTTTGGCTGTTTTTCCGTTTTTACGTGTAGATCTATAGAATGGATCGTCATGTTCGATTACTGGGTCTTTTGTGTCGCGTCGGCGGTGTTCCGCTAGCCAAGCAGAAGCAGAAAACTACGTATTCTGTTTCTGAGAATGCCGAGGGTATTCTGAAATGTTTTGAAGTGGATATCACACAGGACCAACCACACGTGCACCCTACACAGATTTGCAGTACATGCTACAAGGCTGTGAATTATGCTTTGAGCAAGTCAGAGTATATACGTTGTGGTGGAGGATGTGCCGAGCCAAGTAGCTGGCTTCCCCATGATCATGTGCATGAGGATGGTACCACAGTATGCAGGGTATGCACTACCATTGAGCAAGCCGCCAAAGGTGGTCGTCCGGCTAAGAAAAAGAGAACAACAAAGCCACCTGCCCGTACAGCGGCAGCCGTTACATCCACGTGCACGTCTACGCACACAGGCACACACCAGACACGGTCTCGGACAACAGGGATCAACTCGGAGAGTCAGAGCACATGTTTACAGAAATTGTATGATGTAGCAACACCAAGCTATGCAGCCAACAAGAGTCTGAGCACAGATAGATTCATCGGATGCCAAGCTACATTACAATGTACACTATGCAGCAATGTGCTAGAGAGAGCCGTGGAAGCAGACTGCTGTAGAAAGAGCTTTTGTTCCGCATGTGTGTGGGAATGGCTGGCTTCTGATACAACATGCCCTGGTTGCAATGCACAGCTCTCCGTGTCGAATCTCAGCACGCCCAATCCGATCTTGCAAGGCTGCCTCGCCGAATTAGTGGTCAGGTGCGACAATTATGCTGGAGCGCTGATTGGTTGCCCTGCAACAGTGCCACTTGCTCAACTTGCCAGCCATGTGCAGAACTGCGAGAACACTGGTAAGCAATCAGTCGGCCCGTCCACCGCTGTCAGCGATGTGCTCACTGCTTCGCCGTCAAAGCTCCGAGGCAACGTGTCAGACAGTCTCACCAGCCATCTAGTGAAGAGCAAGGCGGATGCTGGCGTACTTCAGTTGAGGAGCCGAGGTCCATCGCAGACATGGCAACGAACAACAGTTGCAGCTGTACCGTCCAACAATGCATCAGCCAGGACTGTGCGGCGACGCTGTGCTGAGCTTGAAAAAACCAGCCAGCGCGTAGCAGGGAGTTTTGCCGGTGCAGTTGTCCAGCAAGCTGCCACATTAAGTCGGCTTAAGGAGGAAGAGCGTAAAGCTGTTCTCATTGAGGCTGGTGTCATGCCAAAAACACCTGGGACAGGCACAACGCTAGCATTGAAAGCCAACCTACACATGCCATGGAATCAGCTCCGGAAATTGAAAGTATGGCTGAAGGACTTTGGCCTGTATCTCGAGTCAGAGCGGGTAATGCGCAAACAGCTCGACGATCTTTTGCCCTTTACCATTGTGGCAGAAAAGACACCGTTCGTAGCAGCATCTGGAAGCGTCGAGCTGCATGCAATGGTGACAATTCCTGATCTTGTTGGGACTGTCCATCACTACTTGAACCAGCTGGAGGCAACAGATCAGCTTCACTGGCATGATGGCGCAATCCCACATGACGAGATATGGGTCAAAATCGGCGACGATCACGGAGGAGAGTCCTTCAAGATGTCGTTCCAGATCGTTAATGTGCAGCAGTGCAATGCTCTACGGCACATCATTCCGTTTATCATCTTTGCTGCTAAAGATACGGCAGCAAATCTGTGCACGGCACTGCAGCCATTCGTCAGTGAGGTCGAGAAGCTGCGCAGTACAACGTGGCGAAACAGGTCAGTGAGGGTCTTGTTGTTCGGAGACTACGAACTGCAGACCACGTTGTACGGCTTGTCAGGGTCGAGCGGAACCCACCCTTGCCTGCACTGCACTGCTATGCGGAAAGAGATTCAGCTACCTGGGTGTAGCGGAGCACCGCGCAGTCTCGATTCGTTGTGCACAGACAACGCTGCCTTTGTTGTAGCTGGTGCAAAATTAGCGGACGCTAAGAAGCACAACAACTGCATCCGGCCACCGATCTTGCCTGTGTCCCTGGACAATGTGATTATTCCCGTTCTTCATTTGGATCTGGGAATATTCGCTTGGATATTTGATGCCATGACCAAGGACTGCCAGATGCTTGACGTTGCCCTTGCATCATCCAGTACAGCAGTTGGCACAGATAGCCGAGCGTACACTGTCACAACAGAGATGCACGAGAGCCTTCGCCAGAAGCAATTGGATCTTCAGAACAAGAGCACAGCAGCTGACAGTCTACAGGAGCAGCTCGAATGGCTTGCGATCCATGCTTTGAACCTGACTGCCCCACAGCTTGAAGCGGCTACAGCAGGAATTCAGGCGAAGCAGCACACCACGACAAGCGCCATCAACTCTCTCCAGGATGAGGTGAAGGCTCTGTCTGACCAGCTCCAGAGCTGCAGTATTCTGCATGGTCCATGTGAGGCCTCGCTGGACAGAACTCTACAGGAGTACAATATTTGTCGCCAGCGGTACCATGGTGGTGCCTTTATCGGTAACCATATTCACCATGCCCTGCAGCCACCAGTGGTTACTGCTTTGTCAAATGCGCCTCTGATTGTCGCCTCCACCACAGAGAGAGCAGCACCTCCATCCGTTCTCGACCAGGCCAGAGTAGTGGCAAAGCGGTATAATGACCTGCTCACTCAGTTCTCTCACTGCCGCAGAAGATACTCGTCCTGCGCAACAATGTCAGCAGAAGATATTCAGCTGTTCGAGAGTGATTGCGCTACCTTCCTCTCCACAGCACGGCAAGAGGTCGTCAGCAGAAAACTTGGGCATGTAACGCCTAAGCTTCATTTGCTGGAATGCCATCTGCCTGACGCCTTGGCAAGATTTAGAGTTGGCCTGGGCCTACTAGCTGAGCAGGGAGGTGAAAGTATTCACGCCGAGTTCAACGACCTTCGCAAGCGACACGGAGGCGTCGTGAACGATGTCGACAAGCTACGGACTGTCTTGAAGGCTCACCTTTCCTCCACGCTTCCTCAGCACGCCAAACTTGTCCCTCAAAGGGCCAAGCGCAAGCGGAAGGCCAATTGAGGACCGTTTCAGGTAAGTTCCTTGCTCAAACGATATCCCAAACATGTTGTTTGTTAGTTGATTTTCAAATAAATTTAATTTTTGTGGGTCCGCTTTTGGCGCACGCATGATTGTTTGCGTACGCGTGCACACGCGCCATGTGTATTACTATGGAAACTCGAAGAGTTTTTGCACGTGACGTGATTGCCGCCATCTTACTGAGTGGCCAGGCGCAAACAGCAGTGCATTGCATACCATACGGGTAGGATTGCAACATTTTCGTTTCAGTTGTACCCTTTTCCCCAAAAAGAGGCTTGGCAACGCAATAATTTTGTGATAAAATTTGCTAAAGCCATAGTAAAAAAGATCTCACATTGCCTTCAGCTACTGCTCACATCCTATTGTTCTGTTATTTGTTATGCACCGGACGAATGAGCTTTCGAAAACAGTCCAGTATCACAGACGAGCACTATCTTTTCCTAGATGCTCGGCACTGTCTGTACAGCCATTCTGAGTGCAGCTCCCTAGCTGGAGTGCTATTACTGGATTCTAGATGACGCCTGGCACTGCCTTCAAGTCTCTATCTGGACATGTGCCAGGCTTGCATTTTCTTTGTGTGTGTGTGGGGGGGGGGGGGGGGGAGGGGGTAATCAATTCAAAATCCTACAATGTGGGAGCATGTCTGCAAAATCGCTCGCACAAGTTCTCATGCATGTCCATGCATATTATTGAAATGCCATGTATGGTATGATACACAATGTAACCTGTGAAGGCGACCACTCGGATAAGACAGCCACCCGCGGCTGTCCCAGAAGACCACTGCAACCAAAGATCAATGGATGCTATTCCCAATTTTCCAGTCAAATGACCCTGGATAAGGAGTAAAGAGACCACCCGGTAGAAGATACCTCGTTTTCAAGGTCCCTTGAGTGGTCGCCTTAGAGACAGGTTTCAACATGTTATATTACGTGCATGCATGTAGTAATAGTCTCTGCTCCTGATTCACATGCCTGCTTTACAGCTACTATATGGCGAGACGTTGACCAACCCTACCATGGAGATGTTGGATTTGGAGGAGCTTGGCAAGCTGTCCAACGAAACCGGACGTCATATTCGCACCATGATCGACAATACGTTTGCATCACCCTACTGCGTTCAGCCGATACAACACGGCATTGATATCGTGTTGCACAGCTGGTAAGTACCGGGACGTGTAGGTTATCGTATCCCACGTCTTTGGTTAAACACCCGGCCATGAAAGGTGTGCAGCTGATGGGATTTTCGGTCTTTGCCACCTGGTGGTGGGTCGGATCTACTCACCTCCCAACCGCTTTAGGAGCTGCATCTGGGCCTTGATCTCAGAGGGTGGTGACGTTCCTATGGATTCGGAAAACTCGGTCTAAGTCTAACGAAAAACTGTCCATTTTTAAAAGGTGTATAATTTGAACACAAAGTGCTGTTCATAGGCCAGACGGCGTGCACGCCTACAAATGCTTTGTGTTATGTGTATGGCAGCTAATGCCAGCTATGCATATGCACATGTCCTTCCTTGTTCTCGTTTCTGTCTGTCTGTCTCTGTCTCTGTCTCTGTCTCTGTCTCTGTCTGTCTCTGTCTCTGCCTCTGTCTCTGTCTCTCTCTCTCTCTGTCTCTCTCTCTCTCTCTCTCTCTCTCTCTCTCTCTCTCTCTCTCTCTCTCTCTCTCTCTCTCTCTCTCTCTCTCTCTCTCTCTCTCTCTCTCTCTCTCTCTCTCTCTCTCTCTCTCTCTCTCTCTCTCTCTCTCTCTCTCTCCCCCCCCCCTCTCTCTCTCTATCCTTTTTCTACAGTACGAAATACCTGGGTGGTCATAGTGACTTGACGGCTGGCTGTGCGTGTTTCCGTAACCATGACGATAAGCACGCCATGCTGCAGATGAGAAAGATGCTGGGTGGAATCATGGTGAGTCTCAGGAGGTAGTTCCTATTGCAATACAGTCGACTCCACTTATAACAAATCAAACTCGCATATAGCGAACCATTGTCCATGTCCCTGTTTGAACCCATACAAAAATGACTCTTCATAGCGAACAGTTTTCGTTTATAACGAACCGAATCTTGTAGGGCTCCATATGAACGAAGTGCAGTCATACTGTCATCGTGCATAGATTTACACCCAAAACAGCGCAACCATAAACGGCGCGTGTTCATATTAGCACCCCCAGTACAGCGCGACCTAATGTGACACTGTGTCACCACAGCTCGTCTCGTCTCTTGCACGCCCCATTTTGGCGCGACCAATTACGTTAACGTCCGAATATAAGCCAGCTCATTACACACGTGACCCATAATGTGCAGGCTCATGTTAGCAAGAGTACATAACCAGTAACACTTAATCTAGCCGACGGGACCTACCGCCCCTACCGAAAACCAAATGACACGCCGATGTATGTCCACACACTATCCAACCACCCGCCAACCATCATCCAACAAATACCCAAGTCTATCAGCAGACGATTGACAGATATTTCGTCCAACAGAGACATCTTCCAGGAGGCGGCACCTCTGTACAACAGTGCGCTCAAGGCCAGCGGTTACGCCGAGCAGATCGTGTACATGGAGGAGAGAGAAAAAGATGAAGAGAAAAAGAAGAAAAACCGCAGACGAAAGATTCTGGTACAATCCTCCGTTCAGCAAAACAGTAGCCACGAATGTCGCGCAAAGATTCTTTCACCTCGTCGAGAAGCATTTCCCACCTCACTCACGCCTAAACAAAATATTCAACAGTAACACAGTAAAAGTAAGTTACAGCTGCATGCAGAACATGTCTGGTGTACTAAAGGCGCACAACAATTCGGTCTTGCGGAAGATAATTGCTTTTTTTAGTTCATCATTGCTTTCTAGAGTTGATTATAAATTGAGTCCAGGCAATATCGCCCTTCAATACTGAACTGGCCATTTCGAGTTGATCATGATGTGAGTCTTTGACAAGTCGAGTGTCCATCTTTTGGGTTTGAGTGTAAATGAGTCGACCTGATTTGAGCGTGCGCGCTGAAGGGGTGGTCTGTTTTGGGGATGTCCAGTTATGGGGATGGGGCTTTTGGGGGGCGCTGAAGTCAACGGCGCTGTTTTGGGTCGCGCTCATGTGGGGGCATACCCGTGCATATGTCAGTCATGATTTTCTGCTTGTATAGTGTGAGTGCATTTCTGTTATAACAAACTTCGGCTATAAAAAACTAATTCTCCTGCACAATGGTGTTCAGTATATCAGGAGTCGACTGTATGTTAGTGGGACAAAGAGAAGACCCGCTCTTACAAACGTGATGAGGGCAATTTTGCCGAAACGTAAGAATTGATAATAAAAAACACTGATGCTATTGCAGAGTGAATGGGAAAGAGCGAGTCAGCTCTAAACTACTGTAAAACCAAAAAGTTTAACGTTTGTTTGTAATTTTGGCATGATAACGTGCAGAAAGTTTAACGATGGCTACCTGGACACCCATCTTTACACAGACATCTCGAACTGGGTTCGCGACAACGTTTCTTCAAATAACGAAAAAAATTGGTCTTTAAAACGTTAGACGTTCCGGTTTTACAGTACGGTCACGCTTCTAAAAGCCATAACGCTGTCAATATACAGTAACTAAGCCAAAAATCTCAATTTCCCAGCACTTCGAGCTTGCGGTGTTTCCTTCTAAACTTTTCATCCGTATTGCGTGTCAGGACTAAAATGAATGTTGGAAGTGTAAGCAGTCGTGACTCGCAACATCATTGCACCCTGAACTAACGGACGTGAAAGACATTATTTTAGTTAATAGGAAAGTTTTGCTTCTCTCTTCAAACAAGATCAAAAACTGCACATGCTCCCGGAAACACAGTAGCTGTAAACTTTAATCATGCTGCTAAGTTCACATCATAATTATTATCGAAAACTGTCTACACTGTCGAAATATCATGTCAGTTTCTTTTTTCCATCTCTTGTCTGCCCGTATCCCAGTCTCCGTTTGAAGCATTCTTGCTCCACCGAGCGGTCAAGACCCTGCATGTCCGTATGGCACAGCACTGTACGAACGCCATGACTGTTGCACAATACCTGCAGTGTCAGGACAAGGTACATGTTTGTATGTCGTGGTGTGTATATGTTGTAGTACGTTATTTTGTGTACGTCGTGTGTACGTCATGTTGGTGCATGCGCGTGTTGCTGTGGTGTGAAAAGCAGTCTTCGTCTTGAGTTCATCATGTCATCGTCTTGAGTTCGTCATGTCTGTAATTGTGTTTCCATCGTCGTCTTGTAACAAGGCCGTCACAGCCGGGGCGGCTGGGTGAGGCCGCCCCACTTTTTCGGCTTTTTTTTTTTTTTTTTTTTTGGAGCACATTACCACAAAGCACAATGATCGCACGCGCAGCTTAGCGCAAACGTGACAAATCCGTGTCCCCGATCGTGGTTTGTTGCAAATCTTTCATTGCAGTTACACTGAAATGGCACCAAATGCCTGGAAATGCTTGCAATTGGCTTCAATTTTTGAATTTTTTTCCCGGGGGAGGGTAATGTTTGTCCCCGATCGTAGCGTCTTCTTCGTTTGTTGCAGAATCAAAAAGACTTTCATTGTAGTTACCATACACTGGAATGGCACCAAATACCCGGAAATGCTTGCAAATGGCTTCAATTTTTGGAATTTTTTCCCGGGGGACAACCCCCGGACCCCCCTTCCATGGCCGCCCCACCTCCAAACTTGGTGCGACGGGCCTGTGTAATAAACAGTCTTCCTAAATGTAGTTATCGTCGTCCCTTTGTATAAGTGTGGAGATGGCACGGGACTGGGAGCAGGTAGAGAAAGGCAGTTACAACATATATACTGTATATGGTAGTGAGTGTACTGTACAGTGCAGTCCACTTGACTTAGAACATGCCTACAATGTATGAGTTGTAAGACGACATGTGGTTTAGCACGGAAAATACTTCAGAACAGAATACATGATGAACTATGTTTCGTTGATGCAAGTAAAATGTGCAAAAAATAGTCAGCATGCAATTCATGCAATTTCGAGCATTTTGACATTATTATAAAGTGAAAGCTGTCTAAGACGACGACCGCTCAAGGGACCTTCACAAGGCGGTCTCTGTCACCAGGTGGTCTCCTTATCCAGGGGCATTTGACTGCAATGGAAATAGCATCCCTCGGTCCAGGTTTCTGTGGTCTTCTAGGACAGGTGGTCGCCTTATCCGAGTGGTCGCCTTGACAGGTTTTACTGTATTACATATCAGTACATGGGACTGCTTTGGGATAATTAGCAGTTCCGGATAATTCGAAGTTGGGGCCTGGAATTTTGAGGCTCGAATTAGAGGGAGTCTACCTGTACTACACTTGCAGTGGACACATTTTTAATTGGGATTGAGAATAACGTGTGACACACAAACAGACTAAAAAGGACAATACTTCTTTCTCCGTCCACCACCAGCACTTTGCATTAGTGCTGAAACGATTACGTTTTTTCCTTAGTGGCTTAGCTGATACCATAACGATCGGCTTATCGGCTAAACGATTATTATAGTACTGAAGTAACTACATCAGTATAAACTTTTCTAAGCACTCGCAGACTCCATTGCAGCCACTCACACATTACAGGGCACCTCACTTCAAACTCTCCAACTACTACTGTACGGTCTCTTCGCTGCATAGGTTCACTTCACTTCCAAAAAATAATAATATTTTAGATATAAATGGAATGCACCAAATTTTCGGGCATGGCCCATCTTCAGGGTGAAAAACCATTCAAAAAGGGAACCGTTGAATGGTTTTTCACCCTGAAGATGGGCCATGCCCGAAAATTTGGTGCATTCCATTTATATCTAATATTATTATTTTTTGGAAGTGAAGTGAACCTATGCAGCGAAGAGACCGTAGTTGGAGAGTTTGAAGTGAGGTACCCTGTAACTACATCAGTACATGTACATTCTGTGAATTTCAAAAAGATTACGAGTCCAACGACGGAAAGCGGGCGCATAGATCCGATGATCCCGCAACAAGTCCGTCAGCTGTTCGGACTGACCAGACGAATACAGACAAGACAGAGGCAACTCACTGGTTGCAACCCAAGAGCTGATGGTGCCTTTTGCCTGTGACTTCGCTGACTCCAACGATGAAGTCAGAGAAGCCGGCCAGGGGTGCAGATCGGCGGATTTCGACGGATGAGCTGACTTTAGGCGCACCAACAAGCAACTAGTTGCTTTTCCTGTCTCTGCTCAAAATAGGCCCAGACGCCAGGCCTAGCTCGTCGTCGAGCAAACTGATTCGGGAACCGTTGGCAGAACGGAAAACATGAAACTACGGAGGATTAGCAAGACGAAATTCGCGTTCGCGTTCGCAAACATTTTTCAGTTCGCGAACTGGATTGCGAACTTTCGCATTTTTCGTTCGGAAAAGTAGTCGGAACACGAATCGTGGATTCGTGTCAGGGCAGTCATAAATTTACCACGCTGTACTGCCTACGTCGTGTCAACATCATGCATGTGCGAATTCTGTTTGCTAATCCTTCTCATAACGCGAATTCCGTCACTGAGTTCGGCTTTCTTTGGAGAGCGAACGCGAACGCGAATTTCGTCTTGCTAATCCTCCGTACTGAAGACCACTTTACTGTCTTTAGCTCAAGGCTACTCGCACGTGGAGGGAACTCCAGCCCCTGCAGCTGGTGTAGACACATACCGAGCCTGCCCGTCCTGCATGCTGTATGTAAGAAAAGTAGTCCGCTGAAAAGACGGCGACGGTGATCGCGTCGATGTTTCTCAGATCGCGCTTGTACTTTACACGTACATCGATGTTGCAAGTGTACAGACATGACTGTACATACATGTATTCGTGTCGGACTCGCAACACTTTCGATGCATGCACGCTTTGTGCGATCCCCAAAAGGGGGGGAAATCCCGCACCGAGCGTAAGTACCATTCTACTCGTTTAGCCGATAAAATCGAAATAACCGTTCGATATATTTCTTATCGAGTAAGTAACGAGTAATCGATATAATCGTTTCAGCACTACTTTGCATATGAATTTGTATCCGTATCAGTATTGTTCCATTGCCATTCCCCATTCCGCTGTGTGTGTATGTGTGTCACGGTGTGTATGTATGTGTATGTGCGTGTGTGTCTGTCTCTCCCCCTCTGTCTCTGTCTACAGATAGAGTGTGTGTATTACCCAGGTCTGGACTCTCATCCACAACACGTCACCGCCAAGAAACACGTCCTGAATGATTCCTACGGTGGAATGGTCTCGTTTGTACTCAAGGGTGGCTATGAGGCAGCCAAGACGTTTGTCATGGTATGTGTGACTGAACGGATGGCATGGTGTGTGTGTGTGTTTTTTACCATCTTCACATATCCAGCTCGAAAATAGTAATGAAAAAGACAATGGTACATGTACGGAGAAAAGCACAAACATGTGTGCATGTGTACATATACTTACCTGGGTTTCACTTTGATGTGTGTATGCATGTGTGTATGCGTGTGTGTATGCGTGTGTGTATGCGTGTGTGTATGCGTGTGTGTATGCGTGTGTGTGTATGCGTGTGTGTATGCGTGTGTGTATGCGTGTGTGTATGCGTGTGTGTATGCGTGTGTGTATGCGTGTGTGTATGCGTGTGTGCATGCGTGTGTGCATGCGTGTGTGTATGCGTACTTGGGTTTGGCATGTGCCTGTGGTGTGCTGGTGTGTGAATGCATTGTTTGTGCATTCCCAGAGTCTGCGCTTGATCATCTTCGCCGTGTCTCTCGGAGGTGTTGAGTCACTTGTGGAGCATCCTGCGTCCATGACACATGACCCCAAAGCTATGGCCTTGCTAGGGGAAGTCCCTGCTACGCAGGAAGTAGCTGGGGGTCTGATTCGATTCAGGTGAGAACTGTGTGGATGACATCATAGGCAAGACTCATGAGTCAAGATCTAGACTTGCCATGCACCATGATTGTGTTATCACCAGGGGTTTCGTAGATCTACGTGAGATAGGTTTTTATGAGGCACATTGGTTTTGATGTGGTGCACAATCTAATTTTTACCTGCGCATTTGTGTGTGCGCGCGTGTGTGCTGCGCATGTGTGTTGCATGCGCGTGTATGTGTATGCATGCACATGTTCTCCCATACTGACACACGCTCATGCTTATGCACTCGCTCATCCATACGGTGTGTACAGCGTTGGTCTGGAGAGTTCTGACGACCTCATCAAGGATTTGGAGCAGGCACTGGCCAAGGTCTAGGCAATGTCACTCTATCACGACTACACGATCCCTGGTGAAATCTCCATTCTACACAATGCCTGGTGGACACTCCATGCCAGGGAGTAGCAAAATGCCGGTATTTTACTACTCCATGCTCCATGCTATGCAACCCCGGGTGATGTCTCCATGCTACATCACCCCTGGATTACCACCATCCATTGTCTCTGACTGTCCGCGGCGCGTATTACTTCTACCACTACAACACCACCACCGTGATAAGACTTGCTTGCTCGTACACCGTGTTGCTGCGTGCACATTGCGGCATTGCTTGCTCTGCCCACTGGCCACTGAGCATCCTACAACCTGAGGATACGTAGACCGTGACCTGTCATCATCACTGTCTGCAAACTGAGTACTACCCGGTTATCTAATAACATTCTACACGACAGCTGGTGCTGAATACCATTATGCTAGTGTGATAACGTGTAGTCAAACCTCTTTAGCATGAACATCAAGGGACCGACGGTATTATGTTGTCAATAATGGGAATTCTTCTCAATATTGCATACCCAATGAACGATTTTCTTATACAGAATGATTTATCTATTCGACGACGAGACAATAACTTCAGTTCGTTCCCCAAGCTTATTGCCCTATTAAAAATGGAGTTACGAATGCTAGTTCTTCTGAAGCGAACACATTTTCTTATCGAGGTTTACTGTACACGCTAACATGATTTTCTTTCCTTTTTTTACAATGTAGCCACAAACCATCATCGGGTGCAAGCGGCGGTAAAAGCGCACTGGGATACATATAGCGATGGCAGCCGAACATTGTATACCCATGCGCTATCATGACATCATCATCACTTTTTATAAAAGCAACTGCCACATACTGGTATGCTGCCATTTCACCATTATAAATTATTTATAATTATTCCATTTACTCCAATATGTCGTTTCGTATGCCTCTAGATTCCGTGTGCTGGCTCCGCACCACAAATGCATGCGAAATGCCCACAGGTCACAGACCGCATGCATTGATCAAGCTTGACCACTGTGTACGGGTATTTCATAATTATGTTGCCATGGTTATGGACATAGGCCAATCACTGCTTGAGAGGGTTTAACAAGTTAATGTGTATGCAAAAATTTTTTTTTTTTAAAAATATTAGGGGTTTTGCATGCACATCCAACTGAGTTTAAATTGTCCGGCGGAGGCTGGGCTGGTTAACATTACCGGTAGTGTTTGATGGATAAACGGCTCCACGTTACTTGGCCTCATCATCCGCTGCAGCAGCAGCAGCGGGCCACGCGTACCATGGGTGAAGCAGACCACAGATTATTATGCTCAGAGACTACATGTAGTTGATAGGGATACAAAACATGGCTGCATGCACACACCAGGCATCTCGCACTGAACAGTATTATTCCTGATAATTGTACGCAAATAAAAATCCTGGCAAGTGGCAGCTACAAGTAAAATCATCCAATGGTGAGGAGCTCCCGGAGGTCAGGTAAAATACACGGTAGATCTACTACGGAAACGCTGCTACTGCTATTTTTAACTAAATACTAGTACTTCCTTTTGCCCACAGCCTGCCTATGGTGAACTGACCAGCAAATTCCCAAAAATGCCACCAATCAAGCCATGACGCCTTGGCGGCGTGCACCTTCTCGGCCCCAAAAAAGCTCAAAAATTCGAAAGTCAAAGAAAAGATGACGACGACAGGATTACAATGTCATGTTGATCACACGAGAAAAGAAATAATTGTCTTGCTATTGCTGGCAGCCTGTGTGAATGCCAGTCTTATTCGTCTCAACGACAACTGTTTGTAAGTAAGTTGTGGGTCGACAACGAGCATGGCGTCTTCGGCGGCAGAATCTGGTGCCGCCGGCCCAGGCAGTAACGATCAGGAAGAACGAGCAAAATTGCAGTTTGGAACTCGAGCGGTGACCAGACGGAATCCTCCACCGGATCAACCTCCACTGGTCTCGCCCATCTATGCTTCTTCCGTGTTCTGTCCAAGAAACTTTGAAGACGCGCAGTTAGTGCAGACTGGGGTACGCTAGCGCTTTCATGTCACGCACTTCCTATTAAATTTTAGAAAATTCGTGAATTGAAATTCCATTGTTGACAGTGCCTACATGCATCAAGTACAAGTGACGTCAGGAGTGAATTATTAGCTCATACGGTTTTTTGGGGAAAATAAAATACCGGCTGTAGGGTATTTGAGTGGCTCCAGTCAGTTGTCTCTCCTTCAAGGTCCACAAATAATTAATTGTATTTACGAACTTGCATGCCTAATAAAAGGAGCACCTCCCCCCCCCCCCCCCCCCGACGTTAATACCGGTATTACTATCGTAGCATGATGCACTGTAGTCCTGCACTGTGGAGCGCCTACACGATGATATCTTGTGACCAGAGAATAACAATATCATTGTTTTACTCTAGCGCCACTGACATTGTGCGATTTCTTGAAATGAACTTGTTTTGAAACGAGTCACATGACACAGAAATATGTTCCCTGAACACTGCATCCACGCACGCAGGCACGCCCCCCCCCCCACACACACAGGCATGCACGCCCGCACATATGCACCCCCCTCCCCACACACATCGTTGAATGTTTGATTTACGCTGGCTTGCATTCGAGATTATGACCTCGTTGCAAAGGTAGTGGATGTTTACGGGTAATAACACTTCAGCAACTTTGCAAATACACGTACTAGACAGTTTACAATCTCTTATGCTTTCAGCAGACTTGGTCAAACAGTGACCTGAATTTCACAAAGCTAGCTACCGGTGTGTTATACTTCCAGTCATAAACTTGAAGAGAATTGGTGAGCACACAGTCATGCTCATTCCCTGGGCACTGCAAATTCACAACTCATTTCATTTCACAGAATCATTTTCATAATGATTCTGTGAAATGAAATGAGTTGTGAATTTGCAGTGCCCAGGGAATGAGCATGTGTGCTCACCAATTCTCTTCGAGTTATGAAGCTGCAGGATGCCTCACCGCTACTTCGTTAGTCATAAACTTGTTGCGGCTGGAAGTAAAAAAAAATCGTTTTAAAAACCCTACAGTAGCTGTTTCTTGCGTGTTCTCATTTCTCCTGTACATGCCCTCTCGTAGGCCGGTTATCTTTATAGTCGGTGGGAAAACCCCACCACCAACCTGGTGGCAGACGCCATTGCTGAGCTGGAAGGTGCCGACGGTGGTTGTCTGATGTACGCGTCCGGTATGTCTGCCATCTCCTCCGCACTGCTGACGTTTCTACGCAAAGGAGATCATGTGGTGAGATAGTAGGCTGGTACTTTTTTGTATGTGTGTTGGTGGGGGGGGGGGGGGGGGGGGGGGAGGGTTAAACTTGTTGTTTTTATTAATTTTATATATTTGAGCCGCACCATGACAAAAGGGTGCTTATGGCAAAACATTCACAAACTGAGTTGTGGATACAGCGCCATGGCTGAATTCTGACTGCTTCTGCTGCAAAAACTGCATTCAAAAAGCTTGATAAATTGCAACAAAAACTAATCGAATTCAAAAAGAAAATGTGCACTCTCAATATAGCATACTAAACTTTCAAAGGAGTTTTTCTCAGTTTGATGTCGCGTGCGATAAGCACCCTTTTGTCGTGTCGCGGCTCATTTGTTACTAGGAAAGGACGCGTGGATACGAGTTAAGAGTAACTCTCCATCACTGTAGGTAGATCTATATACAGTCAGAACGTGCAACAACTAAACGCTACACTGCCAGAGTACAGAGGCATTCAACGGGCTTATGCTTAGCTCCAGCACACCCCCACTGCTGAAATCCACAGTCTTCTGACTCGGAACGTTCATACATAGCCACATTAAACTGCTGTGCCTATATCCCCTGTTGACAGTTCGTGCGCGACTTTAGTCTAACTGAATTGCCCGCATCCATAGGAATGCCACTACTCTCTCAACTAAATCGCAGGGAGAGCCAAATACACTCAGCCTAATATCAAGTGTCCATAACCCCAAGGGTGTGCAACTGGAGATGGCTGCTGTAGGCCCATTGCGCGGCGGAATTCCAACGTTACGTCATGCCGCTGAGGCACAGAGGACAAAACTCTGCATTCCGATCCGCGGCCGCGGTGCTTGGAATCAGGGAGTAGTAGAAGCGCAACGAATGTGTACGTCAATTTTGACGTAATGTTGGAATTCCGCCTTGCGGATCCCCATGTACAGAGTTGCACACTCTAGGGGTTATGGACTCTTGCTAATAATGGATATCTGACGCTTGATCATGGGGTGGTGGCGTCCCACGGAAGCAGAAATGCGGTTCTTGACCCACCCTGTACGCGAACCCGTGCACTTAAAACACTTGATAGTAGCCTCTCTATGAGACAAAGGCAGCGATCAGCGTAGAACACCCATAGTGCAGATTAAGAACTTCGCTGTGATTATCTTTGCCATTCCTGTCTTCGTCATCGATGCAACTTGCGCTGTGGCTGCCACTGCTGTTGCTGCTCCTTTGTGTGTGTGTGTGTGTGTGTGTGTGTGTGTGTGTGTGTGTGTGTGTGTGTTTTGTTTGTTTATTGTCAGGTTGCTCCAGACCTATGCTATGCAGCGTGTATGTCGTATTTCACCGAGATGTGTCCCCGTATCGGTGTGGAGGTCACACTCGTCAAGCCGTGCTGTATTGACGAGTATCGCAAGGCTATCAAACCAAACACAGTGGTAAGCTCGTTATTCCACATCATTAATAGAGGTTAGGCGATTGAGATCAGTCGAGATGCATTGCGTGGAGGGTAAAGAGGGCAGTGATGCACCAGCTTCTTGTTTGTTTGGCAACTAACACTGGTGCATTGCTTCGCCATGGCCCTGCAACTCCACGCGAAACATCTCAAACAATGATGTAATCACATTGCCATTGCATTCTAAGCATATCAAACAATGATGTAATCACATTGCCATTGCATACTAAGCATACCAAACGATGATGTAATCACATTGCCATTGCATACTAAGCATACCAAACGGTTATGTAATTGCATAACCTCCCTAGGACTAGGAGCTCCTGTATCGTCGAAGCTTACTCGATTATCTTGTATTCTAGATGATCTTGAGCAAGCACTGCATTGTTTCCCCTGTTTACCCCGCCTGTTTTTTTACGCTGCAGTTGCTCTACGGAGAGACATTGACCAACCCGTCGGTGGAGATGTTGGACTTGGAGGAGCTTGGCAAGTTGTCCAACGAAACCGGACGTCATATTCGCACCATGATCGACAGCACGTTTGCATCGCCCTACTGCGTTCAGCCGATACGGCACGGCATTGATATCGTATTGCACAGCTGGTACGTACTTCGAAGTAGTGATTTTAACATTGCACAGTGCTCTTCGCTCTAGCAATGGCATCCGCCAATCAAAACGTCGAATATGTTGTGTGCGACATGCAAGCCACGCAGGAGTCCATTCCGGCGGGACAAGAGAAGGACTGATTTATTTGCATCGAGAATGCACACTATAATACAGATGAGAGAGACTGTGCGGAGAGAGACTGTGTGGAGAGAGACTGTGCGGAGAGAGACTGTGCGGAGGGAGACTGTGCGGAGAGAGAGACTGTGCGGAGAGAGACAATGCTGAGACAAACACTATACACTGCAGAATGAGTCTGTACTCACTCATGCACGTACATGCACTTTCCTCAACCTAATCAGGGGTGAAACGAGTTCATCTTGCAGAACGCTACCCGGAATGACGTGCATGTGCGTGTGTGTGTGTGTGTGTGCGCGTGTCTGTGTTTGTGTGTGCATGTGTCCTTCCTTGTTCTCGTCTCGCTATCTCTCTCTATTTTCTACAGCACGAAGTACCTGGGTGGTCATAGTGACTTGACGGCCGGCTGTGCGTGTTTCCGTAACCATGACGATAAGCACGCCATGCTGCAGATGAGAAAGATGCTGGGTGGAATCATGGTGAGTCGTGATTTGTACATCACATGCATCAAAGAGAAGGCGGGTGTGATTGTGTTGCGTGCTGTCCGCTATTTTGATATTGCACCAATATAACACATTTTAAGCCCATTGCGCATTGCCAAATATGGGAGGTATGAGTAATGCATGTGAGTACGCTGGGATCAGCAATGCACTGTTCAACACCCCAGACGACCATGCCCAGGTGGCTGTGTGGGATGTTATGTGAGTACACTGGGATCAGCAATGCACTGTTCAACACCCCAGACGACCATGCCCAGGTGGCTGTGTGGGGTGTTATGTGAGTACACTGGGATCAGCAATGCACTGTTCAACACCCCAGACGACCATGCCCAGGTGGCTGTGTGGGGTGTTATGTGATTACACTGGGATCAGGAATGCACTGTTCAACACCCCAGACGACCATGCCCAGGTGGCTGTGTGGGGTGTTATGTGAGTACACTGGGATCAGCAATGCACTGTTCAACACCCCAGACGACCATACCCAGGTGGCTGCGTGGGGTGTTATGTGAGTACAAATTACGTCATTGCGCAATGGGCTTATTGGAATTGATCTCTGCAACACCTGAGGTTTATGGCTTTGCGGCACGCTGTTGCATAATTTTACTATAATTTTGTCTACTAGAGATCTCATGTCGGTTTTGTTTACCGTTTGTCTGCTCTGCCCGCATTCCAGTCTCCGTTTGAAGCGTTCTTGCTGCACCGAGCGGTGAAGACGCTGCATGTCCGTATGGCTCAGCACTGCACCAACGCCATGACCGTTGCGCAATACCTGCAGTCTCAGGACAAGGTACGTGTTCGTCTGTGTCCGTAAATCGAGGTTCTCAACAAGATTCTCAAAAAGAAATGTGTTATGGATTGCCCACAAGTAGAGGCATTTGAAAAATAAAAAAGAGCGGATCATGACTCATTCATAAGTTTACAAGTTATCCGTTTTGTCCAACACTAACGATTACAAGCAGGATAATGGTGAGTCAAAATGTGCAACATTTTTTTAAAATTTTTAATCCTTGGCTCTCCATTCGAGTTTAATTTGAAAAATATTTTGACAATGCTTATTTCATCAGTGACATTTTTACCACTATCAGCGGGAAGAAAGTGTTTTCTCCCCACACTGGAGCGCTGTTCCGCCGACTTGACTTGACACCTGAGTGACTCAAGACTGGACTGGACTGTGGGGAGCAAACGCTTTCTCAAAGACTATCGCCGAAGTCGCTACCACTATTCTCTAACTAGAGACCACTGAGTCTGTGGATGTTGGTTTTGGAATGGTTTGCGGCAACTCAGCATGTGTATTTTCTGGGTTTCCCTCTCAGTCCTGTTCCTGTGCCATTCCCCGTTCCGCTGTGTGTGTCTACAGATAGAGTGTGTGTATTACCCAGGTCTGGACTCACATCCGCAACACGTCACCGCCAAGAAACACGTCCTGAATGAATCCTACGGTGGAATGGTCTCGTTTGTGCTCAAGGGTGGCTACGAGGCAGCCAAGACATTTGTTCTGGTACGTACGCACTTCAAGGCATGTAGTGTTCTGGTTGTGTGTATTGCGCGTATGTGTGTGTGGGGGGGGGGGGGGAGGGGTTCTAAATCTTTGAAAATTTCCATTTTCACACACATGTGCATTATATTATCATCCTTGAGATTCCCATGATATGTATCTACTTGCCTTTGGACAATCAATAAAATGAAAACGAAATGAAATGAAACTGAGCAGGTTTCTCTTGTGTAACATACTTATGGATTGTCAACGTCGGAACTATACCCTGTGTGTTGCTGTGATGACGTTTGCGGTGCACTGGCCAGTCAATGAGAATTGACGCGAATTGTCATGGGTGGGGTGCATGATTTTGTGCATGTGTGTGCGTGTGTGTGTGTGTGTGTGTGTGTGTGTGTGTGTGTGTGTGTGTGTGTGCATGCACGCACGTGTGTGAGTGTGTGTGTATCTGTATGTCTGTGTCTGTACATGACTACGTGTGCACGTGCATGCGTTGTTGTTTGCATTATTTGTGCATTTGCAGAGCCTGAATTTGATCATCTTCGCCGTGTCTTTGGGAGGTGTTGAGTCGCTGGTTGAACATCCTGCGTCCATGACACATGACCCGGAAGCTATGTCCCTGCTAGGGGAAGTCCCTGCTACACAGGAAGTGGCTGGTGGTCTGATTCGATTCAGGTAAGATTATTCTGCCTACATGTGTCTATGTGTGTGCATGTGTGCGTGCCTGCATGGTGTGTGTGTGCGTGTGTGTGTATGTGTGTGTGTGTGTGTGTGTGTGTGTGTGTGTGTGTGTGTGTGTGTGTGTGTGTGTGTGTGTGTGTGTGTGCCTGGGGAGGGAGAGGGGGGGGGGGGGAGGTGTACATGTGCAGTCAATCTCATGGATAACGAGCTCGTGCCATACTTGCCTAGCTTTGCAAACCTGAGATCAGGACTAGGTAGGACAATATGGGCCACAACCAGCTAAAACATGTCTTAGGGGGAAATTTTTCAAATTTTGTTTTCCTCCAGAAAACAGTTCTTGGGACCTTACTTGACCTCTTGAAGGTGATACAGGGCAGAAAAGTAGTCTACAAGTGCCCCAAACACCGCTTTCAAAATTTGTACTTTGAAATAGAAAATGACAGTTTTCGCACAGTCTGACACAAAGAGACAAACTATTACTTAGTGGCTTTTGTGGCGGAGCACAATACAACGGAACTAAAGATCGACTTGAGCATGTCAACGACATCAGTTCAAAGCCAAGGCATGGCCCAAGTTCTTCCTGGAAAGCAACACGATGCGCTGGGCGGCGTTGCACTTGCATACTCTTTCGATTCTGGCAGTGACACTTTCGATCGTCGCCTGCGTTTCCGAGACTGCGTCAGACGCCTCATGAGAGCTGAACGCAAGTAACGTCGTAAGGCAGCCGGTTCGCCGCCTAAATGATTATGTACTAGCCCACAACTTGTGCCTCTTCGCTACTGGAGACGACGGGGACGAATCAGCTTCGCTGTCGACATCAACATCAATGAGATCCCAACAAATTGTCAGCGTCGCTCTGCAGACCCGCCGCCACGGACTTGCAGACACCTGAACAAACCTGGGCCATGCACAGCGATCGTCTGGCCGTGCGAGCTACTCTAGTATCACTAGATGCGGACATTGTCAGTCTTTGCTCGCCAGCTACTTGAAGTAGAACGCCAAACAAGTGTTTGAACAAAAATTTGAGAAGATGATCGCCACATCATGAATCATTTGAATGAAGTGCAGAGTGACTAGTGAACGCGCTCCAAAAAAACATTTTTTTCATTTCGTCATTTCCCAACTTTTTTACGAAACCCCAAAGACATGTTTTAGCTGATCGCGGCCCATATATACAAATCTAGCTGAGGCATGCGACAAATGCACGTTGGGGTGCCCAGTACCGCCCTCGATATCGGGACGGTCCCCGGCCAAATCGGGATGGTTGTCAGGTATGTCGTGTATAACAGTGAATAAAGATGCGATCTTCAGACCCAGTGGACATTTCACTGCATACTGTTCAATGTCACCAATAACGACAACTCGCAGATGCCGGCATTTTTCTCCTGCACGATCGGGGTCATTATTCGAAAGGTAGACTGTATGTTAACAGTTTCCTCTGTATGTATTTGGGAAATGGTGTGCTGCTATGTATTTCATTCTCCTGTGACTACATCAGTAACTATTATTTTATAAGAACCCAGCCAACAATGAACAATGAATGGGTGTTACGCTCCTCGGCTTTCGTCTAGTGGAGTACTCTCGGAAGGCTGCTCCAGTGCTGCTGCATTACGCATTGCCCACTGCGTTTCGTAGTTAGAGCACTCTGGCGCTAGAGCGATGAGCTATCTTAATGTCTGCGGTGTCTCCTTTGCACCATGGCTGGTAGCTCGGCTTGCTTAAAGCTCGTAGCTGTACTGATGAGGCATTCATGGCCGAAACAGCTTGCTGTCTACAGCGTTGGGTAAGGACCCAGCTAAAAATGGTGTTTTCACTGGGGTTTCTAAAATGGATTGCATTTTTGTATTGTGTGCGTGCGTGCGTACGTGCGTGTGAACGAACGTGTATGTGAACGTATATGCACACCGTACCCTCTCCTGGCATATATACCGGCATGGTCGGTACCCCATCCTCATGTTGCCTGATGATTGCGAGAGCATGAAACTTGAAGTAGCAGCATACAAGCCTTGATTGTCCTGTTGTTGTTCTGTCTGCACACCATACACAGTGTTGGTCTGGAGAGTGCTGATGACCTCATCAAGGACTTAGAGCAGGCACTGGCCAAGGTCTAGGCAATGCCACTCCATTACGTAACTCCCGGACGGCGCTGAGTTGATGATATTCCTCAATGCCACACCCGATGCTCCATGGTGTCAGAGAGGATTCCCTGAGGCTTCTGTAAGTGCAAGTTAGAGTCGAAGGAGTGCTTTTTTTGTGCTGATGTTGCCCCGTTTTTACTCTGAACATTACCGCTCATTGCTACGACACACCATTTAATTTTGTCCCATTTCCTACTTGCACAGTTTCACTGGGTACATGTGTGTGTGAGGGGGGGGGGGGCAGATGCGCTGAATCATGCTCTATTTGGTTGAAGCAGAATTGAACAGTTGGCTAAGGTACTGCTCCTTGTCTAGCTAGTAAACGTGAAAGCATGTTTGCTGGCCGACTTTGCCATCATAGGTGCTCAAGTCTGTATTCTTCCTTTTTTTCTCAATTTTGTTCTTTGCATTGATTTTTTTCTTATCGTAACTCCAGGTTGAGTTACCATAGTTACTTAGGCCCATTTATAGTATCTCTATCCACTGTATATGTATTTTGTTTTGATAGCAAAGGCGTTACTTATCTTGACTAAAGTATAGCGTGTATGCGTGTTTTTTCTCCCACACCCCAGTGTGGCCTAGGAGTTCTACTTTTAAGGACCTCTTCCTTTGCTCCGCATGCAAATTCCACCTTATCTCATTGCTATAGCTTTTTAGAGTACCTTTCAAAAAACACTTTCTCATCGGCTCTACTTTCGAGTCTCTGATCTGAGGTCATGAGCAGAGCAAATGTCTGGTCCACTCACCTCCCACCGCTGTAGGAGCTGCATCTGCGCCTCGATCCTTGAGGGTGGTGGCGTTCCTGTGGATGCGAAAATCCTGACTCTCACCCGAGCCGTGAAATTTTTTCCACGCACTTGCTTTCATGCGTTCCCTTTCTTTTTCTTTTAGGGTCACATGTGTTGTCGCCAGAACACCGTATTTTCCGGAGTACACGCCGCACAATAAACACCAGTAATTCACCCCAAAAAGTCGGTGCGGCCTATACTACGAATCTCTAGTGCACGATTGTCAAATTAATGATCTTAAACAGGGTAGATGTTTGGGTCTGGGTGCGGTTTATACTCTACTGTGACTTATACTGAGTGCAACATGTAGTGTCCTGGTGTCAGTATGCTGCATTCTGCGACTGTCATTTTACTCGCAGACCGTAGGCTCGAGAACGCAATGCACACTCTGTGTTTTTATTGGCTATGTCCACAGCGTACTAGTACGCCGTCTTGCACCTTTTTCTCTCTCTTTCCTTCTTTCTTTCTCCGGGAGCACATACTTATTCGCAGTCAGTGGCGGAAAATCCCGACAGAATCACCGGTTACTGATTACTCCGCGACGTGACCCAACACTGCCATTGACTATATGCTGTATAGAACGCGACAGCATCAATCCCGCATGAGTCGTCGGGATTTGTCTGTCGCTGGATGAAGAAAAGAAGACTGATGACGACAGCAGCAACAACAACAACAATTTCTCTTATTGGCCACAGGCCATCGTGACTCGTGAGAATAATTAATGATTTCAAACAAAAACTAGGACGTAAAAGCTTGACCAGCAGGAGATGCGTCAGTACTATAATTGACCTGTGCAGATGAGGGCAGAGGTGCTGTGCGCTCCCTCGACCAATGGTCTCACGATCAAGGCAGACAGCACTTGCCATGCATGGAGGGCGAAGAAGAAGAAAGGAGAAAGAGAGAGAGAGAGAGATTTAGTTCCGAAAGCTATGCCAATGTACCAACAGCGGTCTTGCGCCCGCCAGAAGGCTCCCTGTGATAAATGTGATGGGGTAACAATTACTAGAGCATCATGTCCAACAATGATAGTAATGTTTGGTTAAGCAATCCATGCCGGCCAGAAGAGATGCACATCTGCATGGGATGTAAGGAGTTGATCATGAGGAAGCTGCAGGTACATGTAGTTAGCTTGCTACTATCTTCTTCCCCAGGCTCTCGGCACGGATTCACAATGTGCTAACTGTGTACGGTCATGCTCCAATTGCTTTGCAGTGGAGCGTCATTTCACATTGCTGCACTGAGAACGATCCAGGCACCCCGACACTTGGTCTTGCGATAACTGCTACTTCTGATGATGAATAATGACCCCGTGGCGACCACAACTCGTGGTGCAGCACCTGAGAGTGCTCCTACGGATGGTTGCCATGGTGTTGCTATGGCATCTTGCTGACGGCTGTGGTCCCCCGGCATCCCATGTACGATGTAGAGGGAGGTAGGGCGGATTGGTTGGCTGCTGCTGCTGCTTGCCCTGGCCGCTCAGTCAGGACTTGCACAATGCGAACACACCCAACTAGACACACGTTGATGTCATATCTGCTCCTGCATGGACAGAAATACGCATAAAATGAACAAGTGGAGGCCATGTTGACTCACAATTTTCTTGTATTGATGGGCGAAAACCTTAGAAGTGAGGGGGGATTACAACGCTCGGAGCAGAGTGATGTGCCCTGCACTCGATCTATATACCGTAAAATCGCGGATAAAAGCCGGGCTTATAAGCACATAAGCCGCTTTCTGCATCAGGCTTTAATGCAAACCAGGCTTGTATGCAAACCATGCTTATATGCACCACTGATATTTTTGCCAGGCTTGTATGCCAGGCTTCTACGCGCGACACGCGTAGATCTACCACTGACTACCGGTATGGCGGCAGTTTTACTATGCACCGCACATAGCGCATGCACTCTTGACCTACCCGATCCGCGCTTGCATAGAAGCCAGGCTTCTACGCGCAACAGGCATATATGCATTTGACCCGTTTGATTTTCAGGCTTCTATCCGCGATGTGCTTGTATGCAAACCCGGCTTTTATCCGCGACTTTATGGTAGTCGTACTCTTGCGTCACATAATATGCATGATGCATGATCATGATGTCCCCATCCATATCACAACCATAGATTACACTACACTGTATTGCACCATGCGCTATGCATTATGACACCATGCATTACGTTACACTGCATTGCTGTGAAACGGCTAATTTTAGCGACAGTGATATTTTAGCAAAAGGAGCGATTTCGCCAAAGTTTTGCCACGCCAATCGAACTTTTACGTGTACAGTGTACAGTGCAGTACAGTAGTAATCATAATTATTTCCTTTTAAACTCTGAAACTCGGATCGCTAAAATATTTCATCGCGAAATTACTTGTATCCAGATCCAGAAAACGCTAAAATGTAAAAATTAGCCATTCTATATATAGTGCATAACCATTAGCAGACACCCTTGACTGTAAAGTCAATATCAATTTTGTTATACTAAGTGCATAATATGCCAACGAAGGCTACTTACGGAACATAGGACTGGCAACAAGCGGGCGTTATCCATAGTTCCTGATCGTTCCCGCCTTCGCATCCTTCTCAACAAGATGCATTTCCAGATTCGGTTCGGCTCGCAATGACATCATCGGAGCCTCCATGATGTCATCAGGCAGCTTCTGATCCTCTCATAATGTCTGCTTTCGCACTCAGCGTGCGAGGCATCTTGGTTATATTGTCCGACATGGACTGCTGAGTAGGAATGAAGAAACCTTTGTTTGATGAAGCTATGCGGAGCCGGCTGCACCCGATGATGGTGTGTGGGCGACTGGAAGCCGCTTGGGCAGCAGAATTCCCTCGTAGCTGATCCCGTCCAACTCGACAGTGGCCACAAGACATTGGTTCTCACTCGAAGTGCTACCACCTGCTGGATGATGACCTTCCGCTTGGGATGTGCCACCTGGAGGCTGTATTAATGAGGCTGGGTCAATGGAAGAAAGAAAGAAAGAGAGAGAGAGAGAGAGAGAGAGAGAGAGAGAGAGAGAGAGAGAGAGAGAGAGAGAGAGAGAGACAGACAGACAGACAGATAGAGACAGACGGACAGACAGAGACATAATTATATTATTATACAGAAGAGAAGCTGAGGCTCAAAACAGATCACTTTCCCACACTCCAGTGTGAATTGCGAAGAACCCTAGTAGTACACAATCCCCTGAACTAGCCACAGACCAACTCTCACACACGCGTTTTCTAGACTTGAACCAAGAGTACATACCCCCCCCCCCATGTACTCTTGCTTCAACTTAAACACCCATACATCCTAACGACACTCTACAAACTGTCCCTGGACTACACCAATCACTAAAAGAAAAAGAAAAAGAGAATTGAACACGCGTTTTGGAGACAGCAGTTTTAATAATAGCTACAAAGACAACTAATTGCACAGTAAGCATTTCATTATAATTATGTCGACATGTATGTGTAAAATGTTGTACGATTATCGCAAGGCACACAACGAAAGGGAAAGCGAGGATTCGTTCAGAACTGCTTTCTTGTTACAATCATCAGTGAATCTACGTAACAATGGAATGGGAACTACTTGAAACTAATCTTATTTTATAGGCAAATAAAAATGAAAGAAGTGGGAAAGGATTGTAACAAGAAAACAGTTCTGAACGAATCCTCGCCTTCCCTTTCATTGTGTGCCTTGCGATAACCGCACAACATTTTACACATACATGTCGACATGATGAAATGCTTACTGTGCAATTAGTTGTCTTTGTAGCTTTAAGAAGAGAATTATTCGAATTTTCGGGAGGAATGAAAATTGTAGCCCAGAGACCGTTCGTAGAGTGTTGTGTGAAGATGTATGGATATAGTGGATGGCTACAGTGGAGTCTTCGCATTTTGAGAAATTTAACTTATACATACCAGCATATGTATATCATTAGCCACTGACTGGCCTCCTCATGAGGAACCAAGCTACGCTGACAATAGACCTCAGAATTTTCGCTCACCTCTTTGCAGGCTGATACTGCAAGCCTGTGACTGGACTGTGTCCGGGTAGACAGACACCACACCGCCCCCACTTGCAGTCGCTCCACTTGCCACTGGTATGCTTGTCGGCGGCTGGCTGGCCACCATCCTACCCTCCCTACTGCTGCTTGCTAGGGACGGCGAGGCGGCTACAATGTACGGCGTTCCAGCTGTTGCCGGTGGTAACGTCTGCGTTGGCGGCGGTGGCACAGCGGATTGAAAGCGCACTGCCGAGTGCGGAGCGTGGAGTACTGGTGACGAGGCCGGCGGTGTCTGTACCAGTATCGGCGCGCCGGGCGGCAGGGGATGCTGCGACGAGCTCTGCGCCACGCCCGCCGCCACAGCCGCCGCCGTTGCCATGGTGACGGCTATAGGTGCCGTATGTGCCATGCTGGGCGGTAGGGCCGCCAGGGGTTGATGAGCTGCGGCTGCAGCGGCGGCTGCTGCAGGAGTGGGCGAGGCGCCAGGCGGTGGGGCAAAGAAAACCGGCATTCCCGACGGCGTGAATGCATGAGCAACTGCATACAGGCACAGGAAGAGCATTACAGGAAGATCAGGAACCGTGTGGCCAAAGATGCATGCAGCCATTTCCTGGCACAGAACCAAGAGTACATTCATTTTTATTTTTATTCTTATTTTACTAGGGAATTCCCAACAGGCATCCGATCACCTTTTTACAGGGAACCCGTACGTAGCAGGAGGGTAACTTCATCTCAACAATGACAAGGTTTATTATCGAATACAGTGTAGCTTTAGAGTTCTCAAACATAATGGAACATTCATCAGAGCTATGGAATGAAAAAGGGGAAATCCGAAGAAACGAAAACAACCTTGTTGTCTCCACCAAGACTCAAAGTAGGGACCTTGGCTTAGGCCAGCAACGCTCTAACCACTGAGCTATCGGGTACATAGTGAATACTTGACTGTACACCAAGCTTCCGCTCACCCCAACCCCCAGCTGAAGAGCAAAGCTGCTAAGTAATTGTCACGTTTGTCCTAGTCTCAGTACCATTGTCTTTCATTATTTACGAGTTGGGTATGCAAACATAGTAAAAAATAAAAAGGTTCCTTTTGGTTCTGGCAAACAATACCTTGCATCTCAGGCTGGCCGTGCCCTGACCGCACGTGACCAGGTGTTGCCATGGTGAGGGATGGAGGCAGCGAATAGACACGCAGCGGGAGACCGGTGGGTGCAGTGTCGGAACCTGCACGGGTGACCACTGAGGTATGATCGCGAACCATTGGCCCTGGAGGTCCTGAAGGGCATACAGACGGGAAGAAGAGGACTTTGCAGAGATGAAGCAGCTTAGACATCGCATACTGGCAGCATTCGGAGCGAGTCCAGGACTTTGAGAATTTCAGGACTTCAAGAACCAGACAGGGGAGAATATCCAACGGGCGTGTGTCCCTTGCAGTTGCACTGCCAGCTCGCCTAATTCTGACATTTCTTGCACAGTTTCGGAACTATCCATCTATCCGCTACGGAATCAATGGTAAGAAATCCTCAAACACTTTCTTCAATACTCCAGGACCGGCGGCAGCAGGTTTGGGTTGGTGCAGCCATGCCCTAGACTTTCATACAATTTGTGTACGATATACTGTGGGTATACACATGATCTCCTTAGCAGAAAACACACGTTGGTGGCCAAAACGTTGGTCCAGCCATGGCCTGACCATCCGGACCGGTTCTACAGGGCCTGTAATCGGTGGTTCCACTCCAGCCAATCGATCATGTCGATCATGTCGATCATCAGATGTGGAAGAGAAGAACCCCGCAGCAGAACAAAGTACAAACAAACAAAAACATAACCCCCGGGGGTTATGTTTTGTTTGTTTTTTGTTTGTTTTGTTTTTACGAGACACCACGAACCTCGAGAACAGAATACTGCATGATAGAGGTGACTGCAGACGCAACTGTGGTGGTGAAACTGGAGCATCTTCGCCGACCTGAAGTCCCGGCTTCAGTGTACTCTCGCTACAAGTATTGTCATGGAACCCTACCATGACCCAGGGGCTGAGGCTACACTCCCATCATGAAATCTATATACGCGGGTTCACCCTCTCACCTGGCAGGCTCCGGCCCGTCGGCGACAGTGGCGAAATGCGGAGGATGTCTCGCTTGTTACCGTCAATGGCGGCGGCCAAATCATCCGTGGTGCTTAGTTGCAACATCTCGCACTCGTACGGATACAGATACTTGATATACCTGTGTGTGTGTGGTGAAAAACAAATCGTAGAGCACAACATGAGACTGTATCATAATAAAATCGTATCAATCGAAATCACAACTGTGGTCGCACACGCACACGCACCTACACTAATTTTGCAACAGTTCCAGGCTCCACTCTGCATGATTTTTTATCACGATCAGAGCCCACAGAGCTCAAAGGTGAAGACAAAAGCAATGATTAATTTGGAGCATAGTCATGCCGTACTGATGATGAGGCTTGTCGCCCTCCGCCGACCTGGGGTCTCGGCATCCTGGAGCCATCAAACGCTCTAAAACAAATTACAGTATGTTGGAAACGATGCGAAACTTACTGAACTCTGAGAGTGAATGCGGAGCTGGTGATTGTGGCTGGGATCTGTAAACTGTTTGCGATCTCTCTCCAGAGCTTACGGTTTATCACCTTCATTAGTGGCACACCATAGGCAACATGGAGAAAGAGGATAAAGGGAGAAAAGACACCAGGTAACACCAGTTAGTTGACATTGCAATTCCAAATACTAGTAACAATGTACAAACGAAAATCCGGTGGAACGAAACGTGATGAAATGTCTCTACTCACGAGTTTCATGCTGAAAATCAATACTCAGCAGACTGGGGATATACTCAGTAGTGTGTTGTGTGTAGGTTGTGTGGTCTTGTTCACTATAGGTGTTGTCCCATGGCAGGTATGCAATGCTAGTGGTTCAGCACGAATAACAGTGTATGTTTGTTTGTTGCTGATGTTCAAGTCCGCACGGTGAATAGAGACTGGATCCCAAACTGTGTGCAGGTGAATGCAGATACATGTACAGATACAGGCAAAAGAAGAGGCACAACACGGAAACTACAGAACAAGATGACTACACACACAACAGAGGCGAAAGGCTGTGTTAGCTGTAACTTAAAGTTTCACGCATCGGAGCGATCATCAGACAGCAGCATTCACTATCGAATTCTCTACGAGCGAGCAGGCCTAGATATTTTGATGCTAGTGTGGAAGTTAGTGCATATGTGCGAACTGCGAAGTGAAGACGCGGCATTGGGACAATGGTATTGAGTTGTTTTGTGAGGACAAGACTACTAAGTCTTAGTTTCTGTGCTGTACCAGCCTTCATTACTATCATTGTAATGCCCTTGTGGGGGGGGGGGGGCGGGAAGGGAAGGGGAGGGGGGGGGGGGGGATTCTACAACTACTGATACAGTGTACATAGTCAGCAGATGTTTCAGGTCACTCCTGCATTCAGGTCACTCCTGCATTCAGGTCACTCCCGCATTCAGGTCACTCCTGCATTCAGGTCACTCCCGCATTCAGGTCACTCCCGCATTCAGGTCACTCCTGCAGGGCCTAACAGTAGTTTCAGGTCACTCCTGCAGGGCCTAACAGTAGCCGCGAGGATAAGAGTGGATGCTATAAAATAGTGAACTGGCCCCCGCTCTCACCTCCACCAGTCCTCCCCTGTCCACCACCTCGGTGTAGAGTTTATACAGATCCAGTGTTTGCTTAGCCATGATTGGTATGCGACTGATGGGCGAGCCTGCGACAACATAGCAGCGACAAAAGACCACACACAAAGCTTAACATGCGCGGAAAAAACGTAGGGAAACGTGAAGGTTCCGTGGAAAGTTCAGCACCTCAGGGCTGAGGCTCGAGGGTTCTATACATCCAAGCCAGAAACTCGCCATCAGCAGAGAAGATGTACAGTCACTCAGCCTAGATAGTTGTGATCCAAATCAGTCCAGAATCATATAAATCAGTCTAGCAAGTAAGGAAGCCAACACATTGCAAAGGGATGGGGTTACGATGGGGTACAGTGCGAGTTATTACAGGAGCATATGGATGAGAATGAGGCTAGACGCCATTGATTTAAACGCATGCTGGCTATTTGTTTCACGCAGGTCGGGGGGTAGTGGTTGAAACTGTGAAGGGACAGGTTGATGGCTGAGTAAAATCAGTTACTGATTTTACTCAGCCATCAACCTGTCCCTTCACAGTTTCAATGTTGGTGTGTCGGCATGTGTGTGATGTACTCAGCCTGGTGAATGATGACCTCGTTGGCCAAAGCAATCGAAGAAAACTCGAGTCGGTGGTGCCTGGAATGATTATAATGATAGAATGCTGATGGGAAAGAATGTCTGCCTATGCCGCTGAGCCTGGTTTTGTTGTTTGTTTGTATTCTTTATTTAGAGTGGGAAGTCCAAAACAGGCCCTAGCCTAATAACAATGGTCCCACTAGTGAGGGAATGCTGTATATCTGTGCATAACGATCAGTGAGTGTAACAGCAACTAGTAGGGAAAGAAAAAGAGAGAAGAAAAGCAACTCAAAACAGGAGTTGTGTCTGACAGTTTTCACCTGTTTGGGATAACTACCACATGTCGATAGCATTGCATTTACATCGTTTTTGTTTTGTTTTGGGGAACCCAGCCTCGTGCTCTGCGATTGATGGTGCTGTTAAAGCCTGTTATCATCCCCCCTCCCCCCCCCCCCCAAAAAAGCAACGTACCAGTATTCATGAACCTGATTACGATGGTGCCATTAAAGGCACAAATGGGAATTTCGTTGAGCAAGAGGATAGAACAGGCAGGCAAGCAGGAGCTGCTCACCTCTCTTGTGCATGAACTCAAAAAGTCCATCCAGGAACTCCTTCCTGTCCGGGTTGTCGTCGACCGAGTATAGCTGTACACATGCATACACAGAGATAATTGGGTGATTATCATGCTATAGAACTAACAATACGCTGCAATGGAGTTTGGGAATTCTGAAGAAACGTTTAGAACTAACAATGTACAATGACTGTAATTAAGGACAAAAGCAGCACGGGAAAAAATGGTATGAGTTAGAACTGTGCACCGAAGTAGTAAACCTGATCATATCGACAGTGATGTTTGGTCAGCGTGTGCGGCATCAACACTGACAGGGAGTAGTGAGACATTCAGCCACCTAACACCTACACTGCTCCAACACATCCACAAGGCGCAAACCAACAACCTTCCAACTTGGAAGGCTCAGGTTAGGAAAGGTCGTTGCGCTTTCCTTCCCACAATCGTGTAAGCGTGTAAGCCGGTTACGAAAATAAATTGAGGCAATGGAAAGAATTACAAAGCAGTGCAATCAGTGAATTAAGCTGCATAACCTACACTATAGTTCTAGTATAAATGATCCATATTTCACATTACAGGGTACCTCACTTCACTTCAAACTCTCCAACTACGGTCTCTTCGCTGCATAAGTTCACTTCACTTCCAAAAAATATATAATATATACATGCTGTGCGCAGATTGAGTACATGTACATATTAGATACAAATGGAATGCACCAAATTTTCGGGCATCGCCCATCTTCAGGGTGAAAAACCATTCATATCTCACGGTACAAAAATGGATGAATGGATTGGTGGGCGAGGAACCAACAGGGCAGTACAGACCACGTTTGTAGTCTAAGTGGTGTCAGATCGGATTCTAGCCTCATCACAATGCAATCACGCACTCACGCAGTCAAGCACTATATTAGTCTATAGCATAGGCTGTCATCAGGCAGTGGTCACTATGGCCATGGACAATAGCGAAGGCTGTGATTGAATTATACCGTACTTGGATTATCAAAGTACATGTAGTTCATTAGGCTGGGAACACTCGTACTCCTCAACATGACAACAGACTAGTACAGTCAGTTAGCTGCTCAATCAAGTACTCAGTACTGAGTACTGAGTATCTCATAGAATCAGTCATATCAGTCAGCATCAAGGTTCCGGTCATAGTGAAGGCCAGAAAGAATAAGAACAAACAACCGAGACTAGAGAGGATGCTTGAGACGATTGATAGCCATAAGCTCATTGCGTAATCCTATATTTGGGAGAGATGATGTAATCGCGTGCCGTGGCAAAGTGCCGAGTTGTGGGCAAAAGTCTTTGCCCGCAACCTCTTCCTTGCCAAAGAGTTTGTAAAAATTTATTTTGATTGTTTGGTGCAGTGCTTTTTTCTTGTTCGTGTCTTTAGTTCAGTTTTGTACATTGTACATGTAGTACCGTATGTGATGGCGGCGACTGGGTTTGATCCCGATGGCAGCAGCGATTCTTCTCTGTCAGGAGACGATGGTGACAAGCCTAGAGTCACTGGTAGCTACTGTTGTGTTCCGTTGTGCAAATCTGAGTATGGAAAACCAAATTCACCAAAGTTCCATGACTTTCCAACCGATCGTGCTTTGAAGTCTGCTTGGCTACATGCCATTCGTCGTGATGAAGGGAAGCACTTCAAGGTGAAGCCGAAAACAACAAAAGTTTGCGGACTACACTTCCAAGAAAGTGACTATCGTGTTGTGAGTGATCGTGCTTTGAAACGAAGACAAAAGGAGGGAAAGGGTGGCAAGCCTCGACCGCGCTTGGTACCTGGAACAGTACCTACCGTCTTCTCGTTCCATAAATCAGCGACACAGGGCCCTTCGCGAAAACCACCAGCTAAGCGGGTGTTCTTGAAGCCGGTTACGTCAGACTCCAGTTCGAGTGACGAAGATGCTCAGGCAATGGTTGTGGATGACGGTGAGGGCAGCCACCAGGACGACTCAGTGGATGAGTTGGAGAGACTCAGGCAACAAGTAGCAGAATTGAACTTGAAAAATGAGAAGCTTGACTTAGAACTGCAGTCCGCTAAGTCGTCTCGGGATGTGAGTGTGGGTCTTTGCTCCAAACTGTGGAAAGAGCAAAAGACATTGGAAGAGGAGCTCAGGCAGACAAAGGAAAGCCTGGTCCTGCACAAATTTGACATCCGTAGGTTCTCTGAGAAGGCCCACATGGTGAAGCTCTACACCGGCTTCACGTCATTTGACATGTTTATGGCATGTTTTCGCTATCTGGAGTCAGACGCTGCTGAGATGCGAGCTTGGAAAGGATCGAGGACGAAGCTTGATGGTGAGCGACTCGGGAGAAAGAATGGTCCATTGCCTAAACTCAGCCTGGAGATGCAATTCTTCTTTGTATGTGTCAGGTTACGGCAAGGACTCGTGTTGGACGATCTGGCAGATCGATTCAAGGTGGACAGTTCAACCCTGTCAAGGTACTTCACGTCATGGGTGAATTTGATGTATGTGACCTTTAAAGAATTGCTGGTGTTCCCGTCTCGTCGGCGTATCGACAAAGACATGCCCAAATCTTTCAAGATATACTACCCCACTACTAGAGTCATTATTGACTGCACTGAGTTTTTCATCGAGCGGCCGTCCCGTCTGTCCACCAACAATGCAGCATTCTCCGCTTACAAAAATCACACCACGTGCAAGTCCCTCATTGGAATCACTCCTAACGGAACTATCAGCTTTGTCTCCACGTTGTATGAGGGGTCAATCTCGGACAGGGATATAGTCATTGACTCGGGCTTCATCTCACTGATGGACCATGGTGACTCAGTCATGGCGGACAAGGGCTTCAACATCCAAGACCTCCTTGCTCCATACGGTGTCCGGCTGAATATTCCACCATTTAACACCAAGGCACATCAAATGCTCCCCCAGGATGTTGTCGAAACGAAGTCCATCGCTGCTGTAAGAATTCATGTGGAAAGAGCCATCAACCGCATCAAGCAATATCGTCTTCTTGATGGTGTCATTGACAACAATTTATTTGATATTCTTGAGCAAGCTGTCTTCTCAGCGTGTGTTTTATGCAATTACCAACCCACATTGGTTGCTACCTGATATGGTCTCGATGTCAATACAATTTTCACACCTTCATTCATAAATCGCCCTGTCCTGTTGAACAATGTACATAATTATGTAAATAAGCGAACATTTTTATATTATCACAGACCTAAACGGTGGTGTTCCCAGAAACTGTATTATTTAGGTGCAGCTGTGCGCATTATTCTTTCTATTTGCTGTTTCTATTTGCTGCGTTGAGAGCGTTGTCATTACTCTGTTCTTTCTGGTTTTGGCACCACCCCACACCCTATTATTTGATCATTATTGTATTTCGTCACCTACGGTGTTCTAAGCTGCCATTCCTTTTACTAGTGCTTCCTATTGGCACATCCATTAAACCAGTCCCTTACCCAGCCAGTACTCAGACGCCTACAAATCGTGTTCAGTACTCCACGAGTACAGTGTATTAATTTTGATGATTGAATAGAAAAACAATCACTTTGAAAGAAGATTGTGAGTACTCCACGAGAACTAACAGTGTATTTTATGATTGAATGGAAAACAAGAACTTTGAAAGAAGATTGTGAGTTCTCGAATAGTGCTATGGTGAAGTCTCTCTCTCTCTCCCTCCCTCTCTCTCTCTCTCTCTCTCTCTCTCTCTCTCTCTCTCTCTCTCTCTCTCTCTCTCTCTCTCTCTCTCTCTCTCTCTCTCTCTCTCTCTCTCTCTCTCTCTCTCTCTCTCTCTCTGCTATTGGCCTGGTTGTGATGAAGCCGAGACCCAAGGTCGGCAGAGCATCCCAGACCACGCCACCACTCCCCTTATTCATGGCTCACACATGACGGGTTTACGTGGCTCTAGTAAAAAAAATAGTAACTAGGAAAAGAAAGTTCGAAAGAAGTCCAGTGTTGACATTAAGAACAACATCACATTAGAGCAGCATGAATGGCCGGAAGGTAATGCGAGAAATAAAATTTCTCCAGTCGGGGCAGAAACTCCTTCACAAGGGAATGATCAGCAGCGACAGTTTCCACAAACAGACCATCTGGAAACCATATGACAAAGTCGGCAGCCTCCACATCGCAAACATACATCTGCGTTTGAACTTGGTAGTAGTAGGTGTGCGTTCGCTTGAGGACCAAATTGCCATCAACATCCGTCAAGCATGAAGTCCGCCGTCCAGCAAACTCACGAAGCGACATACCATTCCGCATGGTGAAAGGACACTTGATCTCCACCACACGCTGCAGTTTGCCATTGACCATGACTAGACCATCAGGCGAAGCACTAAGCCATGGTTTGGTTGGATGGATGAAAAGGCCACAGGATTCGACGAGAACAGGAACATCCGAAGTCTGTGCACGTGTGATGTAGGCTTTGACAGCATCACATTCATGCGCTAAGCCATACTTCATAGCCGCTGTAGGATGCTGCGGTGGAGCCAATTTCCTGTTGATGATGGTGGAGAAATCATCACTTCGTCGGCTTGCAATACTCTTAACAAGTGTTGCAGTCACTCGTAGTCGCCGCTCGTTGTACCAGGAGAGGTTAGTTGACTGTCCCTTCGTCTCCCTTGCAATTTCAGCTGCACGGGCACTGGACACAGCAACACGGTGTTCATAAAAATCAGCAGGCGATTCCGGATTAATAGCGGCCATAGGCACAGGCGCCTCACAAGAAGACTCTGGTACACCCATCTGGCGCTCACTGTCTGACTCACTGCTGCTGCCCTCGTCACATTCCGAGTCATCTGGGCTTGGGACAGGAGAAGGTTCAAGTAGCTTTAGCCAACATGAGCTGCCATACATCTTGATCTTTCCCGATTTGTCCTCAGCCAGAGCCTTCTCCTCAACGCGCTCCAAGTCAGTACGCAGCCTGGCAACTGCCTCAGGATTGACGAATCTGCGGTTTGTAGGCCTGGGGTCATAAAACGGGATGCTCTTTTTCTTTTCTACAAGATCTCTGCCTGAATACGTGTCCTTCTTCAGGTGGACTTCCGTTACTCTGCTGGCCTTGACGCGTGCTGCTCGGGGCTGATTCCATTGCATCAGTTTCTCAGTACACGTTTTGGCTGCCTCTTCACGCAGGCCAAGCCTTACAAAGTCCTCCAATGCATATAATAGGCCCGCTATGTGGTTACAGGAACCAGCTAACCCAGCAGGGCATGTGCAATAGGCAGTGAGAACCGTAGGGACATGTGACACACCGCCAGCAGTGCAGCATATCCGAACGTTGTATTTCCTGTCCTTCCGGAAAGAGGGCAGGACGACGCAGCGGACAAAACAGAATTGTGGAAAGACAGGCAGTGAATTGAACTGGATCTTCTGGATGTGGCCTGACTTGAAGAACCTGAACCCTTTGTCTATTCCACGGAACGAGCTGTACTTGGCTGTGCCGGAATCACCAACCTCCTCGTCATCCTCCCCATCATCATCCTCCCATTCGTCATCAACTTCAGCAGCGAGAGCACTATCAGCAGCGGCAGCACTATCAGCAGCGACAGCACTATCAGCAGCGACGGCACTATCAGCAGCTACACCACTATCAGCAGCGACAGCACTATCAGCAGCGACAGCACTATCAGCAGCTACACCACTATCAGCAGCGACAGCACTATCAGCAGCGACAGCACTATCAGCAGAATCACTGGCATGTGAAGTAGCAGGAATAGCAGCAGTGTCGTCACCTCTTGCAATCTCGTGCCCACTGATGACTTCCTGGACCGTCCGCTCTGTGAAATGCACATACAGGGTTCGGAATGAGAATGATGGCAGCTGACTTAGATTATCCTTCCATCCCTCGGTGGGGAACGGGGGGACACTTCTTAGATTGGGGTGCACGACACCTGCGGACTTCAGACGCTCAGCTTTAGCAGCAATGTTTACACCACCATCAGGGTCAACAATTTCATGTGCCAAGCCACCACGTATGTAGTCTTCAACTCTGTTGAACACAAAGAACAACACCCAAACAACGAAATAAATTTCAAAATTGAAAACATTGACAACCGAAAAAGGAAAATAATGATTATGGGAGGATATGTGGGATAATTCCTAACTAAAGGCGAAGTGACGTAAAACCCAAACAATGTTACTTCCCGGTTCTACTCACTACATGTATTACCATACCGTCTTGCAATTAGGTCTAAAGAAAAATCCCAGCACAAATCTCACCTTTTCAGCAATTCAGGTTTCGTTCCCGATCGACGAGCATTACGGCAAGCTAGCCAACGCTTCAATTCTTTCACGGAAAGTTGACTTGCCAAGCGTTGAGAGCCATCAGGATTCCGACCTAACGATGCTCCAGGCACATCGTCCTCGGAGAGCTTCACAGCCTGCGCCTCCATCTCCGATAAACAAAATACTACGAAAAGTGTTCCTTGCAGAAGCAGCTGACACGGCCTAGATTTGCTTCTGCCCACAACTCGGCATTTTCCAGGCTGGTCGCGTACGCATGACATCATTACGCAATGGGCATATGGAGATACACACTCATGACGTCATACATGCATAATCCTGTACATGATACACATGCTGAGTATGCAGAGTCGGCATTGAGCAGGCACCATGTATATGTACATTGCAGGCGGTGATCACCGACACAGGTCAAGTAATTCACACTGTAGAAAGAGAGCCAGGGGAAGACCTCCCTTGAAGCTTCTTTCAGAACTACTGCAATGCTGCCATAGACAAGAACATGGCCATGTACATTCTCCTTCGTCACTTGAATACCATTACATGTACTGGTTAATAATATTAATAGCGAGGTCACCCAGTATCAATACATAATGTACTGGTTAATTAATAGCCAGGTCACTTTGAGTACTCTCATGTGGGGTGGTGCCTTTGCTGTTTGCATTTAATACACAGAGCTCATGACTCGTTAGTTTGAGCACTCTGGCAAGGTAGGTTCGGGCCTGATTTAAATCTGGCTTTGGAAATTTTATTTTCATTGCTATCAGGTTCGGCCTCATTTTCTCTGCGTTGCGCTGAGGAGTTCACAAAGAACGAAACAGCATGCTGTCCGCAGATTGAGGTTAGCCAGTATCAATAGGCGGAACAGGGACAATAATTCATTTCAACTCTCAGTTTCATGCTCAACTAGTGTAATCACCAGGCAATATCCCAGCACTTTATGCGACCCCGGAAAGCATCATCAGCGCACAACTCCTCACAATTGTTCTTCTGTTCTCTCCTTCTCTTCCTAGCTCCCCTCCTTCTATTGTACTGTCTCTCCTCCTAACTTTTCGTATCATGTACCTGTCACTCCGTTCATTTTCTTCTTCTTTCTTTCTGGTGCGTTTTATGTCCCCATGACGTCGAGACCTCAGGTCGGCTGAGGGAAAAAAGCCTCACCATCACTATGCTCTCACTATGCAGTTTTTTTGTCTTTGCCTGTGAGCTGTGATCATGGTAAAAAAAAACACACACACAATTCCCATCGGTCGAAGCGGCTTAGCTGCATGTTCGGAAATTTAGTTTCGGGTCTACCGGTATGATCGTAAGAAGAAGAAGAAAACAGGGATGCGCGCAATCATCCACTTCAGTGAGCCCCGCTTATTGGTAATTTAACTGGCTAACAGGTCCAGACAGATTTAGGGCGCGTTCGAATTGTCTTCATCAATTGTTCGAACAAATTCCCAAAAAGAATAGTTGAAGTGTCCCAATAAAACTGTTTCTATCAATTTAGAGTTTTTCAGTGGAATTGTCAGGGCGATAATGACGTCCGCGATCCGATCGACCATCTCGACGTGGCTATTCCAAACTCTTCGGAACTAACTCCCCACCTGTCCCATCGGATGATGTTATGGAGTTTCGAGGAGTTTGAAGGAGACTTTCGTTTTCTGACGAGGCCAATAAACCACCTCTTCAGGAAAACGGAACTCCTCGAAAATGCAAAGAATGACAATTCGAATGCGCCCTTAGCAGGGGCTATCAAGAATGGAGTTATCATTGTGTGTGCATGTGGACTATCAAGTTTCATTTTCGCGTTATTTTGAAATACGTTTCGGTTTGCCTTTTCGTTATTTGTTGCGCCAGAGTCTGTGCTATCATTTTTTATGATTGCCTGTATAAGAGACTTGTTCACACTTCAGTGTGCTGCAATGTAAAGTATGTTGAAGGTGCTGTGTGGTGGTGTTGCGTAGATGGGCGTGCAATAACAGCGTGCGCGCATGCAACTTTCATCAACGAACGTGTCCATGCAAATGTCTTGGAATTCCCACCAGTGTTGCAGGCAAGTGTAGAATGAAGTTGGAATCTTCTCGAACATCTCTTTAAAAAAAAAAAAAAAAAAAGTAAATTATCGTATCCGTTCCCGAAGGGAACTCACGACGGCCGCTAACACCCGATAAACCCTAGCGGCAGCTCTCTCTTTACAGGCATGCTAAACATGTGCAGTACGATCACTACAGACATTCTACAAGTTTGTGCCTTGCACGGCTGCCCCCGGCATAATGCCAACAATCGACATTGTCCCCGCTCCGCCTCACATTATGCAACTGTAGATTATGGTATTTAGGTCCAAATACAAGTACCGACTATGGAGTATAGTATTTCCAGTATCAGAATATGAACGACCTGTTTATGGTGCGCACGATTCGCAGTATGTTCAGCCATTCCTGAAAACACAAACTCGTTGACCTTGACACCTCGCCTTGTGGCCACTCTAGATGGCGAGCGGCTGACAGGACTCACTTCTCGCCGCAGACAACTCGTGTGTTAACATGTCAATACACACCTAGTACCTGACGAGACAATAATACACTACGTTGGTAAGTTGCTAACGTTGCATTGTTTGATTCATCTGATACTGTCGCAGTGGCAGTGAGGTTGCTGCTCATTGTCGCGACATGGTCGTGCTAACATTGTAGGACTGGTCGCTATGGTGTTTCCGGTAGCCGTGCCCGGCGTATCGCCCTCGCACAATACGTCCACAACACAATGCGCCTGGCCACGCCAAGATACTGTTGTCTCGCGCAAGATTACTCCTTGAAAGTGGCCCAATAGCACTTGATCGTGACAATCCAGGCAAGCAGCAATGTCGTACCTATCAGCAAAGCATTCTTTTCAATTAGGAACGCTTCGCAACGTGCCCCGAAAACACGCACAAGATTGACGCGAGGAAGATGGCTTTCCAGCGAAGACGCGCAGATGTTTACTCACGCTGGGATGTGTGACACGACCGTTCGAACGTGCATAAAGGAAGACTGGGACTATGTGATACGTAACACACTAGAACCATCCAGTGGCCCTTCAGGTGACAATTCCTGGGCAAAGTGAGGTCTAGATTGCCCCAGACTAGAACAACAGCCTGATCAAACAGCTACACTGCGCCTGTGGAAGCATGTAAAGAATCCGCTCCTTGTTCTTTAATTTGACAGCACATGCCTTCAGGTGAAATCTTCGGTTGACATTCGCCCATCGCCTTATCAGCCCGTCGACAGTACAATGATCACATGTTCATTGTGCTAGTAATCACAATGTCAGATGAAGACAGATTTCTGGGAGACAATAATGCAATTAGAGTGAAGAACAGAACCACCTTTAGGCTCCTCACCTGCAACATTTTAAATATTAAATATTTTAATTTTCGAACCAGATGAAGACTTTGAAAAGACTGTTATGATTATCACGCAACCAGCCAGGAGTTCACGAACTTCATTGTAGATGTTCGGACCGGTTCTACGCAGGTCAACTTCGGACGCAGCGTGGTGACAATGCTGGGCAAGAGGAAGCGTAGACTGACTGTTCTAAACTCCTTCCACTAGTACTCAGTAGTGCACACGGCTGGCCTGTTACTGTTCACATGAAATTACACTCCATTGAATGATACTCCACCCCACCCCTACCCATCCACTCCGGTAAAGTCAACCCAAGATCCGGATGACTCCATACCCAACCAGTTACCTAAAGGAAAGAACTCCCTTGGAGACTTCTTGACAACAAAAAAAAAACAATTTTCGGATTCCGGCTGGGATTTTGATGAGCATCCATGTTCATCTTGGAAATTCGGGATATCTGGAACCAGCCAGGAATTCTTTGTAATGACATTATCCCCTGGGGGCGAATAGTCGCTCCCGTGTATTGTAACCGTGTGCAAACCCCGCATGGCTGCACGTTTCATGATATGGGCGCGCTGACAATATGGGCAGATGCGTGGCGGACTGTCGGATGGTTCATCATGACATGCACGAGTACAGGACTAGACACTTGCTCAGGAACAGGGCGGAGCAGATGGTCGCGGCACAAACAAAGGAAATTATGGACGAAGCGCGAGCATGCACAAACTGCATAATATGATTATGCCGCAGTGCATACTGCGCGGCAGATCGCATCACCTGAGTCACAGCCCTGCTCCGGCCGCTGATTGCCGGCTAAGTGACACACGCGCAAGGAAACAGAGGCAATTGTCGCAGCTGTTTGTTTCAACACACTGAGCGCGTCGAGCAATCAACAGCTTTATGCGCACTTGCCTGCAGCTAGCTGATGCTGTCAGTGCATCGGATGATTGCAATTAGATGCGATTCACAAACACAATAGCCGGCCCTTGGGGTGGATATGTCAATTATTCACACGTCTTCATCAGACCCTGCCCTGATGATATTGCACCTCATCAAATACATCTACACATGCACATCAGGCATCATGCGATGGCATGTATGCAATCAGCCGTGTACATACAATGTACAGTGAGTGTCATAGTGCAGAGGGTGCTGCGGGGATTATCACTGTTCGATTAGCATAATTCGATCAACAACAGAATTTAATTCAATCGACGGCTGGTGTGAAATGTTGAAGAAGGCAGCGCCGGTGTGAAGAGCTGTGTCGGACAGCCCCAACACTGCAACAGCACTGCATGTAGTCTGCTCGCAGGTGGAAGATTGGCGATTAGGCCTATAGGGGCTATAGACGGGCACCAGGTTCGGGTGTGTCTGCACGTTTCGACTTGGCAAGTTCTGACTGACAGTTCGTTTGCGATTCACAAGATGTCCGCTCCATCTGGCGGCGCGTTAGAGACAGTCCATTTGCACCATAGTTTTACAGTGTCCCTAGAGCTAGTGTATTTCCATATCGCTGAGCTCCCGGCCTAATAAGTAATTATTTTAAATCTGTTCAGGTGGGCTAGAAGTTAGCCTGTAGGACTAATATGCCACGGTGGTCTCAATACCGTGCTGTGGAGACGATGTGATGAGCGCATTCCTTGCTCTTCAAAGGTCACCAAAATGGGCCCACGGCAATGTAATGTCGTGCAGTAACGTACGGATCCATGGTCCAGGGCGTCACGCTGCACTTCAATCTTCATGGCTAATAGGTACGCCCTTGGTATTGTATTCGGCCTCAAGAATTCCGACTGGCATGTGGTTTACACAAATTAGGTGTTTCCCTTTAAATCATGTGCGTGTTTGTTGGT